ACAAAAGGATTATTTCTTTAGGAAAGTCAATAATAAAAGCAAGTTAAAAAGAATTTTTTTTTTTATAAAGTAAGAGACCTGGGGAAAAAAAAGAATATTTTTATTTCCTTTTTAATCCTAAGCTTTATTATAACTACCAGTTGCCTTTGACCAGCCTTGGATCAGCAAATTTAATAATTCAAAGAGCTTTCAAACTAGAAAGACATTTCATTCCCACTTTTGTGGATTTTAATAGATAAATTGATAAATATATTATTCTTGTATGTGAGATAGGGAATCTGAAGACCAGACTGCTATGTTTTCCAGTTGGTACTGAATTCAAGCCTTCTGTTGTTAAATCTGTTTTTCCAATGTACCTATGCTACATTGAAACAGAAGAATCAGTGCACATTTGCTGCATTAATAGGTGGAATTTTCTCAACAATATGCATTCCCCTGAAACACATGTACTTATGGAAAAAGGAGCATTTTTTTCCTCATCAAATTCTGTTTTCTCTATAGCTACTTTTCTATTAACATTAGAACTATCTTTACATGCAGGCAAGGCATGGTGGCACACACCTGTAATCCCAGCACTCAGGAGGCTGAGGCAGAAGGGTCATTTTAAATTTGAGACTGGCCTGGGCTACAAAGGCCAGCCTGAACTTTAAAGTGAGACTCTGTCTCAAAAAGACAAGAAAAAAAATCTTTATATGATAAGTCCAATTATATAGGACAGTCCAACTTGTCTACCAAACTGTCATAATTTTTTGCCATTAATAAATGTTCTACAGTCTTAATACACAGCATTTTAAGTAGTTATTGCCATTATTATTCTTATAAATAACATTTTAAAAGTCTAAGAAGTTGTTCTTGTGGGTTTTTTGTTTTGTTTTGTATTGATTTTTGTAGTTATTTTGTGTAGCAGCACTAGGGATTGAACCCAGGGATGATTTACCACAGATTTACATCCCCCGTCTCCATTTTAATTTATAAGACTAGGTCTTGACAAGTCGCCTAGGCAAGAATTGAATTTGAAGCACTCTTGCCTCAGCTTCCCAAAGCGCCAGAATTACAGGCACCCATCACTGCATCTCTCATTTAATGTACTTACTTATTTATTGTAAAAATAAAACTAATATGAAACGGAATATTCAGCGTTTCTGCTACCAAAGAACTTTAGTGTGAGGCATCCATTAATTTTTTAAGAGACATGAGGATTTATGAGAGGTTCTATTCTCAAGAGTAGAAATGTGGGTGCTCAGAGAGGTATGATACAGTTGCAAACTGAGGATCTTTAGTGTGTTGGGTGGAGATGATCTAGAATCTCCAAATAATTCAAATAATATAAAGGAAAGATGACAACTCCCAACCTGCTAACCTGCCAGATGTCCAATACAAGTTCATGGTCTCTGAAGTCAAAGAATAAGTTCTAAGAACAGTGGAGGTTAACAGCAGAAAGTACTGGGGGAAAAGAAAGCTATATTGTTCTAAAACAGACAAAAGGGGACCAGAGTTCCCACCAACCCTACTTCTCAATGGAGTTTTATAGAGTGGTGGGGCAGAACTATAATTAACTAATAAGATTACAAGTGCAGTCATTGAGGACCACTGAGTGGTCCAATGGGAAATCACAAGGTGGGTGTTAGGTAAGGCAAAACTATGGTGAACCAATAAGATTATGAATATAATCACTTAGGTAATACTGATTAAATGGGGAAGTAAGTCACAAATCAAGTGTACATGAAATGCAGGGACTCTTCTGAAAGGGAAGTTTGTCTCCTACCTTTTTATAATATCATTTGCCTCTGTTCATCCTCAGAAGAAATATGTAGGTATAGCCTTTGTTTTAAAGTCTGACCCTTAGGGAATGTGCCTCCACCCACTGTTGTAATATATCTTTTACACTGACTCCTTTCAAGGCCCTAGCCTATATTTCTACTTAACTTAACTGTCTATAATAATGGGAGGGAGTCTGTGCAATTCAATCATAAAGTCTTAGTCTTATCTTGTGGGTAGTAGGGGATGGCCCACCCACCCATAGTGAAATAAGTCTATATATGGGAAATCCCAAAAGAGTGGTCCATTCATGGGTTAAAAAACACAACTATTTGCAAGTAAAAAGGAAAGGGAAACTAGCTGAATGGAACGTGCCTGGGTTTGCTGGTTTGGGAAAGGAAAAGGAAGAAAAAAAAAAGAAAGAAAGAAAAAAAACTAGTCTTGTGTCTTAAAGCTGTAGTTTTTCTTCAAAGTACGTTTTTTTTTTTTTTTTTTTTTTTTTAAATCTTGATTTTTTTCTTGTCTGTTTTCTGCCTAGTTTTCATTCAGTTCTTCTATCATACCTCATTTCCCCTCTCCAGGACTTTAGTCTCATTAATAAAAAGGCTCAGAAGATCCAAGGGCTCTTCTTCATCTAACAGCTTCAAAGAAGGGACATTGACTCTGCTTAGCTAGGAACTAAAAGTCTCGTCCTGACTGATCTAAAGGAGACATAGGAATATTGGGTTCCGAAAGAACTATTGTCTTTTAGTAGTCAAACCAAAGTCAAGATCTCCACAGTCTCCGTGTCTTTTTTTAATTAGGTCCCTTATTGTCACCAATATACTTGTCACCAGCCTGAGTCTAATGATCCCTGAGGCTGAAATAAGGAACTTAACCCACCCCTTTTAAAATGAGTTTGTAAGCTCACTGACTTCTAATGTGGAAAGAAATTTTTTCAGGATATGTCAATAACAGACTTGTGAAGGATTTATTAGAGGTACATACAGGACACACTCAAGCAGAGTGTAAGTGTTCAGAAAATGAGATTCTCCATTAATTTTGTGAAGGAATTTCTATTTGAAATGCAAGCTTGCTATATTAAAGCATCTTTTTACTTTAGTATTACTATTTTCTTATTTTATTAGAATTATGTGGTGACATACCAAGTTGGGAAAATGTAGCTGGATTTGGAAAAATGAGAAGATTAAGAAAAACACAGATAGTAATCTTTGCAATCATTTTGGAACCAAAATTTTTAAATACATGGACTTAATCTTAGAGTCAGCTCTACTATGGTTTTTTATTGTGAAAAATTTGTCCTAAGTGTAGAATTATCCAAATTAAGTTACTCAGTGGGTAACTGAAAATTATCCAACATTGGGTACAACTTGGTCTGTTAAGATTTTAGCCCTAAGCATTTGGTGTATACTTCCAGTGAATATTTAAATCTGTTGGAAATACTGAACTAATAGGTTTTTCCTAGACATATGTATTTATGATAGTTCATTTATAAATTGGTGATAGTAAGAAATTAGCAGTAACTAATAAAATAGAACAATTATAACAACGTACTAAAATAAAATTTGTATAACTGTGGTCTCTTTCATGGAGAAACTCATGATGAATATATTAACATTTTGAGACAGAAGTTGATTGCAAATCACTCAAACCATGAAAAGTGAAACTGATACAGGGTAATGAAACTCCCAACCAGTATATGTCTGGTACAAGTTCATGTTCTGTAAAATCGAAGAATGAATTTTAGGAACAATGGAGGTTAAGAGCAGAATATATTTATTGAGAGAAGCAAGCTTCTGAGAGAGCCAAAAGGGGTCCTGAGTGGGTTGCCAAAGTCTGTCTTTTTGGGGGGACTTTGGAGGTGAGACTGGTCCAAGATGGGGAAAACTGAACTTACAAGGCACAGAACTATGGTCAACCAATAAGATTAATTGTTCAGGTAAAATTGACCAAATCAGGGACAAATGGGGAAGCAAGTCAGGTAGGAAGCAGACATTCTTATGAGAGTGACTCTTCCTGTAGGTAGTTGGGATTGTGGTTCCTGGCTTCATCAAGGTGATCCATAACTATTTGGAGAATCAGTCCTCAATGTTTATACTTAAAGTATGGTTGCATTAGTCTTGCCTTTTATCTTGAGATCTGACCCACAATGGAAGGTAGCTATTTCCTCCCAGGTCACAAGACATCTGGTTCTCTGTGCTGGCTCACTGGAGGGCCTACCCTTGTCTGACTGCCTGTAATATTTCTAACTAGCTCACCTGCCTATACCAAAACTATCAATAAAGATTTCACTGGTTCAGAACTATTTTATTTCATTTGGATCTATGAAAGATTATGTACATTTCTTTGATTTATTAAATTGTTACTCATTTTTAGTGCAATTTACTATAGCTGTACTGAGACCTACATATCAGTAATTAGAATTTATATATTCATTAAACTTTTCTGAACATACTTCTGCACCTATGTGTTAGTAGATGTACTGCACCACTTGGATAATGTATTGGTGTAACAACTTTACCTCTTAATTCACATAATCACTTAGATGAGAATGGAAATAAACACCAAATTTTTTCTTTACTCTTTTTAATAGTGGTAATTTGTTTTCATATGTTTTGTCTATTTTCTATACATTGATGAAAGGTTTTTTTCAAAGAACTTACCACTTTATGAAGATTCTAAACTATAGCAGTGAGCTATAGTTAGTATAGTAATGCAGTTAGTATTGCATTGAATGGTGATGAATTTTCTTCTGAAATTAATCACAGTGCTTATATTTCATGTATGTCTGATATATCACTGCTAATTGTTTTGTTTATGCACAATAACTCTTTATTGTGCCAAACCAATATAAGCCCTTAACTCTATATGTGAATTCATACCCACATGTGTATTAAATGTTCAAAATAGTAATTGTTGTATTGATATATTAACATACAGAGTTGGACAAAAGATCTAACCAGTTGCAAGGCTTAGGCTTGGTTTTATCCAAGAACTTCCTTTACTTGAAGGAAAAAGTTGTTATCATTGCCACATTAAGTGACCCTGTTGTCACACTATTTCTTGTTTTTTGATGAGAAGCTAAATTGCCACTGTCAATCCCCTGATCCTGCATGGATTCACTTCTGCAGCCTAATCGGGGAAAAAAAAGGAACCAGTACAACTTAATTAGAAGTCAAAGTTCAGAGACCCTGCTTTCACCAGTGTGTTTTTGTGGCTGATTTTTTTGTTTTTGTTTTTAGGGAGTGAAGCCAGCCAGTTTTGACAAAGTAGCAATTCCTGAAGTAAAGGAAATTATAGAAGGGTGCATAAGACAAAACAAAGATGAACGGTAAGTTGCCTCTTTTGACTTCGTGTTGCTTGAAAAAAACCCCAAAACACAATGTCCTCTAAATATAACACTATCTGATGGATATTTAATACTTGTGATTAGTTTTTCTGTTTATGCCACGTAATATTTTAAAAGTAGAGCTGTCTTGATTGAAGTTATTCAGATTTTTACTGGAACAGTGTGTAAATGTGGTTTAGTTGAGGTTAAGTGAACCAGAACTACTTTAAACATTGCTTTAACATTCAGTGAAAGCTACTTAATTGCATTAATATGATTTATAAATAGAGTTCATTCCCTACTACAGCAAACTTATACCTTAAATTTTTACCCATTGAATTTAAAAAGTAAAATAAAATCTTGGTGCTGGTTTCTTCTTTTGTTTTGTTTTGGTTTTTTGGTTTTTGTTTGTTTTTAATCAGGGATATAAGCAGATTTATTTAGCAGAAGCAAAGAAGTACACACTCAAAAAGGACTGCACCCTTAGAGGTATGAGGTGCCAAAATTTTTTTTCTTTAAAATTAGTTCAACCACACAAGTCTTGATTTCCTGTTGTTATGCAAGAAACACCGAAGAGCAAAACATCAAAATTCCTCCAATTAAGAGAGGACTTTGTCTGAGTCTTAGGAGATCTGGTTTAGTCATTAATACTAACAGAAGACTTTTCTCAGAAGAGTGGCGAGTATCTGATCAACTATATAGCTGATTCATTGCTTTTTACACTTGACAGGAGTCCATATCTATTTTCAAAAAAGTAATCTACTTCTACCATCCCCTCATACCTGCCAGAAAGGAAAAAGTACACCTACCTAGTACAAATATAAATTGTAAATTGAGCATAACCTACCTGCTGAAAAATGGGAGCTATCAGGTATATCAACCACACTGAAGAATTCCATTTCTTCACTTCTCTAGTCTCAAATTCTTTCTCATAACTTCGTTATTTGGGACACTTAACATGTTTTTTAAGACATTTTAGGAGATAATTTAGTTTGGGTTTCTATTTTTATGTATCCTGGGTCTTTAAATCTGCTTAAAACTTTTTTCTTGTAAACAAAAGAATATTTGTTTTGAGTCTTAAAACATTTTACTGTTTCTTTTCTTGATGGAATGGTTCACTAGTATTTTTCAACCATTATATCTAAGGAAGATTTTTTTACAATTAGCCTTCTCCTTGAGTAATCCACAAATTATTGAACAAGGAATTGAGACAGTTTTAATAGAGTAAATAAAAGTTGCTATAGTAGAAAGCACCAAAATAGAAATCAAAGCATTTATGATCTTGGTTTGATTCTATCATTGTACAAATTTTAGAACTATGAGAGAACTGTCAGGAGGTAATAACTCATTGAATGTTACTCAAGAATTAGATAAGGTCATTTATAAGAATTTTGTTACTTATAGTTAAAATACTATACAAACAATTATGCATTTTTAATCTTTGATAGGCTATGGTTTAAAAATTGTCAGAATGTGTTGGTGTATACCAGTGATCCCAGCATTCTGGAAGCTGAGGCAAAAAGATTAAAAGTTCCAGACCTGAGAATATATTAAAAAAAGTTTTTAAAAAAATCATTATCAGTTCTTACTCATAAATCAAATCATTATGATATTGGTAACTTAAGTACAATTCACAAAGTATTCAAATGGAATAATCTTTTTTTTTGTGTGTAAGTAACAGTAATCACCATATTTACAAGTTTATCTTTTCAAGCTTTGTGCAATGGTGAGTGCCTGCAGTCACAGTATTCAGGAAACTGAGGCTGGAAAATTGCTTGAGTGGAGGAATTCAAGATCAGCCTGGGCAACATACTGAGATCCCATCTCAAAAGGAAAACTATCTTAAAGTCAATGACATCTTGTTTTTGTTTCTTTTTCTTTTCCTTCTCTTTGGAAGATATTCCATCAAAGACCTTTTGAACCATGCCTTCTTCCAGGAAGAAACAGGAGTACGGGTAGAATTAGCAGAAGAAGATGATGGAGAAAAGATAGCTATTAAGTTATGGCTGCGCATTGAAGATATTAAGAAATTAAAGGGAAAATACAAAGACAATGAAGCAATTGAATTTTCCTTTGACTTGGAGAGAGATGTGCCAGAAGATGTGGCTCAGGAAATGGTAAATTGGTACTAATCAACCATTTAAAAGTCTTTTGTGATTTATATACATAGATACTGTTCAGCAACAAAGTAGTTTATGAAGTGATGAGTGTGGCATATCTGATTAACATTAAAAAGTCTCTTCTTGATATTTTTTGCACTGGTTGTGTAATGGGTGTGGGATCCTTCTTAAAAGCTATTTTCTGGCTGGGCGCACACACTGGTAATCCCAGACAGGAGGATCACTGCAAGTTCAAGGCCAGCCTGGGCTACAAAAGGAGTTCAAGGCCAGCCTGAACTGCATAGTGAAACCCTGTCTCAAAGAAAAAAAAAAAAAGAAAGCAGTTTTTATTTTTTTTTTGGAAAAAAATTATACAAAGAAGGATAAGATAAAGAACGAACTAGAATGTATTCTAAGTTATTTGAAAGTCTGTAAGTATTTGAGTGACTTGTAAATTTGTATAACTTAGAATGAAAGTTATATTTTTAAATATTTAAATATTTTTAAATATTCAATGAGTCAGATAAGTCCTATAAACAGATACAATTATAAATTATCTTTACTTTGAAGGGTGCTTAAGATCAGTTGTTAGTAGGCACCCTTTGGTGTATCCTTATTTCAAATATGTCTTAAGATCACTTTGCCAGAAGAAAACTGTCATGTTTAGACTTGACAAGATGTCTAGAATAATTAATTATTATTGCAAAGCTACTCATCAAACATTTCTACTAGCATTTATAAGAATCATTCAATAATAATTGTCCCTGAGAATGGATCAGGTGTGAGAGATTTTGTATTGTTTGAAGTTTTGGGGGGTTTTGTAGGATTTTTTTCATGTATTTGCAACAGTTGTTTTATCTAGATAAGTGTTTGCCTAGTGAAAAGAAGTAAAACCAACACATTAATGTCAATGTCTATGAGTCAGAAATAGAGTGAATAGAATAAAATATTTTACTTACTTTTTAAACACTGTGGTTTTAGGTGCCCCATTGTTTTGTTTGTCTTAAGCAAACAGGCACACCCACATTGAAGTTTCTACCAAGATGGAGGTGCCCACACACTTACCACAATGGTGGAGATCTGTGTAATGCAGACCAATAATTTCATAGTTTGCTTAGAAATAGTCCTGAGAGTAGTTCCTTCACCTTCTCTACTTTTCTACAAAGTGATTTTTGTTTTATTTTTTTCTTCTGATATCCTGTTTTTTCTACTATATCCTTTTATTCTGTAGGTAGAATCTGGGTATGTTTGTGAAGGTGATCATAAGACTATGGCTAAAGCTATCAAAGACAGAGTGTCATTAATTAAGAGAAAACGAGAACAGCGCCAATTGGTACGAGAGGAGCAAGAAAAAAGAAAACAGGAAGAGAGCAGTCTTAGACAGCAGGTTGAACAACAATCAAGTGCTTCCCAGACAGGAATCAAACAGCTCCCTTCTGCTAGCACTGGCATACCTACTGCTCCCACAACATCAGCTTCAGTTTCTACACAAGTAGAACCAGAAGAACCTGAGGCAGATCAGCATCAACAACTACAGTTCCAGCAACCAAGTATATCTGTGTTATGTAAGTATTTGGAGATGTAACAAATACACTGATGATGTTTCTCATTGACTTTTTCCCCCTCAATGCTGTGCATCAAACTCAAGGCCTTATACATGCTCAGCAAGTACTCTACCACTGACTTGTACCCCAACCCCTGAATTGACTTTTTATCTTGTTTGTTTTGGAGTAGAATGACAAATTCAACATGTAATAAGGAATTTAAAGTGATTGCTGTGTGGCTTCTTTTGATTCTTATGATAGTGACTAATAGAATAGAAGCGAAAGACATTAAGGAAATATGATCAGAATATAAGATAATTTCAAAATGACCAGTGTCTTGGGAGATTCCAATTTATAGATTGCTACTTTTCATAGTACTTTACTGTTAATGAATAAATTTAGCTGCTTTAAGTTAAACCTGTTGATCTGGTTCAACTGTTTCATCAAAGCCAAATAGCATAGAGAGTAAAAACTAATGTAACTGGTAGTTATTGATTGAATTAACTGCCTAATATTGAAAGCCCACATGTAAGACTGTAAAAACAGGATAAAACCTAAGGCTTACTTATAATATTCCATTTTATTTCCCTAGATTTTCAAATGCTAAGATTCTTGATAACCAGGGGATTTTTTTAAAAAATAACATTCTGGAATTTTTTTCAAATGCATCTCTCATGTATTATAGAAATTTACTTCACATGATTGCTGTTTATTTTTTTCTTTAGTTCAGGTTTGTGCAAACAATCAGTTAATCTTAATGTAATGTCTAAAATGTTAAAATATGAGCCTCATTTTATAACGCATCTATTTTTTGTTTTTGTTTTGTTTTGGTGATTCATTTCAGCTGATGGGACTGTTGACAGTGGTCAGGGGTCATCTGTGTTCACAGAATCCAGAGTGAGCAGCCAACAGACAGTCTCATATGGTTCCCAGCATGAACAGGCACATTCTACTGGTACAGTCCCAGGGCACACAGCTGCTACTGTCCAAGCACAATCTCAGCCCCATGGCATATATCCACCTTCATGTATGGTAAGTAAATAGAGAAGACAGTATAATACTATAAGAGCCAATGGATTATTTGCTAGATTGAAATGTTTTCTACTATCCAAGAAGCAATGTAAGTTTAAAGTAGAAACAATAGATAGTACATAATCTTCTAAGTCTGTGGGTTCCACAGGTGGGATATAGATGTTAAATTCTTAAAATATGCATCTACCCTGTACATGTGCCCGACTTTTTGGTCATTATTCTCTATAAACAATATAACAACTATTTGCCTAGCATTTATATTGTATTAGGTTATTATCAGTAATTTACAGATGATTAAAATATGTAGGATTATATGCAAATAGTATGCCATTTTATATACTTGGGCACCCACAGATTTGGATATGTTAAGTAGGTCTTGGAATCAACCTCACCCTGATACTAAAGGATGACTATATTTCTAAGGGAAACAGAAGAGTATAATTGGAGTATATTAAGCACAATAAATTAGACTCATTGATGTAAGAATTAGCTGATAGACCTACATGAAGGTATTATGTATAAGATTTAGGCTAGTTTGTATTTGATTAGAAGTAATCTCTTTAGCTCTTAAGGTCTAAATTATTTAAAGCACCATAAGCTAGACATACAGGTGGTTGGGGGATGTTGTAAAGAGAGTTCTTTAAAAGATTATCTATTAAAATAATTACTAAGTATTTTCTGTAAGATTTCTTACTGTATAAAACACAGGTAAGACCTTCAAACCATTATAGAATGCTGCATGTGAGTGCTCTAGAGTGAAGAAATCCTTTATTTGTATGATCCTTTAATTTAGCACGCTTGTATTTAATCATCAGTTGCTATGCGTGTTCTTGCCTTTAAAGTCTGTGTTGGATACAAGTCCCTTTCCCAGTATATGTTCATTTGCTTTTCCCTTTATTTGAAGTATATTTTATTACTGATTTTCAGAATCAGTTTATGGAGATCATTTTATATGTACACACACATTAATATCCACTCTTGCTTCTCATGTAGAGAATACAAAGATAGATCACCAGATAATAACCCATATCTTTTACTGACTGACATCTTCAGAAGAACATAAAATATCTTCTCTGTTTTAGGACTTACAACTGATCACTTTATAGCACTTGTTTATTGAGGACTTTAAGCAAACTAATTTTTCCTTCTCAGACAACTTTGTGGAATTCTTTTCTCTATATTAAATGAAAATCTTTCTCTGCAAACACTTGTTTGCTCTGGTCTTTTATGCTACAACGTGAAATAAAAGATTTTACTTTAATGTCCATTGATCAATCTTCTTTGACTAGAATCTCAAGATTAATGGCAACAATAACAGAAGGTAAACTGCTAATTTGCAAAAAAAAGGTTTTTTTTAAAAGAAAGGGTCTTTCACTGTGCAGCCCAGGCTGCCCACAAACTTGCAGTGATTCTCTTGCTTCAGCAGTTCGGAAACTGAGGCAGGAGGATTGTTATAAGTCAACTTTCTAACCTTTGCCATAATTAGGTAGGGTAGAAAAATTTTATAAAAACTGCATGCAAATGTAATTCTGTGTTCTTACATATATTTTTATCAGTTTCTGTCTTTGTTCAGACTGCTTTCAAATGTTTGTAAGTAGATTTTTTAAAAAGTATTTTTAATTTCTTGACGTCCTTTATTTCATGTTTATGAGCATTTATCTCTTTTAGAAAAGGAAATGGGGTCATCATTTTAAAAGACATTAAATATTTTAGCCACTAGCATAGCTATATTTATTTATTCCAAAAGCATTGTCTTTTAATGACAATTAAGGAAGTTTATAATTCTATTCATGTCTCATTCCAGAAACAACCTAATGATAGCTTGCAATAATATGCAGTATAAATTATGTGAAATTTTGGAATAAAAGTAAATCATAATACATACCTGTAGGCAACAAATTCAGCTCAAAGCATTAGTCTCAGAGCCAGTTTTGGAAAAAAAAATGTAATTACATAGTTCATAATATCTCAAGGGAAGTTAATAAACTTGATCCAGGCATCCTTACAGTATTAGACTTATTGCTATGTACGTATGCTAAACCATTTCTGCTAAGGTGCCTCAGACTTTGCAAATCTAAGTTGAATCTGGTATTACTGAAACTTTTTGTTTTTTTAGAAATTGAAATTAAAGATATTTTCCTCTTGACCTAGTAAAAGTACAGAATGTTTCCTATATCCAGTTTTGAATTTCTTCCAGAAAACTGTTCCTACTAGATAAATGACTTTTTTATGTTGTAGAGAAGATTAGGAAGTGTAACAAATAAAATACTGTGAGCCAGCAACTTTTTCTGATGCTTTCTAAAATAGAAGTAAGAATCATGTTCTCAAGTTTCCACAGCTCTGCAAAATAATCCAGTCTTAAAACCTTCCAATCTTATAATATGCTTTAAGCTTTCTTGTTTAATCTTACTATTTGCAGAAACTGTAAACTAATATTGTTTTTCCTGCTCATTACCCTTAGTCAGTTATTTTTTTCCTATTCATAGTCATAACAATTGGTATTTTCTTCAGAATATTTAGATCCTTATGATCACCAAAAAACCTACACTTGACCAACAGGGTAGAGAGAATACTAGTTGTGCCTTGGGAAATTAAATCTCCTTTAAAAATTAGACTTTGCAGAATTGGGAAGGATGGAGCATTTCTTTATGTTAACTATGCCTTGTTTGTTATCACTGTACATTTGGTTATTTTGTTTTCAGACTGTGTTTTTCATGTGTTTTGTTTTCTGTTTAGCCTCGTCGTGGCCGTAGCATGTCGGTTTGTGTTCCCCATCTTTCTCCCGTTCCCTTTCTGTCCTGCATCTCTCCCAGTGCTTCTTCCACCCCACCACCAGTGCTGTCTGCACCTCTTTCTCCTTCCCTCCTTCGGACTGCCCCTGAGGAAACTTTTGCCGAAAAGCTTTCTAAAGCATTGGAGAGTGTCCTGCCTATACACTCTGCCTCTCAGCGCAAGCATCGACGCTCCAGCCTGCCTTCCGTCTTTGTCAGTACTGTATGTAATTGTAAACTTCCTGACAAATGACAAATTATTACCAGTGAATACATCCAGGCAACAACAGTTTTAGTGAAAATTAAATAGAGAACAGAGCTGAACTGTAAACTTGGTTATATAATGTGCTTTCTAGGATACCAATTATTCCTATAGGAAAAATTTTTGAAATACAGATTTAAGGGGAAATAAAAGCAAGGAGGTAAAGAGAATACTTGTAATGTCATTGACACATAACAGTAAATGTCTAATAAAATTGAGCTTTTATTATGTTTTCCTATCATCCACTGGCATAAAGTTTTGGCATTTTCATATCATAGCAAAATGTGTATTATCTATTTTATAACCAACTGTTGGCTAAATTAAAAGCAAAGTCTGTCAAACATTACCCAAACATGTTTTATCCTTACCCTATTGTTAAGAGATTCTAAGAAAGTGGATGAATTTATTTTTACCAGTCATTGATTAATATTTGAGTAGAAAGTTGGTTTTGATATAATTATGCATAGAATAATGGCAGCAAACAAAGTCTACTAAATGTTCTCTTGTGGGAATTATTTTGGCCTTAAGGTTGAATAAGCTTGACACATGTGGTGTGTTTGGCTTTCTTTGGTTCTAACATGCTGTGGAACCTTGCTGCTGCTTTTCCAGTCCAACAATATAGTTAACACTCTGGGTTAGCAACTCTATAGAGTGTTAAGATTTTTAGTAAGGAAGACAACTAATTGTATAATGTTTTATGGTTTTGGGACACACTTTGAATAAATAGCAGTAAAATGAGCATTCTAGTTTTAAATAGCAATCCCCTTTTAGATACTATAGATAGTTGAGCCACTTTGCTAACATAATAGAGGACTTCTGTATTGGTAGAATAAAACTGATCTCTTGAAAAAGAGTCCATAGTAATAAATATAGTAAACTGCCGATCTCATTTGCATTTGGCAATGAGAACTTTAAAATTGCTGTAATAAAAAGTGCCATTAAATCAAGTTGGCTATTGTACGTTATCCGTTTTGCCTGATTTGGACACTAGCTATGAGACTCAAAAAATTCATGGTGTTCAACCTTTACCAATGTTCAGAAAAGTAAATACTTGGTAATTTGACTCCATAATGTATTTTATACAGTGAAACTATTAACTGTGTCTAGTTTGGGATAAAAGGAAAGACATTACTCTCATAGTCAAGCAGTTTGTCTTATACTCTCTAACATTTCTTCTAATTTTTAGTTAAAAGACATACCACTAGTTAATGAAAAACAACCCTGAAGCCTATTTTAACACATAGACTAATAAGAACACAGAAAATGAGAAGACTAATATTACAGCTTAAGTTGTAGCATACTTCTTAGCATCATAAAAATGTTTGGGTTTACTATACTTTAATGCTTATTCTTTAACTTTTTCATTGATAAAAATCTTGAAGTTTAAGAACAAGCATATTAATTGAATATAATAGAACCATCATTTTGGTAAGTTTAATTCATCCTTTTAAGACAGGAAGATTGTGGGAAAGCAATTCTTTATCTAATGCAGAGTCCCATAGATTAACTTTATTGTCCCTGGATGTATTTAATGGATTTTTATTCTGCACATAATTTCCAAAGCATTGCTATTTCTATATGATAAATTTAGTGTAACTATTTTATAGGGTTACACAAACTATCTAGTTGTGCATGTCTGATGTAATTTAACATATGAATGTATGAATTACTTGTCTTATTCATGTTGATACAGCCTCAGTCCGTGGCGCATCCGTGTGGGGGGACCCCAACATACCCAGAATCACAGATATTTTTCCCAACTATTCATGAGCGTCCAGTTTCTTTTTCACCACCTCCCACCTGTCCACCGAAAGTAGCCATTTCCCAGCGGCGTAAGAGCACCTCCTTCCTGGAAGCCCAAACTCGCCACTTTCAACCCCTGCTGAGGACTCTTGGTCAAAATCTTCTTCCACCTGGTGGCAGCCCAACTAACTGGACACCAGAGGCTATAGTTATGTTGGGTACTACAGCCAGTAGAGTAACTGGAGAGCTATGTGAGATACAGGTCCATCCTACTATGTCTGAGCCAACTCAAGTTTACAATGACTATAGACCTGGACTAGTACTTCCAGAAGAAGCTCACTGTCTTATTCCTCAGGAAGCAGTGTATCTAGCTGGGGTACGTTACCAGGCCCAGGTGGCAGAACAGTATGAGGGCATTTCATACAACTCACCAGTACTGTCAAGTCATATGAAACAGATTCCTGAGCAGAAGCCAGTACAAGGGGGCCCTACTTCAAGTTCTGTCTTTGAACTTCCATCTGGACAGGCTTTCCTGGTAGGACACCTTCAGAGTTTAAGATTAGATTCTGGATTGAGTCCAGGATCTTCCCTCTCTAGTATTTCTGCACCTCTCAGTACAGATGCTGCATATTTGAAATTTCACCCCGTCTTTGTTCCTCATTCTGCACCTGCAGTGTTAACTCATAGCAATGAGAGCAGAAGCAACTGTGTATTTGAATTTCACTCTCAGACGCCAAGCTCCTCTTCAGGAGAAGGAGGTGGAATTTTACCTCAACGTGCTTACCGAAATCAGCAAGTTGCAGTGGACGCAAATCAGGATGAAATGCCTCCTCAGTCAGTTGGATTACATGGCCACCTGCACCCTGTGACTGAAGAACAGCGTAATTACCATGCCCCAGAACTGACTGTTTCTGTGGTAGAGCCTGTCGGACAGAACTGGCCAATAGGAAGCCCAGAATATTCCAGTGATTCCTCACAAATCACTTCGTCAGATCCCAGTGATTTTCAGTCACCTCCCCCTACAGGGGGAACAGCTGCACCTTTTGGCTCTGACTTCTCAATACCCTTTATCCATCTGCCTCAGACAGTATTACAAGAATCCCCACTTTTCTTCTGTTTCCCCCAAGGAACCACATCTCAGCAGGTTTTATCTGCCTCATTTTCTTCAGGAGGATCTGCACTCCATCCACAGGTTATAGGAAAACTTCCACAGTTCTTTTAAACTGTTACACACAATTATATTTAAATTTTTTTATCCCTTATTTTCCTGAATCATGAAATTATGAGGAATGTTGTTTAATTTTTTCAGTAGTTTCCTCATCTTTTGGTGGTCATAAACTCCTTGTGTTTAAGAACGAAATATGAAACAGAAGCTACCTGATTTGCCTGTAATGCTTATCAACTCTTGGGAAAAAAAGAATACCAGAGCTAAAATTTTAATCACTCATCAAAATCAAGGTCCCTTGGGCCGGGGATTTAGTTCAGTGGCACAAGTGCCTGCCTGGCAAGCGCGAGGTCATGAGTTCAATTCCCAGTACAAAAGAAAAAGAAAAAGAAAAATCAAGGTCTTTTGTCCTTAAATGTAATACTTTCAAGTAGTAGTGAAATGTACTTATCTATACTGTAAGGTTGATGAGGTGTATACTAAGCTGAAGTGTAAGTTTCTTCCTGTGAACAAGTTTTTTGAAAAGTAGTATAAAAGAATAATAACTTCCGTAAAGTGAAATGAATGAAAGATAGTAAGAACTTTTTTGGAGTAGTCTTAAGAATTCATGCGTAGGATTGGTACTTGTGCAAGGACCCTAAAAAGGTAGCAAAAGAAAACACCTTAGGAGTATGGCTTAACAAATGAAGATGCCTTTATGAAATAACATCAGTTAATCAAGCCTCTATGTATCATGTCCAAATAAAATAGCAATCTATAAGTTAAGAACTATTTCTAATTTTAGTAACTGAGTTAGATCTTTTGGGTGGTAGGTGTATTATTTTTTGTTTGAAGAATTTATGATGTATATTGCGAGGTCAAGAATGTTTTCTATCTCAGGTCTTGCTTTTTTTCCTCAACAAGTTTAATTTAGTTATTTATGTAAATTACTTGCATATAGTTATGCAAGTAATTAAATGTCATAAATTAAACAGTGTTGACTGCTTTAGGTATACTTTTGACATATTATCAGATGTACATACATCTTATAAATCTTCATTGAAGACTGTAATTATATTCAAGACATCCTTCCAATCTTCTAAATATTACAGTCTTATAAAGGACTATGTATTCTTCTTACTTTCTTCCTATGTTCTTCCCCTATCAAAGGCATAAATAACTCCAAAAGTGTAGAGAAAGTATCAGTTACTTAAGTAGCACTAAGAAGCAGAAAGATTCAGAAACTTAAACTATACTGCATGGGCATTCTGTATACTCACCTCAGATTCATGTTGGTGGTTTCTAATGGAAATATTAATGTATTAGCAACCATTCTTTTTATTTTTAATTTTCCAAGGTAAAATTTCAAATGTAAAATAGCTAATTTACAAATATATTACAAGGGAAGAATAAATACTTAAGCCACATGGGATGGGATATATCCATGTAAGTTTCAAACAGCCTCCTCTAAATTAAAATGGAACAGTAAAGGTAATACCCTTTTCTTTCCTTAACCTACCTAGATATGTAATCCTGTATTTGTTTCTCACTTTATCACTTTATTTTAAATTAGATCTTTTCATAATTGGAACGCTTTAGTCAGAGTTTTCCAAACACAACAGGAGAGTGACATTCAGGACTGAATAATTCTTTGTCATGAGGGAGGCTCTTCTACGTATTGCAGGATATTTAGCAGCATTCCTGGTCTCTGACTGCTGGATGCTAGCAACAGCCATAGTTCCCAGTTTTCTAACATCCAGAAATGATTTTGAATACTGACACATGTTCCCTGGGTAACAGCTATTACAGTGGGTACTAAGTAAGCAGTTGGTAATAATAGATTTTTGACATTGTCATTAAACATTACTATGACACTACAAGAAGTAGCAAAAAGAATCTAACAGTATCAGATGATACTATCAGAATCTTTTTTTTCTTGAATTGTTCAGTTTAAAAAATCTTTTACATTTTAGTCTTTTAATACTTTTTTCCTGATTATTAAACTTCCAATAATAATTTTATTACAAATCTGAGTATTCTAGCCAGCTAAAATTATACCCTGAACATCAGTGGTAAGTTAGATTTGAATTATCAGTGGTTTTGTTGTAGGATGGAATCAGAAATTTTCTAAGGTATGATTCTGCTCTAAATTTTTTTTTACAAAAGATACCCCAGAAGTCTCTCCCATATATACTTATCAAGCTAATGTTTCATTTTGATCAAGCAAACTTCTCAGGAGTTTTTATTGCAAAAGTCTGACCTGTGTACACATACCTTTAGCCTTCTCTAATTTGTTGTGTTCACTTCTTTCATTCAGGCACAGGGTCAGAGCCAGGGCCAGCCATCTTCAAGTAGCTTAGCAGGGGTCCCATCTTCCCAACCCATCCAACATCCTCAGCAGGTAAGAACAATACAATGCTGTATTTTATGATTAGCAGTTATAGCCAAAATACTGTTTTATATCTTTTATAAATTAGATTCCTAATAAAAATGGCTTCCTAAGTTTTTGAAAAGGAAATTAGGAAGCATAACATTGTCTTATTCATTTTAGAGAATATCATTTATTATACTTTTGAATAATATATATAGTTGATATTTGAAAAAAGTATCTTACTGATATAATTTATCCACTTTCTTAACTGATTATACATATAAACAGTACAAAGACTTACCAGTTTGTTTCTACTTATGTATATGTATTTTGTTTATTTGTGTTTTGGTACCAGGGATTGAACTCATGACCTTGCACTTGCCAGGCAGGCAACTAAGCCACTGAGCGAAATCCCCAGCCACTCTACTTATATCTTTATGACTTGTCCACATATGAGCACTCTGTCATATTTTTTCATTGTGCCTTATTGTCATAATCCTAAATTCTTTTTAAATTATTGCTACTATTTGGGATATAGTATTAGATTTCATGCTCCAAGGCATTGAATGAAGGCCTTAAGAACAGCTACTGCAGAAAGATTGGAGGAAAATTTTTCATTAAACTTGTAATTTTGCATGGTTTGTTCCAGAAGATCCAAGAAGCTCAAGAGATTATGTAATGCTTATATATGTGGCCAAAGTGATCATTTTAAAATTAAATATAGTTCTTCACTGATATTAGTTAACAGGAATAATTTTCAAAGAAGTAATATATTTTGCAGTAAGTGATATTTAGGAACTGCTTCAAACAAAATTTATACCACTACCTGTGAAATACAAACCTCAAGAGTTACAGTGGTGTGCTTCTATCATCCAGGCTGCTCAGATGGAAGAAGCAGAAGGATCACACATTCAAGGCCAGGCTGAGCAACTTATTAGCAAGACGGTATCTCAAAAATAAAAATTTTAAAAAGAGATAGGGATATAACCTAGCACTCCTTGGCCTCAGCACTTCCCCAAAAAAGTTAATAGTGTATCTATGTTGAGCCAAAAGTAACTGTCTTCAACTAAGAAATTTTGTGATCATAAGCCAAGTTGTGGAATATCCTAGTAAATAGTTCTTTACTATAAGAGTACCTGTAAAGCAGCAGTGACAAACCTACAGCATGTGTGCCACAGCAGGCTGTTTGTATCACTGAAAGCCTAAAGGTTTGCCATCACTCTACAGTCTTCAGGTATTCCTTTTCTATTCAGCTGGGGAGCACGTATGTTTTGCTTGAAGCAGCCATGTCCAACAGATGATACACAGTGAAAATAGTTCAAACTGGTCTCATAAAGTAAGTTTCTGCAAATCCTGAGGCAAGGCTGCTGTGGTTAAGCCATTACCTTCTTGGCTGTAATGTTGCTAATTACACAAACAGATCACTGTGCTTTTTGTGCTACCCAGAGATGTCACTTCTAAAATACTTTACTGAGATAGGTACCTATCATTTGTCTTAAGCGAAGTGTGAGGGAATAAATTCTACAGTCCTTCAATGTTAACTCCTCCATCCCGAACTAAGCAAGTTTTTTTTTGTTTTGTTTTGTTTTGTTACTAAGTTCAGATACTATAGGTTAATCAAGATGGATTGAGTAATGATTGCGGTCAAGGAATGAAAATAATGTGTAAACATATGTATACTTCTACAAAAGAAATAAGAATAGTAGCTAATTCATACAATATACAAGGCATTTTACCTGTAGTTTTATTTTGTTCCTGTAAAAATCCTGTAAGTGTAGTTAGTATCATCATTTCCATTTTATTAATGGGAAGTTTGAGCAATTTATCTAAACCTATACTGTAACTTATAAGAAGTAAAAATAGCTTAAATAGTCTGACTTCACTGCTCACCATTTAACTACTACCCAATTGTATCCCCAAAGGGAAAGAAATTAACATGTCTGTTGAGTAGAACGGAGTTATTGAAAGACTGTGTGTGTGTGTGTGTGTGTGTGTGTGTGTGTGTGTGTATTATATATATATAAGTATGTTAGACTCTGATTATAAGTTAGATTCAGATGGAAGAATAAAGAATTTTTCCAGACCTAAAAGGGGAAGAGGAGCATTATGAGTAAAGGTAGAAGATGCAAAGATAAAAAAGTAAGAGACAGAAACAAATATGCATTTATTTTGGCTTAGAATATAAAGATATATAAAGATGTAAGTTAAAGAGTTGATAATTCAAATTTTGTTGTATGATTATAAACTGGTATAACTGGGAAAGAATAGGGATTTGATGGTTACTGAATCATCAAATACAGTATAAGGTGGAATTTCTTTTTCCCATCATATTTATTCCTTAGAAGAGAATTATGGTGTATTCAAATCTTTATACTATCATATTACAGAATTCTCATTGTTCTTTATTTTGAACAGCCCCCAAAATGTTAATAAAATCAAAATAAAGTCCCTACTCTTGGAGATATAGCTTCACTAATCGATTTGTGTGTGTGTGTGTGTGTGTATGTAAATTTTTTTCTCCCCTTTTTGGACAAGGTCTTATTGTCTCGTTCAAGCTGGCCTTGAACTTGCAGCAGTCTTCCTGCCTCAGCCCCCTGAGTACTAGGATTATAGGTGTATGCTGCCATGCTTGGCTGTGTATATCTTTACAAATAATTTGTTTAAAGAAGTTATACAAAGTTTACATAAATATAAACTTGTGAGACAAATGAAAAAAAAAAAAAAAAAAACCTACCTAAACTAATAATGTCCGAACAGATACTTATCATTTCAAATTCTACTTTGAGACCACTTAAAGGGAAAGTACTTTGTTATGCTGGAAACCTGCCATAGCACCCATGAAGTGAAAATAAAAATGTTGATGTCTTTCGTTTGAAGAATTTAAGAAAAGAGAACAGTGTTTTTGAATTAATACATTTTATGTAACTTATCTAGTTAAGTAAAAATGAATTAGATAATTATACGTATTTCTTTAATGTGTGTAATAATACACGTTCTTTAATATTTAAGCATGTTGGCAAAAATATTGTTTGGTTTTTAGTTTCTTTTTTCAATAGGAAAATAAGAGTCTGATATTTAGAGTTATCTTAGCGTTGTTTACATGTGATACCTTAGTTTCTGGGGAAAGTTTTTATATAGTTCAACTAACCATGATAAAGTAAGAATACACTATTAGAAGGCTGGGGATTTAGCTCAGTGGCATAAGCTTCTGCCTGGCAAGTGCAAGGTCATGAGTTTGATCCCCAGTCCCCCCCCAAAATACACTACTAGGAATAATTAAATAGGAACAAAACAAATATGACTGCTATCACTATTATAGTGCAGATTTTTTCGATAATCTTACTTTATATATTTAAAGAAGGAATAAATACAAGAACAAAAAGATTATCACTTATTTTTTTTGATTATCACTTATTTTTAAGATTACCACTTAACAAATCCAAGTCAAACTATATATGACAAATCCAAGTAACTATATATGTAATAAAGACAAAATAAATAGCTTGTCTTTATATAAGTCTTAACCAGTTTGTCCTGTGTATGTACCAGGACACAAATAAAATGTGTTGGTTGGAGCATTAAGTAGCAAAAAATGCAAACATTTTCATTATTGGCAGATTACTCTTTACTATGAGATGGGTTTGTTTTTGTTTTATTTGTTTCAGCAACACAACTGTGTGTAAATGCCAACTGATATCTAGGAGAAAAGTCATAAAGATGATATACCAAACCATGAACAGGATTAGGGTATTTTCATTTAACTTTATAATTAGAATTACTGGTTAAGATATTTATAAATAGGTGTTGATAAGAAAAAATTAAATTAGTTATAATTACTAGAGTCTTGAAAATCAGCTATAAAGGTCAATTTTTTTTTTTTTTTTAGGTAAAAGAGATTTTAATGTTAGTGATGCTCCTGTTTTGCTTGCTTGAATTATTACAAAGTTTAGTATTTGGGTGTAATTGCATGTCAGTACCTGTTACATGGTTAATTCCCAGATGTCACTCCTTTTGCCTCACTTTGAGTAGAATGGTCTTGTTCTTGTTTTCAAAAAGGAAATTTTATTTTCTAATACAATGAGCAGTTTTATTCTGTAATAATATGCAGTGATACTACAGCTAGTAAGCAGTGAAATTAAAAATTGAAATTATTTCCTGGTTAAAAACTCAATGCTTTTCTCACTATTCTGTGGCTGCAATTAAAGTAATTACACAGTGGACAAACTAGGGTGAGAAAGTTGTTTGGACACAGTATCTAAATGTCTCTGATAGGTTTGCTGTTGGGTGAGGGTGACACTGGGTGAAGAACTAGTGGGGACTCAAGTTTTGGAACATTGGTTAATTGTTACATGAGCATCACAAAGAATGTTAGAGAAAAAACATAAAGGGGAACTTGGGTTTTTGCATGATGTCAGCAAAGAGAACATATGTAAGAGAAATTGATAAATTTGCATTTCTAAATTAACTGTATTCCTTAGAAACATGCCATTAACTTGAAATAAAACTGAATCATGAACCACACATCCTGTGGGGTACATGCCCCTAGGCCAGCTATTGAGGAGGCTGAGGCAGGAGAATAGATGGAGCCCAGAAGGTTGGAGCTAGCTTGGGTGACAGAGGGAGAACCCACTCAAAAACAAAAGAACAACAAAAATAGTTGAATCCTTATATTTTTATTCTTAGCAACAAGGAATACAGCAGACGGCCCTTCCTCAGCAGACAGCACAGTATTCACTTACACAGACAGCAACCTCCAGTGAGGCCACTACTGCACAGCCAGTGAGTCAGCCTCAGGCTCCACAGGTCTTGCCTCAAGTGTCAGCAGGAAAACAGGTAAACTCTTAATTCCTGAAAAGATACTAAAAGGATCTCCATGTAATTTGCCCTTGCTTGTAGATAAACTTCTACTCTTCTAATAGTGAAACATTTATTGAACCTGGTTAATCTCATTGAAATGACATGTGAATTGCTCCATTTGTACATATGTATTATTTAATGTAAATGAGTACGTAATGATTTCAGTGACAACCTATAAATATTTCACTTTCAGGATTATCAGTATAAAATAGAGTTACAGGTATTTAAAACTAATGGATTAAGTAATAGACTTCTGACATTCTCTAGAAATAGTTAATTGTATGATATAGGTTTGTAGTTGTGTTTCATTCTCATGTAGATTTCTGCTGTTTCCTCTCATTGTATACTGATAGTCATACTGTCAAACTTCCTTACTAGGAGTAGGGTTGTGTTTTTTAAATTTTTTTTTTTTTTTTAGGTAGGTCTAATCTCTTGAAAAGTGTTCTGTAGGAAGTACTGTTTTGTTTCTTTTCAGGGGAGTGGTTTTGGTGTTTTGTTGTGTTGTGTTGTGTGGGGTTTTGGTTTTGGTTTTTTGTATTCAGAATGGAACTCAAGACCATGTGCTTGCCAAGCAAGTGCTTGTACCATTGAGCTTTATTCTCTGCCCAGGAAATACGATTTCCTTAATGACCTTTTTTCAGTTTTATCTATGGATATCATTATACTTACATGATAAGTACAGTGTGTTACTATTGTATTTCATCGTATCTAAAATACTGTTGCCTGTAAAATGCACCATTGTTTTATGAACCAATGACTATACACTAACGCATCATCAATTGTAAAAGATACTCCACTTCCTTAAATGTTCAAATGACAGGGATGACTTTGTCCTAGAATTCATGACAAACATTTTATACCCGCTTTTTATAGAGTTGTGTTAAACCTAAAAATTATAGAAGTAAAAGGGTGAATTCCACTGGGGGAAAAAATTCATTTGAATTTCCTTAACTAATGGAATAATAGTCATAGATTTAGTAACAACAAATATGCAGTGGATTATGATATATTACATACCAAGAAAGCTATTAAAAATAACAACAAATGCTTGTGTGTGGAAAAAGACATATTTTTATTGTCAGCAATGAAACATTAGCAAAGTTTTTTACAGTGCAAGGTTTAGAACAAGTCAGATTACCAGTCTCTTTCTCTTCTGCTATCCTTTCCTTATTCTTATGTGGCATATTAACTTACACTAATATATGCAGAGTTTTGTTTGTTTCCTTCTTTTTAGCTCAAACTTAATTCTTGCTTTTGTCAGCCTTGCTTTAAAAACAAAAAGTCTGTTTTGTTCTTCTTTGCTTTCCCAGCTTCCAGTTTCCCAGCCAGTACCAACTGTCCAAGGCGAACCTCAGATCTCAATTGCGACACAGCCCTCAGTTGTTCCAGTCCACTCTGGTGCTCATTTTCTCCCTATGGGACAGCCACTTCCCACTTCTTTACTCCCACAGTACTCTGCCTCTCAGATTCCCATATCAACTCCTCATATGTCTACAGTTCAAACAGGTTTTTCATCCCTTCCCATTACAATGGCAGCTGGCATTAATCAGCCTCTGCTCACCTTGCCTTCATCTGCTACATCAACTGCAATCCCAGGGGCATCAACTGTGGGTCCCAGTCAGCTTCCAACTCTTCTGCAGCCTGTGACTCAGCTGCCAAGTCAGGTTCACCCACAGCTTCTACAATCAGCAGTTCAGTCCATGGGAATACCAGCTAACCTTGGACAAGCTGCTGAGGTTCCACTTCCCTCTGGAGATGTTCTATACCAGGTAAAATGAGGGTATTAGAGGGTCAGACTATTAAGAATTGAAAGTGTAACAGTTCAGTATCAGAATAACAACAAAAGTTGGTAAGAGAAGCTAACATCGTAAAATTCTGAGAAAGGATAGTGTGACGATGTATGATGACTCATCCTTTTTTCACAAGATGCAACTTGGGAGAAAAATGATACTCTATATTCACTAATAAAGTAACAGAATACTAGATATAGTTTAATACAGTACATCAGGCTGCATTTGTATTTGTATGTGAATACAGTAGGCAGTATGGTATCACCAGAATTGCAGGGAATGGGTTTAGAAGATGAGCATTCCATGATAAGACTGGAATGACTGGGGCTGGGGATTTAGCTCAGCGGCATAAGCGCCTGCCTTGCAAGCAGGCAGTCGTGAGTTTGATCCCCTGGTACCAATAAAAAAGAAAAAGATTAAAAAAAAAAAAAGACTGGAATGACTGACACCTGCATTCTTCATGTAAGATTACCTAGAAAGTAGATACTTTTCTAGAAAGAGGCTAGGGATATAGCTCACCAGCACAGCAGCTGCCTGGCAAGTGCAAGTTCATGAGTTCAATTCCTGATACCTCCACCATCACCCCCCAAATTGGAAGGAATTAAGTGTATCCCATGAATCTCCAGAGCCTGGCATAGTGGTATGTATTTGTAATCTGAGCACTCAGAAAGTTGAAGCAGAAAGCTTTCAAGTTTAAGGCCAGCCTGCACTACATAATAATACCATCTCAAGTCCTTTGGTCCCCCGAAAAGAATTATCTCCAAGGGGAGAAGGGAGCAAAAGTTAGCAATTTAAGGTGTGACTATTGAATGCTGTCCCCAGATTGGAGCTAACCTACAATTTCAAGAAGGATCTTTTTTTTTCTTTTTGAGACAAGGTCTCACAATGCGGTTCAGGCTCCCTTGAGCTCACTTTGTAACCCAGGCTGATCTTGAACTTGCAGCAGTCCTCCTGCCTTAGCCCCAAATGCTGGGATTACAGGCGTGAGCCACCATGCTCTTAAGAATGATCCTTAAGTGTTCTTTAGATTATTAGTAAGAAAATATTCTTTACTGTGTGCACCCCTGCCTTTTGGCATGTCTTGCTGATTTGCTAATTTGATGTCCCAACCTGTACTAACTTGCCTTCCTCATTTCTGTCACAGGGCTACCCATCTCGACTGCCACCACAATACCCAGGAGATTCAAATATTGCTCCCTCTTCCAACATGGCTTCTGTTTGCATCCATTCTACAGTTTTGTCCCCTCCTATGCCGACAGAGGCATTGGCTGCACCAGGTTACTTTCCTACGGTGGTGCAGCCCTATGTGGAATCAAATCTTTTGGTTCCTATGGGCGGTGTAGGAGGACAGGTTCAAGTGTCCCAACCAGCAGTGAGTTTAGCACAACCCCCCACCACATCTTCCCAGCAAGCAGTTCTGGAGGTAAATTAAATTATTGCATGTTTCTGTGTGGAAAAAATATATATATGCATACATATATATTTTAAAATGTATAATGACAGGAAAAACATAGGCTCCCCTGGTTTAGAACTCATTTGGAGACTATGTCAAACTAACTTCTGAATGACTTTTTCTTCCAGCAGAATGAAATGCCAATGTGGGGGCCTTGTTGCCACTGGCTGTTCTGTTGGGAAGTGAGTGTGCCTTGGAGATTAATCCTATTAGCACTTCACTTCTCTAGCTAGTACTTAGTCATTATTCTTATCCTTCCACAAACTCTTACCGTTGGCAGTCATACAAATATCAGCCTGCTGTGCTCTCAGCAGTGATTGTTGCCATACTAGGAGAAATATCTGAGTTCATCTTTTCACTTTACTCTCTCTATATCCTGTTGCACACTTCTGGTAAGATGCTGGCTGCATGGCAAGTTGTTAGTTTCACACTGCCTAGCAAATAGGTTGGCTGACCTCACACCATGCAGTCTACATCAGAAACTAGCTTTAAAAACTTCCTTTGGAAATTTAGGATCACTGTTTATAGAAGCTTAGTATTAAGATTTACTAGTGAGTAAATTACTGCTTCTGGGTCTTACGGGTGGTGATGCAAGGGAGAAAAATGGTAAAGGGAGCTTATCAGGGATGACACATGATGAGTACAATGTATTATCCCCAAGATTTGAATTATTCTTTCTGTTCACAGAGTACTCCAGGAGTCTCTCAGGTTGCTCCACCTGAGCCAATTCCAGTAGCACAGCCACAACCTACCCAACCTGTCACTTTGGTTTCTTCCATAGACAGGTATGTGAAATTCAAATTCTCCTCTGACTATTCTGTAGTGTGGTATGAAACTTGCAAAATACTAGACCATTAAACTTCATATTGTAACTGAACCTTTTTTCCCAAAGTGCACATTCAGATGTTGCTTCAGGTATGAGTGATGGCAATGAGAATGCCCCATCATCCAGTGGAAGGCATGAAGGCAGAACAGCAAAACGGCATTATCGAAAATCTGTAAGAAGTCGCTCTCGTCATGAAAAGACTTCACGTCCAAAATTAAGAATTTTAAATGTAAGTAGTATTGATTTGTGGCCTTTGAAATGTTGAAGAAATTTGGCACTCAGAAGAATTTTAAAGACTGTAAAATCCAAACCACTCATTTGATTAGAGAAAGATATCTTTGTGTGGTGCATAATTTATGTGGCACTCTTCCCTTTTAATCTGCATAAGCCCAGCTAGTTGTGTATCATGTTTTTTCAGGTAGAAAAAAAGTGAAAATACAGTTCCATCAAGTTGTAATAGGCCAGCAGTTAATATCATTTAAATAATTCTCAAGTCTTAGATAAATAGATCAAAGTATTAGATCCTCTGATTACCCAAAAAATATTCTTACATACCATATTTCTCTGGTAAGGCATCATTACCTTGTTGTTGTTTGTTTTGGGTTTTTTTTTTTTGCAGGGGGGAATTCTTGTTTTGTTTTTTGTTTTTGTTGAAGGTAAGGTCTTGCTGTGTAGCTCAGGCTAGCGTCAGACTCATGGTGCTTCTCCTGCCTCAGCATCTCTACAGGCATGTTCTGCCATATCCGCTGGTACTTACCTTTTAGAAAAAGAGTAGCTTCAGTTTATAGAAAAAAGATTGCATTCCTTCCACAGTCTAGTGGAAGATGAGTAAGTGGCTGAAAAGCTGATTTCTTCTCACAGGGTTTTTGTTGTTGTTGTTGTTTTTGTTTTGTTTTTGGTGCTACAGTTTGAAAGGCAAAGTATTAGTGCTCAGGGAAACAGTGATGACACTGCTTCTTCAGACTTAAATTTGATTGTTAATCTGAATAACTTTTCGGAAATTCAGTGATAATGCTAAAGATAGTCTTTTGAAGTGAAATACTTTCTCTTTCTCTTTTTAGGTTTCAAATAAAGGAGACCGGGTAGTAGAATGTCAATTAGAGACTCATAATCGGAAAATGGTCACATTCAAATTTGACCTAGATGGTGACAACCCTGAGGAGATAGCAACAATTATGGTAGGTTGTGTTTGGGGTTTCAGATTTTTCACTAGTACTTGATCTGAATATCTATTTATCTAGGTAGCTATCAGTGTTTTGTGATCCTCATTTATCCGTTTATCTAGATGGGTATATATTTATTCCAGTATGACATACTGATAACAGCCTATTGTCCAGGGGAGTTTTTGTCTAGAGTGTGTCTACCTATTGAAGTTCTTAAAAAGTAACAGCTGACTTAAACACCAATTAAAGCATAGTACAGTAAATGTGCAAATAGAGTAGAAGTTATGAAAGTGGTAGATGAATGACTTAAAGCTTAACATACAATGCTAATCAGACAGATATCGTTTCTTTTACAGGTAAACAATGACTTTATTCTAGCAGTAGAGAGAGAGTCGTTTGTGGATCAAGTACGAGAAATTATTGAAAAAGCTGATGAAATGCTTAGTGAAGATGTCAGTGTGGAACCAGAGGGTGACCAGGGACTGGAGAGTCTACAGGGAAAGGATGACTATGGCTTTTCAGATTCTCCGGTAGGTTCATGATTCCCATAGTGAAGCCTTCTGTTTTTTTGAAGTATTTCTATAGTGCAAAATTTACCATGCAAAATGTCTACTCATCACACATTCTGTATATGACAGAACAAACATTCATATGTGATGTGATGATTTGCTTAATCATAGAAATTGCATTTCAGAATGAATTTAATTACTTTTGTTTTTTGCAGAAATTGGAAGGAGAGTTCAAACAACCAATTCCTGCATCTTCCATGCCACAGCAAATAGGTGAGTTTCTTTCTTTCCTTGCTTTTAACCTTTAACTTAAGTTTTGTGCACCAGTAATACAAGCTTGCAACATTGTGTTGGTAACAGTACAAGTGATAATGATACAATTAAATTATTTATTTCTTTTTGTCAAGGTGTTCCTACTAGTTCTTTAACTCAAGTCGTTCATTCTGCTGGAAGGAGGTTTATAGTAAGCCCTGTGCCAGAAAGTCGATTACGAGAGTCAAAAGTTTTTACCAGTGAAATATCAGATACAGGTAAAGACTGATTCTGCCACATACTTATGTAAATTCTATAGCATCTCTGAACAACAGACATGGAGGAGGTTAAAGGAAAAGTGAGCCATACTAGATAAAACCATTAAAGGAGATACTACAGTATGTATTTGTTTCTGAACTTAGAACTACCATACATGTTTTCAGGTGATTCCATGTTTGTTTGTTTGTTTTTGTACTGGGAATTGAACTCAGGACCTCACACTTGCCAGGCAGACACCTGTGCCTCTGAGCTACGTCCCCAGCCTATTTGTGTGTTTTTCAAAAATAGATATTCATATAAACTGACTTGTCTGATCACACTACTTTGCTATTTTAGAGTCAATCATTTCCTTGGAAAAAATTTTAAACCTTGTTAATGGCATTGTTAGCAGTCCAAAAATAGATTATTACAACCCTCTTCTGCATCTTTTTTTTTTTTTTTTTAATGGATTGATTCATATATATTTTTTTTCCTTTGCAGTTGCTGCCTCCACATCTCAGGGCCCTGGAATGAACTTATCTCACTCTGCCTCATCCCTCAGTCTTCAGCAGGCATTTTCTGAACTTAGACGTGCTCAAATGACTGAAGGACCCAGTACAGCACCTCCAAACTTTAGCCAAACAGGACCAACATTTCCTCCTTTTTTTGGTAGTGCTGCTGGAGGACCTCCAGTCACTGCAGCACCCACACCTTCAGTATCAGCCCCTATAACAAACAGCCCTCTTAATGACATTTCCACATCAGTAATACAGCCTGAACTTACAGCGCCCACTGAAAAGGGAATTGCTGGAGTTGTCACCAGCACAAATGTAGTAACTTCAAGTGGTCTTCCTGAACCACCTGTGTGTGAGTCACCAATACTCTCTAGTGTGGTATCAAGCATCATTATACCCGCAGTTGTTGCAGTGCCTCCAACAGGCCAGCCAGTCCAGGCCTCTACATCTGGGAGCATTGTTCCTAGCACAGGCACTTTTCCTTCTATAACAGTTTCAACAACTTCAGCCTCCACCTTGGGCAATGCAGTTGCCTCAGGTCCCAAACCTCCATCTGTGTTACCTCAACAGGCAGCAGGCAGTACTACTGGGGTAGCCTTGGTAACATCAGTTTCTGCTACCACTCCACTCACAAGCATAGTTTCACAACCATCTCTTCAGCTAAGCAGTAGCACCTCTTCTACTACTGCAGCTGAAACAGCAGTGGTTAGTGCACACGCACTAGACAAAACACCTGATAGCGGTACAACTGGGTTGGCTTTGTCCTTCTCTGCAACATCTTCTTCCTCCCCTGGAACAGGAGTGGCTAGTTCTATTTCTCAGCCTGGACTGCATCCATCAGTTGTGGCTTCTACTCTTGTCCTTCCCCAGGCAACAGTACCTACTTGTACACCTTTATTACCCCAAGTACCTAGTGTCCCACCCTTGATACAGCCTGTTTCCACTGTGCCTGCTGTACAGCAGACGCTCATTCATAGTCAGCCCCAGCCAGCCTTGCTACTCAACCAGCCCCATACCCACTGTCCAGAAGTAGATACTGATACTCAACCCAAAGCTCCTGGGATTGATGACATAAAAACTCTAGAGGAAAAGCTTCGGTCTCTCTTTAGTGAGCACAGCTCATCTGGAACTCAGCATGCTTCTGTCTCACTAGAAACATCTCTAGTAGTAGAGACCCCTGTAACACCAGGCATCCCAACCACTGCTGTTGCACCAAGCAAACTGATGACTTCTACTACAAGTACTTGCTTACCACCAACCAGTTTGCCATTAGGAACAACTGGTTTGTCAGCTATACCAGTGGTCACACCTGGGCAAGTTTCTACCCCAGGGAGCTATGTTTCAGCTCCAGTCACCGCAGCATCAGGAGTAAAACCTGGAACTGCTCCCTCAAAGCCACCTTTAACTAAGTCTTCGGTAAGATTCTTAATTCAAAATAATTAGGTAAATATGATCGCTCCTTTTTGTCCCCAGTTACATCCCTCAACTCAAACCTTGGAAGTAATAGTAAATATATTCAGTCTTAAATTTATGTCAACTTCAAATGTGTGTACCATGAACACAAGATTCTCTCTTTTTTTTAAGATATGGCAGAATTTTGGGAATAATTAATATTGCACAATTTCCTAAGAATATGTGATTTTCTGGTAAAATACAGACATTTCCCTAAAATCGGGATAAACCAAAGAAATCTTTACCCCAAAAAAAAGCTAAAAGCCTCTGTTAGCATAATATCCATAGTAACAGTAGCTCACCACTTATTTTAACTGAAAATAAAGCAGATTTTCTGCTTTTGATAGATTGCACACATACACAATTTGCCATTTTTTAAAAATTAAAACTTGGTGAAAGTGATGTAGAAGAAGGAATTCTAGGATAAAATAACTAGAATGTTTCTGATTCTGCCATCAGCCTTTCTAATCCTCAAAAATAATAAATCCTTAGTATGTCTACTAAGGCTTTAACCACCCTTCTGCATTGTTATTGATACGAGATTCTTTTTCCAGTGGGATAATATAGATGTTTCTCAGCTTTAACTAGGGTTAAGTGTCTATGAACCCATCCTGAAATTTAAAATTGCAGAAGTCAAAAATGCATTTGTGACACTTAACCTAACTGAACATTGTGGCTTAGCAGCATTGAACACTGTGGGGTATCAGTTGTTTATCTTCATGATGTTATGACTGACAAAGTTGTGGCTTACTGCTACTGCCCAGCATCATAAAAGACATTTCATATCACATTCTGTTAGCTTGAAGGTAGATAAAAATTTGCAATTTTATAGTGGTACATGCCCTCTAATCCCAACTCCTTAAGAAGCTGGAGTCAGGCAGCCCTCTGGGAGACTTAAGGCAGGACGTTCACAAGTCTGAGCCCTGCCCAGGCAACTTAGCAACTTAGTGAGATGGTCTTTTAAAAAGATGTAAAGGGCCTGGAAATGTAGCACCATACAAAGGCCCAAAAAGGGGCTGGGGATTTAGCTTAGTGGTTTAAGCACCTGCCTGGCAAGCATGAGGTTGTGAGTTCAATCCCTGGTACCAAAAAAATAAAAAAACCAAAGGCTCAAAAAATCTAAGGTGGGAGAGTCCCTTGAGCCCAGGAATTTGAACAAGCCCCCTCTCCAAAACAGCCTCCTCCACCCCCCCTTTTTTTTCTTAATTTGATGGACAATTTCTACTAAATGCATATCTCTTTTGCAACATCATAAATCAATTTTTAAGTTGAGCTGTAAGTCAGGGGCCATCTGAATAGAATTGTTAACAAAATGGAAATTAATTTGTAGCATCAGATTTTTGATACTTTATCAGATCTACTCTTTGGTTATTTCTAAACCTACCTCTGTTTTTTTAGAAATGTCTTATTTTTCTTATCAAAAGCCTGATGCTATATCAAATAAATAGCTCAAAAATATTTGGGCTGGTCAGGTATAGTGGCACATACTTGTAATCCCAGTGCTCTTGGGAGGCTCAGGCAAGAGTAACTTAGTAGACTAGCAGTACTCTCTCAAAATAAAAAGGATGGTGGATGTAGCTCAGTAGGAAGGCCCTAAGTATGATTCACAATACTGTCCCCATCCCCAGAAGTCTAGATTCTGCCGCTGACGTGCAAAGGAATTTGTCCTTTTTCTTTTCCCTAGTGAAGCTTTTACTCTATTTTAGTATTTGTTTCATGGATGTTTCATAATGGCCCATTTAATAATATCATTGGTTATGATGTTCGTTATTGAGGACATACCAGCATACCTGTGTGAATACTGCACTTTAACTACGTAACATTTTATTCTTAAGCTTCTCCATTCAAATTAGTTGATACACTCTTTAGTACTGTAGTGCTTTCATTGTCTGTGCAGTCCCTACCACTTTTTCTTGGACCTTCACTTATTCAGATGCCCCAAGATGAGGCAGATTTCTTTCTGTGCCCTTACTTTCTTTCATAATAATTGTTTAAATTCTCCGTTACATTATCTTGGCTTTTGGATCTTTTTTGACATAGATTTAGTAACACCTTTCTTTTAAAAAACAGTATTCCTAATGACACAGATACTACTTAGATAAGAAGCTTCATAGTTTTGTTCAGAATATTGCTTAAGGTCATCTAGAAAACATTTGATACTAGGGTTAATCAGAGGAACTATGACTTGCAGCGAGAACTCATAGAGTACACTGATGGTCAGAACTACCTGTTTAAATTATAATCCCTTTCTTACCCTATCCTGTTACCAACATATTTAATTGAAGTCCTATAGAAAAATATTTTTTGTAAATCCATGGTAACCATGTAAAAGTTTTGACTTGGGACAAGCTAATAAACTTAGAAATTCATTTTACTATTATATATAAGAAAAAGATAGCAGATTACCTACTCAAGAAACCTAGTACAGGGCCAGGGATATAGCTCAGCAGCACAAGCTCCTGCCTAGCAAGCACAAGGTCCTGGGTTCCATTCCTGGTACCAGAAAATAAAAAAAAAAAGAAAGAAACCTAGTATAGACTTAATGCCTCCTTTGATCCGATTTTCACTAGACTGTAGTGTAAAGAACTTGCTACAGTAAACCTTAACAAAAAACCCATTCCACCAACCATGAATTTAAAGTCCAATGTGAAAGTCTAAATTCAGAGTTTGAACATTCAAAAGCTGGGCCAAGTGGTGTTCATCTCTACTCCTAGCACTTGAAGGCTGAGGCAGGAGGATCACTTGAGCCCAAGAATGTAAGAGCACCCTGGGCAGCATAGTAAATCTTCTTTTCAAAACAAAACAAAATTAAAAAAAGCATTTAGATACCTAAGAGTTTAAAGTATAATGAAAAATATGAAGAATAAGGTTAAGTGGATTATGCCTTTGTATCAGAGAAAAAGCATAAGTAGTTGTATAAGAATAGGTATGTGAGGATGGGTTGATAGAAACCAAGGTAGAATAGAGACTGACAAAGGTTTTAAAAAAAAAAAAAAAAGCATGACACAGGATTGTATGGCAGAAAGATGTGGTTACCAGCATGGACCACCCAGACTTCTTTGCTTCATCTGTAGGACAAAAATATACATCATAAAATTCTCTTCAGAGAGTAATATCCTTTGATTGTGACAGAACCTATTACTGCTGTCTCTTATCATACATAGGGCTAGGTTCCCAGAAAGGTATATAAAACTGAGAAATAATATAGGGAATATGGGATGTAGTTAATCTACCAATAGATCTTGATGCATTTTTCAGAATATATTTTAAAACAAGATAAATCTTTGGTCACTTTGAATAACATCAAGCATATATAAGACTATGAAACTTCAAAATACAAAATATGGGACCAGGGATTTAGCTCAGTGGCACAGCGCCTACCAGGCAAGTGCAAGATCCTGAGTTCATTTTCTTGTACCAAAAACACACACACACACACACATAAAAACATGGCTAAAGTACTCTAAGGCTTGTTCAAACTGGCATATAATCTTGAGAAATTTATAGATTATCAAAGCATTGTTCTAAATTTTAAAATACTGTTTTATAACTTGTGAAAACAAGTGTAACATTGTAAGTAATCTAAAGCATAAAACATGTCCTATATAAATTGACTGTATGTAGTAGTTCTGAAAAGGCCAAAAAATTTACATCTCCTGTAACTTTTTTTACTTAGTCTCAGCAACCTCTAGAAGATCTTGATGCTCAATTGAAACGAACACTTAGTCCAGAGACTATTACAGTGACCTGTGCAAGTGATGTAAGTGTTTTAAAAATCTTGATAGAATCTAATGCAAATCTATTGGATTTCTGGAATACAAAGTATAACCTAAGACATTGTTAGTACTGTAATGCCTAGTTTACGATCCCTGCTAGTTCCAGTTAACAGAAATGAGACGGGGTTGATGAAAAATTAACACTGACTCCATAGTGTAATTATAGGAAAGATTTGAAAGGTATTCTTTTTGTAATTAGATTTTATCACAGGTAAATACTATGAATTTTTTATTTATGCTTTGGAAGAGGCTAAACTATGAGACAGAAATGGTTTGTTTTGGTTTTGAAGTTTGGTTTGGTTTAGACAGGATCTTGCTATATCATTTAGGCTGGCCTCGAACTCATGGTGATCCTTCTGCTTCAGCCTCCTGAAAGCTGGGATTATAGGCATGTGCCACCAAACCCAACAAGACAATGACAGTTTTGATAAAACTGTGTCATGTGAATATCTTTTGTGTTCTTAAGTATCCTATGAGAAAAAGCAATAAAATTTAAGACTCAAAATTCTTCTTAAAATAAGGTGCCTTTCTTTACGTTGGACTTATTTTTAGGTCATAAGAGGAAGCCCCCTTAGGCATAAATATTCCTTTACATATACCAGCTTTCTGCCACTTTACAGAAAGACCGGAGGGAAAAGAACAGGGCAAAATGATTAAAACTAAAGATTTCGTGCTGTGTGTGTGTTTTACAGCCTGTGTCCACAGTGGCTCCAGCAGCAGCTACAGAAGCAGGAACACAGCTACAGGGTGGTAAGAAGCGCCCTTCTTTTGATATTACTATCCCCAGGTCTACATGGAGTTGATAATAAAGTTAACTGTTTCAAAGGCAGTCTTGAAAGTGTTGGTACATTTGAAACTTACAAGGAACATTTGTATGTGTCTTATGACTGAGGACCATTGATACTAATATCTAAAGCATGAACTATCAGAAAGTTAATGAGTTTTATTGGATTGAGAGAAATATTATACATGTGTTAATGATAGTTTCTTAGTGCAAGACCTTCTGTTATTACCTAGGCAAGATATTTTCTATAAGAGATTAGGATGTTCTGGCATATTTATAAAGCTTAGTCTACTGGAACACTTTTGTGACACTGGATAGATACACAGCGATAAAGATCAAGTTGGAAAGCCTGGACATTATATTTGTACAGAGAGCCTGAACATTATATTTGTACAGAGATCCAAATGTGAGATTTGGCTGGGGATTTAGCTCAATGGCATAAGTGCCTGCCTGGCAAGCATAAGGTCATGAGTTCGATCCCCGGTACCAAAAAAAAAAAAAAAAAAAACAACCACTCAAATGTGAGATTTTAATCAATGTGAATATTTTTATTTTCAAAACAATTATTCTGAATTGGCTCTCTCATTTTAAAATACCTTCCAAATCAGAGGAATATACTAGGACATCCAGAAAAGGACAAAATTCAGGAAAATGTGGATTATGAAAGCTTTATATTATAGATCCTAAATATATACAGTAAAATTGATAAATTTTACCACCAAGTAAAAAGGAATGTAAACTTACGAAAAAGATAACCCTTTAAATCAATGGGAGGCTATTTCAGTGAATAGTGTACAACTGAATAAAGGCAAAGTTGGTTCAGTATCTTAGACCAAAGTAAATTCCAAATGGTTCAAAGATAAAAATTTATAAAAATGGTACTATAAGAAAATAGGAGGAGCTGGAGATTTAGCCCAGTGGCATAGGGCCTGCTTAGAAAGCACAAGATCATGAGTTCGATCCCCCATACAAAAAAAAATTCTAAGACAATAGGAATATAAGTATTTCAAGTTTTTCAAGTCATACTGTATCTATTTTAGACCTGTGTCTTATTTTAAACCTGTATTTTATTTAGAGCTCCTATTATATCCTACGAACAACAGTAGGCAACATATGCAAAAACAAGTTTGGTGTAATCCAGTAAAAATTGTTTATGAAAATAGACAGCTGAATTTGGCCCACTGATCACCCTTTTCTAATTCCTGATATAGAAGAAAGCATAAAGTTTAATACTCAGAGCAAGCAATACTAGATTTAAAATTTGCATTGGTTACATAGTAGTTGTTCTAGTTTACGTTTTCACCAACAAAATATAAGGGAAGTATGGGAAGATTCCTTTTTCCTTACAGCCTTTCCAGTATTTGTTGTTTGATTTCTTGACAATTGCTATTCTTTCTAGAGTAAAAACAAATCCCAGCATTGTTTTAATTTGCGTTTCTCTAATGACTAATGATGTTGAACATTTTTTCAATATATTTAAGAGCCATTTGTATTTCTTCTGAAAAGTGTATTATTTCGGTTTCCCATTTTTTGATTAAGTCTTGTTTTAAGTTTTTTTTTTTTGTTTGTTTGGCTTGATTTGGTTGGTGCCGGGAATCGAACTCGCTGTCTCACACTTGCTAAGCAGGCTTATGCCACTGAGCTAAATCCCTGGCCCTAAGGGTTTTTTTTATATATTTCAGATATTAGTCCTCTGAGGTATAGCTGGCAGAAATTTTTCCCATTCTGTAGGTTGTCTCTCCACCATTGGTTGTTTCCTTTGCTTTGTAGAAGCTTTTTAACTTGATATAATCCCATGTATAGACTTGATGTTATTTCTTGTGCAATGGCATTCTGTTCAGAAAGGCCTTTCCTACACCTATGTCTTCAAGAATTTTACCTACTTTATCTTTTTGTGTTAATATAGTGTTTAGATCTTTAATCCATTTTGATTTTAGTTTAATACATGGTGAGAGATAGGGTATAACGTTCATCTTCTCCATAGGTGTAGCCAATTTTCTCAGCACTGTATACTAAAGAAGTATATGGTGTTTCCTGTATGCTTTTCCTCCAGAGTATGTTTTGGCCCTTTTGTCAAATCAGGTGGCTGAATATATCTGGAGTTGTTGCTGTGCCCTTTATTCTGTTCCATTGATTCACATGTGTGGTTTTGTGGCAGAATTATGGTTTATTATTATTTTTTTAATCACTGTAGCTTGGTAATATAACTTGAACTTATTTATATAGGCTGCCAATCTGTATCTCAATTCTAGTCACTTCTAGTCATATTCTAGTCATTTTAATCACTTCACTCTTCCTTATTTTATCTGTTTTAAGTGGAAATAATTTACACTTCCATCTTTAATTTATAGATCTATGAGACTACTTATTATGGCACTTTTAAAATATTAGGAAATTCTGAATAGTTTAAATGTCCATCAATGAAAGCTTTGGTTAAAATATAGTTCATTGAAAAAAATATATTTGGTATATAGAGAAAATATAATGCTGCAGTTGTTTAAAGTTGCTCAGCCAGCTACAGTGGACACACCTGTAATCCCAGCACTCAGAAGGTTGAGGCAGGCAGATCTTGGCAAGTTTGAGGCCAGCCTGGGCTACATATTGAGCTCAAGGCCATCCTGACCCTGTCTCAAAAAAATAAATAAATATAAAGTTGCTCAAAACTACTTACCAGTGATTCTGAAAACAACTGTCCTAAGTATTCCACTGCAAAGTAAATTTACTAGTTTTCTCTTAAAAATGAATCTTAATAATCATGCATTTCTGGCCAGAGGAAAAGGAAGCTAACTGAAAAGGAATGCTAATTTGTTTTACTCTTTGGATTTGTTTCAGTTTCTCAAGGCACAGCAGTTACTACTTCAGGGGCTGGAGTTTTAAAAATGGGACGATTTCAAGTAAGATGATAATTTTCTTGGCCTTAATTTCCTCTTTGAGAGAAGTTGTATTTATAGTAAAATTAGTACCCATGTGGGACATAACTGCCAATCCAATGTTACATTTCTTTTATGCAGCACTTGATAACTCATTTTCCCCACTTAGAAGATACACTAATTAAAGAAAATATAGAATACTTAGAGCAGTAGATACACATACTTCCTTCCTGTTCATCCCCCAGAAATACTTGTTCCCCCTAAAACTGTCCACCGTTTCACCTCTGTATGATACTTGTTATCTTGATATATAAAAAGTACATTCTCTGTGTAGGATAGTTTTCTTAGAATTAGCTCCTTAAGTGGTAATACTGAATCAGCACCAAGTGATACCATATCATTTTAATCTCCCACCTGATCAAACAAGGGAGCAATTTCTAGAGTTCAAAAAGCTTTGAAAATCTTTTTTAGCCTGCTTTCCAACTACTTTCAATTGTTTTTATTTTAGCTGTTGGAACTGAGGGTAGTAGATGATATTTTTCTCATTTATAAACTGAGGTTCTGAAGTTTATAGCTGTATCTATGCATTTGTGCACAAACAAGAACAAAGATCTGGATTGTTCTTTTAGTGGCCATTAGTTGTAGTGATTCTTAAAACTTACATGGTGTTTTTTATTTCTTATATATTTGCAGGCAACCTTCAAGATTTTAGAACCTGTTATATTTTGACTGAGATATGAATTCTGTATGTAACATGAGAAATGAAAATACTTAGCTTAACCAGCCACTCAGAATCTGCAACTTAATACAAAGAGGTTATTCTCTGTAATGATACTCAATTTATTTTCACATTCAAATATGAAGTGACTATGTAGAGATTCAGCCTTTCATGGACTGTAAAATAAAGTGACTCTCTTTTTTTGTTAACGGTGTATGCTGGAAATTAAATATTGCAGACTCTAGTTTTTAATCTTACTTTGTTTTTTTTTTTCCCCACCAGGTTTCCATTGCAAAGGATGATACCCAGAAAGAGAGTAAAAATAAGTCAGAAGATACAAAGTCTGTTCATTTTGAGTCTAGCTCGTCAGAGTCCTCGGTACTATCAAGTAGTAGTCCAGAGAGTACCCTGGTGAAGCCAGAGCCTAATGGGATAACAATCCCTGGTATTTCTTCAGATGTGCCAGATAGTACCCACCTAACTCCTGCCTCAGAAGCCAAGTCAGAAACTGGGCAGCCAACCACAGTGGGACGTTTTCAGGTGACTACTACAGCAAACAAAGTGGGACGTTTCTCTGTATCAAGAACTGAAGAAAAGATCACTGAGACAAAGAAAGAAGGACCAGAGACATCTTCCCCTTTTAGGGATTTAGAACAAGCTGTTCCTCCTGCCGTGATGCCAAAGAAAGAAAAGCCTGAACTATCAGAGCCTGCTCATCTAAATGGACCGTCTTCTGATCTGGAGGCTGCCTTTCTAGAGAGGGATGTGGATGATGGTTCAGGCAGTCCACACTCTCCCCATCAGCTGTGCTCAAAGAGCCTTCCCCTCCAGACTCTGAGTCAGAGCCTTAGTAATTCATTCAACTCCTCATACATGAGCAGTGATAATGAGTCAGACATTGAAGATGAAGACTTAAAGTTAGAGCTGCGACGACTACGAGAAAAGTATGTTGTTTTCTTCTGTGAAAGCAAAATGACATTTATTATGACCCAGTCTTGCAGGCATTTTTGTGCCATGCCTATGATTCTAGCATTTGTTAGGGCTGAGACCCAAGTTCAAGCCCAGCTTGGGCAGTTTAGAGACTTAGTAAGATCCAGTCTCAAGATTTTAAAAAAGTTTAAAAGGCCCTGCATTTAATCTATCAAGTGATTCTTGTAATGGCACTGGGATGTATGATTATTTTAGCAGGTTTCGTTAATTTGTCAAATTGGAAAAGAGTAGCGATGTACATCTGTGCTTAACAGTCAGGAAATCTTTTTCCCCTCACAAATTATCAACGTTTGTTTGTTTGGGGATTTTTTTTTTTTTTTTTTTTTTTGAGACAAAGTAATACAAACTGGCTCTGAACTCAGTTTTTAGCCCAGGCTGGCCTGGAATTCAGTGATTCCCCATTTCACATGAACGGGGATGTGAAACCAACCTGGGGGATGAGCCACCACATCCAGCCATCATTCACTTTTGATTAGCCAGAAGTTTGTTGAATAATGAAGACAGCAAAATGAGATGACAAAGTAGAAAATGTATTAGCAGTACACTTGGGGACAGGATTGTAACTAAGTAAATATTTGATATTTTAGAATGTACTGTTTAAATGCTGAGTATGGTAGTACATGCCTGTAATCCCATCACTTGGGAGGCTGAGGCAGGGGGATTGTTGCAAGTTCAAGACCAGTTTGGGCTATAAAGTGAACTCAGGGTCAGCCTGAATTACACAGTGAGATCATGTCTCAAAAAAGGAGTACACTGTTAGTTTGTTTGCTCATTGCAGTGCTGAAGATTGAACTGAGGACCTCGTGCATTCTATACATCGTACCACTAAGCTACATTCCCAGCCAGAGAGTTTGCTTTAATGTGTATTTGAACAAAGATAGCTATAATATTTTGAATTGTTTGTTTATCTTTTGTAGACATCTTAAAGAGATTCAGGATCTTCAGAGTCGCCAGAAGCATGAAATTGAATCTTTGTATACAAAACTGGGCAAGGTTCCCCCTGCTGTCATTATTCCCCCAGCTGCTCCCCTTTCAGGGAGAAGGCGGCGACCTGCTAAGAGCAAAGGCAGCAAATCTAGTCGTAGCAGTTCATTGGGGAACAAAAGCCCACAGCTTTCAGGTAAAAAATACCAAACCAAGTCAGCCATCTTCTGTTTCTATCTCCAGCTGTTTATGTGGATGTTCTGTGAGAGCCTGACTTTCCTCAGATTCTTGCTTCCATGACTTCTCTATTCTTCACATTTGTTAAACCTCTTCTTGAGTATATAGAAGCAGAGTGGTGATTATGCAGTAGACTTCTTCCACTGCAGTGCATCTTTATGTATAATTATTCATAAACCTGAACATTTAGCTTTGCCTATTAACTCATACAACCCACACATAACCAAACTCTTTGACATTCAGAAGCAAGTATTTTAATCCTCTATTTAGTAAACTTCAGATAGATTCTTCCTTTTAATGAATGACTTAGTCATAATTGCACATGGCATCAATGTAAGCATCAAATAAATACTTGGGGGGCTGGGGATTTAGTTCAGTGGCATAAGCACCTTCCTTGCTAGCAGGCGGTCGTGAGTTCGATTCCCGGTACCGATAAAAATGAAAAAGACAAAAATAAATAAATAAATAAATACTTGGGAAAGCCTAAATTGTAGCACACTTGATGAAGCTTTTTATTTCATTTATTTCAAGGTAAAAAACTAGCTAGTGGTTATAAACAAGGCATTTAAATTCTAATCTCTTGTAATGGACCATTTGAATTGGGATACAGTTGTTTTATTCTGTTCTGTTTGGTTTTGGTTTGGGCTTGGCTTAGTTTTGTTGTGCCAGGGTTTCAGCATATAGTTCAGGCTGGCCTTGAACTCATAGTAATCTTCATGCCTCAGCCTCCCATGTGCTGGGATTACAGACATGTGCTACCACATTCAGCAAGAGTTTAGTTCTTGATAAAATTCTGTAGTGTTAATAAATAATTGGTTATAAAGTAAGAGGGCTAGAGTATTTTATGGTTGCTTTGTGGGTCTACTTTAAGTATATTAGAGAGCAGTTACACACTTCTTAGCAGCTCTCTGTTCTCTAGAAACATTCATAGATGCCTAGACGTTTTCCTAGCACAGTAGGACCAACTCATGTACCCATTAATAAAGCTGTGATTATAAAGAAGGTGAACCTATATCTATTTTTGCATTTCCATAATTTTTCTATTAGAAAAGATACTAGATTGTTACACAAATACATTGTCAGGCACCCTCTGCTTAGACTTTATGTAAGAGTTCCAGTGGATTCTTAATGTCATTCCTCACTTCCCTTTGTGTTAATGAGAATTTTTCCCTTCATCAGTGTAATTTTTTGACCCATCACTAACCATTCAGTGAGACAAATTAAAGGAATAAGACTAGTGCCCAGACCAGGCACGATGGCACACACCTGTTATCCCAGCTATTCAAGAGGCAGGAGGATCTTAAGTTGGAGGCAGCCAGGCCAACTTAGGAAGATCATGTCTCCAAAACAACTTTTTTCAAAGACTGGGGAAGTGGCTCAGTGGTAAAGCCCATGTTTAACATCTGCAAGGCTTTAGATTCAAGCCCTTGTTCTGGTAGGGAAAACAGAAAGTTCTATGTGTACACTGAAAGAAGCTTTACATGTTTCCTTGTGCCATGTGTTTCTTTTGGCAGGTAACCTGTCTGGTCAGAGTACAGCTTCAGTCTTGCACCCCCAGCAGACCCTCCATCCACCTGGCAACGTTCCAGACACTGGGCAGAATCAGCTATTACAGCCTCTTAAGCCATCTCCCTCCAGTGACAACCTCTACTCAGCCTTCACCAGTGATGGTGCCATTTCAGTACCAAGTCTTTCGGCTCCAGGTCAAGGTAAGAAATCAAAATAACCATCACTTTCCAAAAACATAAAAACAGAGGTGCTGCTGTGCCTGGGACAAACACCTGATCTGTAACCTATCTGTTGTTACCAGCTAACCAAAACACAGCCTGCTTGTAGTAAACTGATACATCCTTGGGCTGAGCAGGGAAGTTGAGTGATGACTAGAATAATTGGGCTCGTTGCTCCTATTAGGAGAAAGAGCTTTTTTTCTAAGGTATTACAGTGGAAAGTTACATCTGCAACCTAGGAGTGACTCATTTGGGATTTGCAACACCTGCTTCAATACTAGACTGAGATTTCCTGAACCAAATGGTAAAAGTTTCTGAAAACTAATGTTTTCTTAGCCATTGTAGACTTTTTAACTTCTAAGTATGGGATAGGCAACCTAAGATGACTTGCCCTACAATTTAATTTTTAACCCATAATCTACTTTTCAAGTACAGTTTTATTAATTACTGCTCAAAACATGCCTGCAGACAAAAGTTTCCAATAACATTAGAATAAGAATGAAAAGGAGTTACATATGCAGATGGAAAAGAATTTTTAAAAGTACAGATATTTAAGGTGCCTCTGGCATAGCTTCATATAAATTAAATTGTCTCTTCACAACTTGAATATATTTTACTAGTAAGGAACATAAAATAGATAGCATTATTCCTATCAGAAAAGTTTCAGCATTGTGCAGATAGAGGGAATTGAGGCCTGATTATTTCTTTTTTTAACCATCTGACCTCCCACAGAAGCTAGTCTTTTGTGTGCCATCTTAGTGCGTTTCACCACTCCAGCCTCAAGTTTCTAACACCTTGTAGCTGTGTTCTGTCTCTTCTCCTTTCTCTGTTCTTCCCTGTTTCCCTCTCACAGGCTGTGCGAAGTTTAACTGTGCATCTGAACAGGTGACATTCAAGCCTGGTGGCAGGAGGACCCGATTTCTGAGTACGCCCTGCTTGGCTCTTTGTGTGTAACACCTTTACTCCTTCCTTGTCCTCATTTTCTGCTGCTTGGATCTGATATGTCATGCAGTCCATTTTCATTTGTCTCTTGTATATCATCTACTCAGTGGCTTGACTGAATGCTGTAACCCTCAGAAGTTTGAGTCCCTGTGTTAATTACTGTAAAAGACTTAGAAATAACAGTAGCTCTCTAGATTTCAAAATAACTCTCTAATAGATTCACTTCCTCCAAGATCTGTGCCAGGGTAAACATCAGAGCACTAAATCAGTCATGGTGAGCTTAGACCCTTTAGAACTTTCAATGAACAGCCTGTTGCAGCACGCATGCCACAAGTTTTCTACCACTGCTGTAGACTGTGGCCCATTGAGAGCAATGATTGAGTGTGCAGTGCTGTCTCTCTGCCCTCCAGTTGGAAGGGACAGAGAACATCTTGATTACTAATACTTAGATCCTGGCAGCAGGTAAAAGTTTATTATCTTTTTCTATTCTTTTAGAGAGTGTCAAAATCTTTTTTCTTTTCAGTTTTGCTTTAGCATCTACCAGTTGAAAAGATGCTAGAAATTTGTTTCTCTATTGGACCTTTCTACCACTATTTGCCATGAAATTAGTAGTTGAATAAGGAATTTTACTATAGCTATTCAAGATAAAGCTTTTTTTTCCTGTTAAAGACCAAAAACCAAAGTACTAGGCTTGATTGCAAAGCCCAGTATTTACATGTAAAATCTAACTTTAATCTGATTGCTGGGATTTCCCAGCCTCTATTTAAAAACAAAGCACAATAGCAAGTCACCCAGTCCTCCCCATGCTTGATACAAACAGTGCCGCCTATCTCCTAAGGCCATTGTACAAATCCAGCAAGCATCTGTACACAAAAACAGCTGGCACTCTGAAGCATTAATGGTTTCCCCATAGTTACCCAGCCACCTACCTGGCACTTACTAGATGGTTAATAAATGTATGTTGATATAAAAAAAATTTTTTAAATAAATGAAAACAATCCTCAGTTAATAAAAAAAATGTTTGTTAAAATTTGGGTAACAATCTATTAAGGCCTCAAACTTCTGTTGTGGTTTTTCAAGTGCTTTTCAAATGCATGTGCTGAGACCATTAGTGTTTCTGAGTATTTGGGTCAGAGGGCTCTTTGGGCCTCTTCCTGGTGGGAAGAATTTCCTTTGTTCTTTGAAGTGACCAGATTTCAAGGTACATGTAACTTCATTTCCCTCACTGATATATTTGTAACCCTTCTAGTACCCCTATTTTTCACCTTAGTTTTGTTCATGGATTAGCTCCTAAGGTGGTCTTTTATCATCTTCTCCTACATATCTTCTCCTACATATCACTAGTTCAGAACTATTTAACATAGGAGGTAGAAGACATTGTCAGTTAAGTAGTTTTCTAAGCATACATAATTTGTGAACACTCATCCATAATTTTTCTGGTTAAATTGGCCTGGACTGTGCCTGAACCTTGATACTTGAGTAAGCATTTAATTTGCATATACATCTGCTGTCTTAGATGAAAAGACAGTAGGAGGTAGGAGGAGGTAAGTGTTTTAATGTACCTTGTCAGGCCTATGCAGAAAAACCTAAAATGTCAAGGAAGGAAGATCACTCAGACCTCATATTGTAAAATATAAAAATGAGAGTGCCACTTTATTTAATTCTGTCAATTTTCATCATACTCTTAAAGATAGGTAGTATTATTCTTGTTCAGGTGAAGGTGGTTAGAAATAGTAAATCTCCATTTCAGTCTAGATGCAAGACCATACATCTGTCTGTTGAAGGCATATCTTGCTGAACACATCTTAAGAGACAAATTTTAAAACAGGTATTTAGAAAGATTGGAAACTTACTAGTTAATGATTTGGAAGCACGGCTTGGCTTAATGCTTAATTTATGTTCAAAGGTTGCTTGGCTTCCATGTACTTTTTATTTAGAGTTTTGTGGACGGGAAGGGGTTATCATATGTGTCTAGGATGTAAAAATGTAATTGCCAATTTAAATTAATTTCAAATTGTAACAGTGGTGCTAATTTTACTAGGCTTTGTAACATCCCAGCAGGAGAAACAGGAAGTGAGACAGGATCAATGAAAACTCTGCTTGTGTATTTGCAATTCAAGCAGAAAGACTTGAGAAGCTGTTTCTTCCCCATCCCAGAAGTATAATGCGAAACACTACTTTTTTAGAAGGACTGAATATGGAAACTCAATCTTTATCATCCAGGCAACACAGCCTTGAGATACCCTGTTGCAACTAACAACCAGTTAGATAAATATCCTATGGAACCATAACTAGGTCTAACATATCTGTCTCCCCTCCTGCTCTCTCTTGCTGGGCCTTTATGTGCTGTTTGAAGAGTCTAAAGATTTTACACTGATGTTTCTTTAACACACTGCTCTCTCTTTGTGCTTCAGGGAAGATGGTGAAAAAAGTCTGTCCTTGCAACCAGCTCTGTAGTAATTATCCTTTCTTTCTGTTACTTTGATCCTTGATTGCAAAGCCTGTTATCCATGACTTCTTCAAACTCTGAAGCCTCATAACTCCCTGATTCCTAACTCGCATCTATTTCTGCACCCTTTTTTAATATACTTGAATATGCTTATTTGCTAACTGCTGGTTATAATTCCAAATTGAGAGATCACCTCATAGTCAATGCTCTCCCCATGTGAGCCTATCTCTGTAAGTCATGGATTAGTTGTACCCATGGTTGTGCATGAGGAGATTGGGGATGCCTAACTTGTAGGAAAAGAGAGTTCTTCGATCAACAGTAATGCACTAAAGCCTGAACTAACTACATACATAGCATGATCCTGTCTCAAACCCCACCACAGGAAAGGAAAGAAAATAAAATGTTCCATGCCCTCTGGGTTATCAGCAGTGAAAAGTATATAAAGGTCTCTGCCCTAACATTATATGCATCAAAGGAAAATGGCTTTAAGACTGATGAGGAGAGAAATACTACTTCATAGAGTTTGACTTCTTAGATGAAGGTTTCCCGTTAAAGTACAGATACAGTAGCTCAGCGAACCAGCAGGCTACCAGGAAAGTTTCTGGAGAGAGTTACAGTGGTGCCTCAGTTCACAAACTTAATTCTTTCCATAATTCTGGTCACATACCAAATTGGAGGAGAACAGAATCAAATTTAGTGATTAGGTTTACTGTTGACCTTATGGGGAAGTTTTATTTGGTTCTCATCTAATTTGGTTTACAAGCAGAACTTTAGAAAGAATAAAGTTTGTGAACCAAGGTATTACTGTAATAAGAAAACTCTACATACTTGGAATATTTATTGGACAATACATTGTGAGCCATAATAGCTTATGATTACTAGAATCCAGCAGTATGGGGGTTGGAGAAATGTATTATGGCAGAAAAAAACCTGAATTTTGGAGTTGAGGAAAGGTAAGTGTGTAGTACATTTTAGGTCTTTCCAGAGAACTGAAAGACTTAGAGATTAGAATGTTCTCCAGGTCTATTTTATAATCCAGCTTTCTTTACCTAAGGGTTATTTTCTGAACAGAAAGGGATATTTGTTTCCTTTTATTAACTGGAAACCTATTTACAGAATCCAGAATCAAAAAGTTAACTGTGCGGTTGGCTGTCCCTTAGGGGATAAACCGTACTTTCAGAATCCAGTGCTGAGTAATGTCAATTAGAATGAAAAGTGAATTTGGCTCTAACAGGGCCTTACAGCACAAAGAGGAAGTCACATCTGACTAGAGAGGTGTGACATCCCCCACCTTGCATGAGCTTTGTCAATTGGTGTGTCTACCACGCCAGCACCTAATCCTAACCCTAACCCATTGAGTAACCATTCACTTGTGGTCATCTCTCTGTTTTGATTGTTGCCCCTCCTCTCCACACAGGGTTCTGCTCTCCTGCATGCCTGCCCTCACTTTCTGGGTCTCTTCAGAATCGTGGCTGCCCATTCTCACTGCCTATGCTTTCTGCTCTACCTCTGTCTCCCAATTGCTGTTTGAGGAAGACTGTTTCCTGTGCTTTTATTCTTTTCCACTTGGGTTTTCTGGACTGGAGGGGAATTCACTCTTCCTTTTGCACCACGCGTGCAGTAACAACATAAGCTGAGACACACTGCAATTTCATGTCTTATCTTGGTGGCAAGAAGCATGTGACCTTCCTCACTCTGCAGCTTCACCTCAGAGTTCGCTGTCACTGCAGCACAGACATGCCTGTGTGTGCCACTCCCTGGGAGTAAAATAGGAAAATACCTGACACCAGCACTGATTACAAAGGGCTTTAAGTGGAAGGGCTGCTTTAGCTGTGCTGCTGTGCTCTGGTGTGCTGCTTTGATCTTGAAACCAGGAAAATGCATGCACTTATTCAGATCCAGCATTACTTGGGTATTGTAACGGCTCCTAGTTCACAGCTTACTTGACTAGCTCTTACTTATTCTTTAGTGAATGTGAGATCTGGTAAGGGGGAGGTGGATGTTCAAGAATAAAAAATAAGACCATGACTCTTCTTTCCCTCTTTTCTAAAACTTGCCTCTTCGAATAACCTTCAGTGTGCCCTCCAGCAGAGCCGAAATCAGGCAGGACACAGACTCCTTCCTTCTTCTTCATTTCATAGAAATAAAATACCTTCATCATAACCTCAAGCATCCTCTCCCCTCTGCACCCCTGCCTTAGCTGAATTGTCCTGTTGCTTCTCTATGTAGCAGTGCTTGCTGTTCTAGAAAATCAGAAGGGGTGAGAATCCTTCAATCAGTTGAAACCAAGATCATCTTCAGAAAAACCATGTTTTCCTGGAGTTGAAAGATTCACTTAGCCACTTCTCTTCCTCCTGCCTATTCTTGATTATTTACTTATGGGAGATTGAGAGGAATTGAAGGCTTAGCTCCTTCCAAGTTTATATTTATAAATTTATGTCTATGGGTCTAAGAAAAATTTTGAACAGAGCATGTTATTTGTTATGCTATTAAAGAATGGCTAAGAATATGGCACATGGTTTGGGAGCTCCATCTTCTCCATTGCTAAGCAGTTATCTGCATTTCTACTTCAATCTACCCAGTGTACAAGAAATCCATTCTTCAGCCTTGCACTCTGCAAACTTTCACTGCAGCTAGCCTTTTTAACCATATCACACTCCCTCATCATGAGCCTGATGCTCAAAATAGCATACTGGCAGAAAACCCCCAGATCCTGAGGTGCTTTGAAAGAGGCCCCTGCCTGTCATGCCTGCCATCATCCTAAATTGTTCGGCCTTACATGCATCTACTGAAGAGAAAATATTTTTTGTCATTCTTTTTATTTTTTTAAATGACCAAATAAAACTTTGAAATCTTTCTTGCATGGCTTCCCAATCCCCCCCTCCTCCCATTCTGTGGCTTGCCATTCATCATCCATGAAAAATTCCCTCTTTTGAAATTATAACCCAGCCTCCTTTTAATGCTAGTATTGTTGCTGTTTATACCTCCAGGGACCAGCAGCACAAATACTGTTGGGGGAACAGTGAACAGCCAAGCTGCCCAAGCTCAGCCTCCTGCCATAACATCCAGCAGGAAGGGCACGTTCACAGATGACCTGCATAAGCTGGTGGACAACTGGGCCCGAGATGCCATGAATCTTTCAGGCAGGAGAGGAAGCAAAGGACACATGAACTATGAGGTAATTCCCTTTGTGCCATTTTTCTACTCTATCAGCATCGACACAACCAAATCACAGACAGTACAGTACAAACTACGTAGGCTGCTACACTGCAGCACCATTTTATGCCATGACCTCCTTTAGTAGTTCATGAATTTTAACACTTAGAAAAACAAGACAAAAATCACCCAAGTGCCCTTTTACTTTTTCTTCCCTCAATCCTTAGCACCTTATTGGTCAGATGAGTTTGTCTTCTCATTTCCTTCAGTGTCCTGAACTGCATGTATACACAAATGTACATGGCACCTTTCTCCTTCCAGTCAGAGCAGTTATTTTCACTGCCACATGTTAATTATAGAACTAGTAAATATTATGAAAGACATTGTTGTATTTTGCTATACTCTATAAGATTAGCACAGTCTCAGTTCTAGAATTGTGTTGAGTACCATGCACTTCACATCCATGGGTCTTATACCCTTCACCAAACTTTAAATATAGTTGTTTTGTTCTCAGGGCCCTGGAATGGCAAGGAAGTTTTCTGCACCTGGGCAGCTGTGCATCTCCATGACCTCGAACCTGGGTGGCTCTGCCCCCATCTCTGCAGCATCAGCTACCTCTCTAGGTCACTTCACCAAATCTATGTGCCCCCCACAGCAGTACGGTTTTCCAGCTACCACATTTGGCACTCAGTGGAGCGGGACCGGTGGCCCAGCACCACAGCCACTTGGTCAGTTCCAGCCTGTAGGAACTGCTTCCTTGCAGAATTTCAACATCAGCAATTTGCAGAAATCCATCAGCAACCCGCCGGGTTCCAACCTGCGGACCACTTAGACCTAGAGACATTAACTGAGTAGATCTGGGAGCCAGAGATGGGATGCTGAGGACTGGGGGGTGGGGGATGGAGAAGTAGCCTATATACTAACTACTAGTGCTGCATTTAACTGGTTATTTCTTGCCAGAAGGGAATGTTTTTAATACCACTTTGAGCCCTCAGAATAGAGAATCTGCCTGTCCCCCTCCCCACTTAATGCAGTGAGACAAGGAGAGAGCAACTTTCCTGTGGAGGGGCAGCTTCAGACTATGCTTTCCTGTTTATCTTTACCCATCACTGCGGCCTAGGAATAAAAGAATATCTTGTTATCAGTAAGTTATAGGAGAGCTCAGTATAAAGCCAAAACACATCTATTACATTTACAAGAGTTCTTAATGGTGGTACATGACCCAAATCCCTCACTCCCTCAAAAACTCAAGACTGTAAGATGAAAAAACGGGGTTCTCTTTTACTCTGTCCTCCATCACCCCCATTCCCTCCCCCTTTTAAAAACCCAGTGGAAAATACCAGGGGACTGGGGTTGCAACCCTTTCTTATGATAGGTCAATAGTGCTTTAAGCAAAAGATATTAGCAGCTTTGACTGCAGCATTAGCAATTAGGGGGGAAAAATTACGTTCCCTGCGGACATGTAACTTTTGCCATCAGTTTTGATGTGGAAACACTGTGATATATAATGTTGTTGGACAACAGTAGTTTTAAGAGTAAAATATGAAAGGTTTAAAAAGTTCACACACAAAAAAGCTAGCTCTCTCCTTTACTATTGAGACACTTTAACTTTTTTCTTTGTACTTCCATTGTATTAGATAAATAAATGTGAATGTAAAATTGTATAATTACTGTACTTGAATACTTCTGTTCTCCCAGTATTGCTTGCTGGATATTTTAGTGCCTTGGACTTATATTGCTTCTGCCATTAGCATTGATTTATCAGACTCCAGATCAGCATAGGCACATGGGAAGAAATCTTAGGTCCATGTGACCCCACAGTGGATATGCCAAAGGGAAATTGAGAGTATTTTTTTTTTTAAGACATTCAACAATTTCGTCTAGAGCAGGTGTAAAATGAGTAAGGTGAGAAGTTGAGTTGGCATCCGTGGTTGAAAGCAGAAAGTTCCATTTCAGGACTAGTGAGGTGGGGTGTTAACAAAATTGGACAATTCAAAAGATGGAGGTGTTAGCTGAGTGAAGGTCTAAAGAGTGGGGGAACAGATTTGTTTGGAAGATACATGATGCCTGGCCAGTGACTGTCATAACTGATCTGAGCAGGGCTTGAACAGATGAGACCAAGAAGAAATGAAACAGAGAGAAAAGGGTGGAGGCTAGCTTTGTAAGTTGGGCAACGCGATCGTGAAGTGTCACAGGTGGAGAAAGTTGCTCTGAGAACCTGTTTGGATTACTTTCCTCTTGTTGCACGTGCACCATGCATTTCTCAGCTTGGGGTGCTATATTCTGTGTGAAATGGACCGTCTTCTGAATAGTAAGCACTATAGGAAAGGTTTATTCCTATCCACTTCCTCCATATCCAAATGGTTGCAGGTTCATAATCCATTGTGCCACTCTATTTCCAGATTTGTAAGTAATGTTCTAATAGTTTCATATGCATCCCCCCCCTTAAATAATAACTGCAACCAACCAGTATTATTTAGTGCTATGCCTAGTGTTACAGGCAGTTCTAAAGAGCTTTCCAAATATACTATCCTAATTGGCTAAGTTTGGGATCTCATTATTCTTGGAAGAAGCTACAACTCTTTAAATTCTTGAGTGCTTCTCTTGACTCTTAGTTGGGAAACTGCTATTTTTCCAGCCTTTACCCACCTCAATGGCACACTGCAGGTGTCACCATGGTAGAAAGAACTGGTGGCTACCTGAATCCTGTTCATTCCTTTATGTGCCCTGTACTATTAGGTTGGCCCAGGCCCCTAGAGATAAAAATGAATGCTGGAGATTTTTGGGAGGTAGAAATGAAAAGGACAGGGGTTTAAGCCCTGCTTCAAAAGTATTGACTGATTTATTCTCTGCTTACCATTCATTCTTATGGCAAGGGAAGGGGACAGATAGAACCAAGAAGGTGCCACCTAAATGAGAAAAGATCACCTGCAGTGAACAAAACAGTACTTTCTACCAGAAGAATGAGGGAGCAAAATGTACCATGTTACTGTTTTGTTATTTTGGTTTAATAATTTTGAGGTCTTCTCAATCGCACACAAAGAACTGGTTTTGTTTACTGTTGATTTATCCTCTCCTGTGGATGAAACAACTGAAGCCTAGAGGAACGAACTAGTGCTACTGAACTGTTTAAGTTATTTCTGTGTTAATAGTACATTTTCAGTATCTTTTTCCACATTACCAAGAACTTTCTGAATTATAAATGTTTTCCTTACATTATTTAACAATGTACACTGTTTTAAAAAATAAGTCAAACCTTGGGGTATCCCAGCAGCCGTTAATTGTACATTTTGCACTAACTCTGGGTGTTGCGCTTCTTGTAAGACTGCGCTTTGTGCTTCAGTTTCTTACCTTTGTAGACTTATTTAATGAAACGTTCAAATAAACCAAACTTGCTTTTGTTGAGCTGTTGAGTTTCATTTCCAGCAAATACCTTTTTCATGTACTCATTGGCTCGTTTTAAGATGTACACCATTTATAGCTGGACTCCTAATTCCCTAAGAACTTTTTTTTTAATTGTGCTGGGAATCAAACCAGGGCCAGACAAGATCTGTACCACACAGTTACACACCCACCTCTTCTCTAGGAACTTTTTTAGTAGCAGTTTTGCCTTAAATGGAAGATTTTACTGCTCACTAGCTTTGCAGAGAAAAATGGTAAGGGTATCAAAATGAAAATGTAAGGCCTGGTGGTGGTCCCTGCCTGTTATCCCAGCAGTTGGAGGGCTGAGGCGGGAGGATTGCTGCAAATTCAAGGCCAGCCGGGGCTACAAAGTGAGTTCAAGGCCAGCTTGAACTGCGTAGTAAAACCCTGTCTCAAAAAGACAGACAGACAAAGAAAGAAAGAAGCAAGCAAAGAAAACCAAATTACATGACATTAGGCAAAATACAGGCTTTTAGAAGTAAGAGAAATCAGGGCAAGCTGCTGCTGCTTCATCTCCCAAGGGAACAAAAGGCTGACTGCTTTCTAGTACTTTTAAGAGTCACTCATCTCAGGTTCACAGCTTCCAACAAGTGTGTCTGAGATCCAAAAAGTTACGTCATTGCTTCAGCATTAGACTACACAGCTCAAAATGCACTTGAAAGAGAAAACTTACAAATTTATGTGGGGAGAATTACAAAACATAAACACCATGAAAGATCAGTCTGTGGTAGAGTATGTCACATTTGACATCTGAAATAAAAGTGGCTATTTTGTATTTTGCTAAGAAGGATTTGTTTTTTTAAAACTCCTTTTCATTCAGCTTAGACTATTGTTTCTTTGGTTTGGAAAAAAACGGTGGTCTTGAAAGAATACAAGATTGTAATGTCATGAACCCAAAATGAGATATAAAGTACCCCTCCAATCCATGTTTAGCGTTCCAGTTTTTACCAGAAATAAACAACTCATCCTTCGGTTGCATACCATTGAAATTTATACTGTCCTACCCAAGTCATTAGCGTTAGTGCATCCATACTGCATGCACTGTCTGTCCCTCAGCTAGCTGTTAGCAGCCTTTCCGGTTACCAGATTGGGTTTTGCAGTACTGTGGTGCTTGTGTTCAGGTAAGCCTTATTTTACTCAGTGGCCCCAAAGCACACTCATAACAGTGATACTCCCCTTTAGAAGTGCCTAGGGGAGGGGTGGGAAACTATGGTAGTACATGGAGGTTATACCCTTGGTTATTGTAAAAAGTTGCAAAGTAGTAATAAGCACCCTGTACCCTTGTTCATTCCCTGGGCAGCATTAAAACTATGGCACCCAAAGGGAGACTGCTCAAGAGTTTAACTTGGGCAACTATTGAAGCTGGTGCTTAGGGTGAAGGATACTTACATTGCCTGAGGGAGGGCAGGCAGCCATTGGCAGTTCCTATAAGTGTCTATCTTTATTAATGTAATAGCTTAGAAGTAAACAGTGAAAGCCCTCAAGAGCCAAAGGAAAGCTCTTTCATCTGACTGTAGCCTCCCACCTACAGTGTATGACAAGCTATATATGAAGTGCTCAGCTTCGTCTACAACAGGTCATAGTTCCTCTGATGAAGTTCAGAAATAAGGTATATCTTCGGAAATAAAATCCATTCTCCAAGAATGATGAACAATTTCATGACTAAAAAAGTTTTCCAAAGTCCATTTGTCAGAGTCCAATGCTCTCCACAGCCTTGGGTTAAGGTGGATCCAGTTTCCTTTTCTTCATGTCCTGGTTCTTCCTGTGAGATTCATAGTTTCCTGTGGAAGATAAAATGGCTCAAGCAGAGCCGCCATGGTTTTAAAGCATGGAGTAAACAGCTAATCATTTTTACACTGAACTGGTAGGTCCTATTTGAGATAAGAACCCAAGAATGAAAACTATTCTCAGGAGGAGGACAGCTCCCTCTGCTAAACCCTGACCAAGCAGCATCACAGTCCTGACAGACTTACTTTTGGCAGGAAAAACTCTCATCACAGCCATTCCTCAGCTTCCTACAACTACCTAAGGCTTAAGAGGGTAGAAGCTCAAGTCAGGAGCCTGAAGGAAATGTTCTGGCCCTCAACCTACTTACTGCATTGCAACGATTCTGTCCAATTTCTTAAAATGAGATGTCCTCCTTCCTTTAAAATTCACAGAATTAAGCCCAGGGTCTTCCTTTAGTTTTTGTTCCTAAACACACATCTGCTACCTGAAACATTCGGGTTAGTGCTGTGACCTTGATGCCAGGATCCAGCTTTTTCTTGTGGCTTCTGGCAGTGAAGGCTGTGTGGGATCTGGTGGTTCAGGGTTGGGGTGGCAGAGGTCTGGGGTGGTTCTGGTTTAGACAAGGGCTTCACGATGTCCTCTAAGTCTGGCGTCAGGTCCCACATTTCAAAACTGTCTTCAGGATTCTCTGCAGAAAGCACAGAGAAGTGTGTCATTAGCCAACAGTGTCCTCACAGCACTGGGAAAGTGAGTCTAAGAAACTCCATGTCTTAAAACATCTTACAATTTCTGTTCCACCTCTTAAAAATAAACTAAATGTTTCACTGAGACAACAGAGGAGCTAAAGATGTGCATCTGTTGGTCAACCCCCATCAATCAATGTTAGGGTCTTTTCCCAGTCTAAATCTTTATGGGGCTAAGAACTTAAATTTTTCTCCCCCATTACTAGGGATTGAACCCAGGGCTTCACATACGCTAGCCAAGCACTCTAATAATCATCCCCAGACCTTTATATTTTTTGAGATGAGGTCATACTAAAAGGCCTGGGCTGGTCTCAAACTTGAGACCCTCCTGCATCACCCTCCTGAGTACTTGGGATTACAGACAGGTACCACAGAGCTCAGCAAAAAATGAACATTTTTATGATTTTTAAGATGTCCTTTGTGAGCACCAAAAGTATGCAACATGGTAACTTCCAAGGGTTCCCTGTTTACTGATTTTTTTTTTTTTTTTTTGTCGTTTACCTTTAAGGCTGGCTTTCTCCTTGAGTGGTTCTGAGACAGCACTGATGGGAGAACTGTGTGTCAAAGGAGGGACCGGAAGGGATGCTGTGTTTTACACAAGAGAGAAAAGACAAGTCATCAGTTAAATAACTAAAGGGAACCAAAGAAACTGGTCTGCCTCTCTTAGCAGCCTCGGAAGTGCAGAGAGGCCTAGGGGGTCAGGGCTTGAGCCAGTAAAGGAACTGGATGCCAGTGCTGCCATCAGACCTGTGTCTGTTCCTTCCCACCCAAGCAGGAAAAGCAAGGGTTCATTTCTTCTTTCCCAGCAAAAACAGAAGGCTTCTTAGAAGCCAAGCCACCCAAAAAAAAAAAGGGGCTGGGGATTTAGCTCAGCGGCATAAGCGCCTGCTTTGCAAGCAGGCAGTCGTGAGTTCGATCCCTGGTACCAATAAAAATGAAAAAGACAAAAAAAAAAAAAGAAGCCAAGCCACCCAGCCCAGTGGCCTAGGCTTAGCCATGATGGTCTCATAAGGGCGGAGGGAGTCCCCTGGAGTCTACCTGCCCCCTGTGCACTGCTGAAACAGACGTAAGCTGAACACTCGTAACTCAGCAGGCCCAGGACGGCAAGTTTGCTTCTTGTTTAAACATGAGTCTCAGCCTGTCAGTGCTGAGAGGATACTAACGATCCAAACCCGAAGCATGTCCTCTCAACCCTCCATCATTTGTACAGAAATGGGCAAAAGCTCCTTGGTCTGGGACAAGTGCTTTGTTTCCTCTATGGGTAACTCACATCTCCTCCCAACTGCTGATCAATCTACTACTCCCACTAAATATGTACCCTGAAAAAAACTATACAGTTTGTAGCTAATCCCAAAAGATCCTATTCTCCTCAAAACCGACTTGTCCTTATGTTCAAAGCCATCTCAGAAACAAAGGCTTACTAACGTAGAGACGAACAGAAGGTTATGCCAAGGCCTATGGACCTCCCTGAAAAAAGACCACTGTCTTCCGTGACGGGAAACTGTACGGCAGGTCTCCCCTCCTACCTTCTGGGACTCAGCCATTCACATGTAACTGGCTGAGTCTCATCTGGAGCCAGTCACTCTGTAACTGGCAGAGGACTACTAGGCCACCCTGTTCCCGAGCTCCTGCAGAGCACACCTCCCAGGCCTCTGCGCCACCCCTCTCACCCTCACTCTGCTTTTCAACTGGAGCTGGAGCAAGTGTCTGGACCTGCGGCTGCTTCTCCATCTGCTCCCGGAACTGCTGCTGCAGCTGCTTTTGCCGAAGCTTCCGCTGGTGAGTGGCATCACTCTCCACAGTGGACAAGGTCAGGCTTCTGCATCCCAAGAGCAAAAAGGTGAGTTCCTGAGTGAACCAGGTTAATGATGACAGACACAGGTCCTGAGGAAGCACACAAACCAACTTGCTGGCTCTGAAGGCAGGAGTGGCAGCACCCTAAACCGCATAGCAGGGGCAGGAGGAGGAAGGGAAGGACCTTGGGCCCCGTACCGGGAGCTGCTGGCCTTATCTCCTTGTAGCATCATGTGGGGGTCACCCGTGTGGCTTGCTCTGCAAGGGGAGGTCTCCTGCGGTTTTGAGGGTCCCAGAGCTACATTCAGCCGACAGCTGTTGTATCTTGCCTGCTCCACAGATGGTTCAAAGTCCTGTCTCTTTGCTTTAGTTAAGTCCACTTCAAGAGGCAGCTAAGAAGAAAGAAAAGCTTCTTTTCCCATTCTTTTCTGTTCCCCGCCCCACAGACTTAGATTCCTGAAAAAACAAATGTGACAATCATTGCTCCAACATCATAAGACACTGAAAACTGATGCTCATGAGAAATTATCAGGATATGAGACTGAGAGGAATACATTTTTATAACAATAATCTGAAAATGGAAATTATAGTTGGATTGCTTGTCTACATTGAAACAAGTAGGAATGAGCTTTGAGAAAAAATGAAAAAGACACCATCGTTGCTGTCAAGAACATGGCATGGCTGGGGCTTAACAGTGCTATGAGGAATGTGAACTAGTACAGTCCCGCTAGGAAACGGGAAGAGTCTACTACAACTAAACATATACCTTCTGATCCATTAAGTCCTACGAAAAATGAGTGCATATGGGATCCAGTAGTATGCTAACAGCAGCCAAAAACCCAAGTATCTGCTAAAGACAGGAGGGAAAAACAGTTATATACTCTTGTAATAGAAAAGAAGAATTTGGGGGGTGGGGTACTAAGCAGCAGACTCACGACCTCATGCTTGCCAGGCAAGCACTTGTGCTGCTGAGCTAAACTCCCAGCCCCGATAGAAAATTATATAATAGTGAAAATGTTGCACCATGAATGACTCACAAACATGCTGAATGAAAGTACAAAAAGTTTAGATTCCTTGATTCCAAAGAACGCATTTAATAGTCCAAACAAATACATGATTTTCCTTAGTAGTAGAAACAAAACAAGCGAGTTTAATTTCAAAACATCCCTGATGTGCGCATCGTTAAGCAGCTTGGGTTTTCAACTTCTGATGTTCACCCGTTCTTCCCAGCACTGCATCAGAGTCTGCCCTGAGAAAACCGGGCCAAGCCCATTGCATCGTCAGTGTCCCACACTACTGTGCTATCTGCTATGGATCCGTCCTCCCAGGGGATGAGGACAGCTACTTTGCTCTTTTCTTACAACTTTCTCTCTCCTCTCTCTTAACTCCAAAAGACATTATCAACATTTTACTTGGAAATTTTTCTCCTACTTTTCTTTCTTCCATCTTTTTGACTGTTTGCCCCTCTCTCCCTGTCTGTCTCCTCCTCCCTCTCCCCTTTCCATCTTTTTCTTTCTGTCCCCTCCCCATCCTCCCCACTTTTTCTTTCTGTCTCCTGACACAGGGTCTTGCTATGTACTCTAGACTGGTCTTGAACTTGTTGACAATCCTCTTGCCCTAGCCTCCCAAGTACTGGGAATGACCTACATCAAACTTAAAAACCTAAGACAATCTACAGAATGTAAAAAAATATTTATAGGGGGGCGCCAGGGGTTAAAAAAAAATTTATAAATCGAGTTACCTGATAAGGGGTTAAAAGCTAGAATATTTAAAGAACTATTGGAAACCAACAACAAACATCAAATAACCCCAGTAAAAATGGCAGAGGGCTTGAAAAATCTCCGAAATCTGAAATTATGCACTAATCATAAGGATGTACCCTAACCATAATAAAGTCACACCTATTAGGATGGCTGTTATTTAGTTTTGTTTTGTTTTCTGATACCGGGAATCAAACTCATAACTGCATGCTCGCAAGGCAGGCGCTTATGTTGCTGAGCTAAATCCGTGGCTCTGGATGGCTGTTATTTTTAAAAAATTAAAAAGTGGGGACTTCAGAGAACATGGCGGACAGATAGCAGCAGCTACGGAGGCTCGCTGAAAGACCTAGCTTAGAATTCAGGAATGGTGCGAAGTAAGGAATCATAAGCAAGTGGAGATATGCCCTGATGACCCAAGAACGAACTGGGCTGAGAGAAACCAACTGGGAATGCAATCCTGGTGCTATAACAGGAACAGAAAAGCCTCAGTGTGGAAGCTGGAGCCCACACCATTGGAAGCCGCGATTTGGGTTTCCCGCTGCTGCGTCTACATCGGCTCGGCAGGGAGAGAGACGCACAAAAGCTCTGAGAACGGGAATCGGTGAACGGAGTTGTAAGCAGGACGGGCAGGGAGCTGTGCATTGACCTGCGGTGAGTGAGAGAAACTGGGACTCTTCCACGGTCTAGGAGACTCCAACAGAGGACATTCTGGGACCGGGCAGACTTGCGTGAACAGGGCGCTGCAGTGACTTCAGTCATGTATCCCCCTCTCAAGTGGGATTGGTGAGCAGTGCCTAGCCTACATGACGCTGCTGGCTGAGACCCAGTAGGCTAGCACAACCCAGATCCCAGCGCCTGAAGGTGACTTGGAGGGGCGGGCCCCGCATAGGCTGCCTGGTCTGCAACTCCCTGGTGCGCTGCGGTGGGCGGGAACACCTAGCCGGCGCAATTCAATCAGACTGCGGCCAACAAGGAAGGAGGCTAGGCCTCCTATATACACTTGCATATATAAGGAACAAGGAATATGGTAAGAGGGAGCAACAAGAAAGGGTCCTCGGCCCCCAATCCTGAGAAAGAGGCAACAGCAGACACAGTACCAATAGATATAAAGTGCTATGTCCAGAGCCTCATAGACAAGTTCAGGAATGAAGTTATTAATGACCTGAAGCTAGACAGAAGCAGAATAGTTAGAGAAATGCTAAGCACCACCCAAGAAAAAACAGATGGTGGAATGGAAGAACAGAAAAAGAGGGGAGAATTGTTTGATGGAGAAAATAGAGAAAGCATAGAATACGTGAAGCAGGTTCAAAGAGATTACCAGGAAACTAAAAACTCTATTGAAAGCTGGCATAACAGCTTGAAAGAAACTAAGGACAGATTATCTGAACTGGAGGGCAGATTTGTAATATGGGAGCATGAAATGAAAAACTTCTTAAAAATAACAAAGAAACAAACAGCAATAATACAAAGACTAGAAGATGATAAGAGGATCTATAACTTAAGAATTAAGAACATAAAAGAAGAAGTAGGGACACAAACAAATGAACTACAAAAGCTACTCACAGAAATAATCCAGGAGAATTTTCCTAATTTAGCAAAAGGTAAAGATACTCAGATGTATGAGGCATACAGGACCCCAGCTACCTACAACCCTAACAGAGCTACACCCAGGCATATAATAATCAAAATTCCAGAAATCCAATACAAGAACAGAATATTAAAAGCCGTCAGAGACAAGAAACAGATCACTTACAAGGGAACACCCATCAGAATTACAGCAGACTTCTCAGCACAAACCATCAAATCACGAAGGGGGGGGGAATAATTCAAGCTTTGAAAGATAATAATCTCCAGCCAAGATTGAGATATCCTGCACAACTATCCCTGGAAATTGATGGAAAAACAAGGTGCTTCCAGGATAAAGAGGAACTAGGAGAATACAACCACCAATTCAACTCTACAGAGAATACTGCAGGATATTCTAAAAAAGAAAAATACAAAGAATCCAGAAATAGTGGCAGAGAGGCCACAATGAACGGAGCAGAAAACAAAATGAAGAAGACAAACTGACAACTAATGACAGAAAAAGAGCTCAACAGAAATGAGGCAGAGAAGATTGGATGACAGGAACAGCTATTTTGGAGAAAATGACGTCTTCATAGGTAATACTGTTAGTATCATCTTGTTTTGAAGTCTCATCAAGCTTTTGTTCTTCTGTCTCCAATGGTCTAAATAGGTTGTATCTTATTGGATTTTATTATATATACTAGTATAAGCAAAAACTTTTATAGACAAGGAGATTATACAGAAACCATTGTTCATTTTCTGTTGGTTGATTCTAAATACCCTGTAATACTGTCATTCTCTTAAGTGGTTTTACATTGTTTTGATATATTTGATGCTACAGTATATGAAGTTATACTCAAAGATTTCAAGGAAAGAGACAATATGGTAACTACTTTTATGTCGGGATTATCTTGTGGTGAAACACTATTTTGCTTAAATGGCTAGGTTTGATCTGCGCTGTTTTGCTGTTATGCCCTCTTTTATCTCAATCTCCATTTTATTATTTACTTTTTTATTTTCATCCTTTTAATTAAGGGAAAAATAAATTTAAAAATAGCAGGATATATTATAGTAACCCACTTTGACTCTCCATTATCTTGATTTAAAGCCATGTATTGCTCTCACCATCTTGTTTTGACTGATGTTCCTCTATTCTGTTTTGCTTGATAGTACCAGGTTCGAAAGTTTAGGCAACAGCTGTGAAGATAGTGGGATTCATTATGACGCCCATTCTGGTTGACTATTATCTATTTTTGAAGACCTATAATGTCTCCAATGTTCTTTACTGGTTTTGTTCTTTACTGTTTTGTTCAATTTTATTATAACCAATGATACATGCAACTCTATTAGAGATAGCGGGAGGCATTATGGTAACCATTGTTGATCACCTTGTATTATGCTTTTACATTATCTATTATGTCCACCCTTTGATTTGACTGACTCTGTTCTGTTATGTCACATTTGGTTCTACTCTCTTCCAAAAAAGTAATAAGAACTGTGGGAGCAACAAAACCCAAAATGTGTAATTGTCATTGTACAAAAGAGAGGAAAAGAAAGTGCTCTAAATGATATAACTGCATGTATATTTAAGTGTATAAGATAGATAATGATATTACTGAGTTTTGTTGGATCATTGAACAGAACTGTTTGCAGTCTCACTGTTGGAATGTCCACTTTATAAGCTTTAATTTTGTAACTTGAACAATTATTTCTAAGATGACAATATGTAATCCATTAACTAGTGATTTCCTACTGTTTATTTTTTTCTGTAAATCTGTATAACTTGTACCCTTTCTCTGCTTTTCTTTTTTTCTCCTTAACTAAAATTAAAAAAAATAAAAATAAAAAGTGGGGTGCAGTGGCACATGCCTGAAATCCAAAGTACTTAGATCGTAAGTTCAAGGCCAGCCTGGCAAGACCTTTTCTCAAAATGAATAAAGTGGTAGGGATGTAGCTCAGTGGCAGTGTGCTTACCTAGCTTGCATGAGGCCATGGGTTCAACTCCCAGTACCATCCACAAATAAAACAATTACCATATGATGCGGCAATCGCACTCCTAAGTTCTATCCAGGACTAAACGTCAGGCCTCCTGAGGTATTTACATGTCTATGTTCATAGCAGCATTTTTCCCATAGCCAAAGGTATTAAGATCGGTGGATAGGGCTGGGGATAAGATCTGTGGCATAAACACCTGCCTGGCAAGTGCAAGGTCGTGAGTTAGATGCCCGGTACAAAAAAAAAAAGAGATGGGTGGATTTAAGAAACAAGATATACACATAAAATAACATTCGGCTCTAACAAAGAAGGAAATTCCAACTTACACTTCCACATTTGAATCTCCAAGCTTTTTTGTTTGGTTGGTTGGTGGCTGTTGTTTTGGGGTTTGTTTGTTTGTTTGTTTGTTTGTTTTTTGTCTTTTTGAGACTTGGTTTTGCTTTGCAGTTCAGGGTGACCTTAAACTCACTTTGTAGCCCAGGCTGGCCTCGATCTCCCAAGTGCTGGGATTCCAGGCCTGCACCACTATGCCTGGCTTGAATCGTGAAGCATTAATGCTAAGTGAAATAACCCAAGTGCAAAAACAGTATGTAGTTTATGAGGTAGGCACTCAAACTGTCCAGCTCACACAGACAGACAATAAATAGCAGTTATTAAAACTGGGGGGAGGGGGGCTGGGGGTTTAGCTCAGCGGCATAAGCACCTGCCTTACAAGCAGGCGGTTGTGAGTTCGATCCCCGGTACCGATAAAAATGAAAAAGACAAAAAAAAAAAAAAAAAAAAACCAAAAGACTGGGGGAAGGAGGGGGGGAAGGAGGGGGGAAAGAAGTTTGTTTTTTCAAGATGTAGAAGTTGTGGAGGTGAGTTTTACAATGATGAATATACTCAACACTGTTCAACCATACACTAAAAACAATAAATTTTGTTTTTTACCACAAAAAAAATGAAAAAAAAAAGACACCTGTAGATAATATCCTTTGGAAACACAGATGCAAAAAACATTAAGAATAGCAAAAGGACTCCAATAATGATTCTAAAAACACATACGGAATTTTGACAGATGCACACACCGCTGCCAAGGGAAAAAGACAGGCGATGTTGCCTGGGTGGCAGCATGGTGAGGGCCTCAGAGGAGCCGGAGAAGAAACACTGGCGCTCCACTAGGCAAATGGAGCAGGCCAAGTGTGCTCTGGGGGTGCCGCCCCTCAGTGCCACAAGGGGGATCTGCACTGCAGGTGGAGGGCAGAGCAAAGAGCAACCTGAGGCTTCCTTGGAAGATTCCAAGTATGGTGGAGGTGGCACTGGGGCCGAGGGGAGGCCCGTGTCCTTGGTCTGAGGATTCGTAGACCACTCCCAGCCCCAGTTCTCCACACGAGACAGGCTTGGTTTCTACTCTTAAAACGGAATGATGATGCCTGCCGGCACTAACATTCACAGTCTGAAATAAACATCCCAAACCCTGTCAAGAGCGAGGGTCCCTTCTCCTCCATCCCTCAAATAATCTGTGAAACGAGAGTTTGCAGTATCATCACCCTGTTCACCCATTTCTAACATACCTGGCGTGGAAGCTTATTCAGCGACCTCAGATAGTCTTTGTCCAGAATGCAGTTTCCAAGTGCATTCCCAAAACTTCTAGAGGTAAGGGAGAAAAAGCAAAGCAGGCTTAAGAACTGCCAGGCTTGAACATCAGAGAACAGAACTACAACCTGGTTTAGGTTATTTCTCAATGGCAGCAGAGGACATGGGCCATGATATGCATTCTCTGATGACCAGGCATTTGCTATGTTCCTGCACTGGGCTGCATTCTAAGTATGAAGCAAAGATCACGACCCACAAAGCCCTCAGGGACACAGCCCACCAGCCAAACCCTGACAGAAAGGCCTGGCCCTCAGGGGCAGTGTCTGGACCTCCTAAGAGGTCTGTCGCTGGCTGCGTGCTCTGGAAGAAAACAGAAGGCGCTGGGCCCTCTCTCCTGCCTACACCAGGGCAGGAGATGAGCAGGGCCCTGTGCCACACGCACACCACCCTGACGGGCTCACCATGACCCCTGAACTAAAACCTCCCAATTGTGAGCTAAAATAAACTTTTCTCTCCAGGGGCTGCTTTATCCTAGATATGTTACAGTAAGAGAAAGACAATCATCACCATATCCTGGAAAGGTCTACAGGACATATCTCTGAGGCGTAGGGAAATCAACACAGCATAGAGAACACATTAAGTCCCCAACTTACACAGGAGTCCACGCCAGGAGAACTGGCACGGACTGGGCCAGACTCATTCATATCAGAAGTGACCGTTAGGCAGTACACCTGCCAAAGTTCGCAGCTTGAACGTTTGTTCAGTGTTCTACCATTTATTCCTGAAAACAGTCCTCACCATAAACACTGGGAAACATGAAACACAACAGCACTCAGTCATTCATTACATCGAGGTGTATTTTGTTCCTTCTCTAAGGTTATATAATCTAAAACAGTGTAATTTCTTTTTTTCTTTTTCTCTTGTCTTCTTGAGACAGGTCGTCACTGTGCAGTTCAGTTCAGGCTGGCCTTGAACTCTTAGAGATCTTAACAGCGCACAGGCTCAAGGGGAGGGCGAGGGGCACCTGCCTGTGCTATTCCGATCTCTGATCCACACGAATGACGACCTCTTCCAAACAGCGCCGTGAACCGGGAGCTGGACAGAGGCTGGCGCAGCCCCAGCCCCAGCTTACCTGAGCGCCCGCTTCAGGCCGTCTGTCACCGCCTCCTTCCGGGCCTTCTCCAGGGACAGAGCCTTTGACTTGAGGCCCTCGCTAACTCCATAGCCTACGTCTTCATGGTAGGAGCCGTCCTGGGGTGGGGAAGGAGCCGGAGCTAACATGAAAAGCTGCCGTCCTGTCCTGGCTGCCCTGCCTTTCCTCAAGCAGTGCTCACCGTGGGCCCAAAGGACTCGGAGCCACGCTGACGGGGACGTGGCTCACACACCTGTGAGACATCAGTGTCCTGAGCTGTTTCCAAGACCTGATCTGCTTGGAATGTGCCTGGGCTCTAAATGGCAGACTGTCTCCCTTCCCCATCCCCACGACACAGGAAAGGCACCCTCTGACCCACCCCACGTCTCTCTGCGGTGTGTTACCCAACGGGATAAATAGCGCTAGAAGACCAAGGAAACACAACTGGAAGTGTGCATCTACTGGCTTCTCACTGGATAGCAAATCCTTTCCCTTTGTAATAAGCCAGTACCATTTCTTGGCTTCAACTGTCAGCTAACAGAATGAAATACAATGTTTAATGATAGCACTGTTGACTTCTGAGAAAAGACATTCCGAGAAAAGAATCAAGTTAAAACATAGCTACTTACATGATCAAAGCTTTCAGTACTACTTATACAACTAAGATATCAAATAGAATTAACAAATGCTGACTTAAGAAATAATAGTCAACTGAACACACATTAACTGGAAAAGAAAAACCAGCACCATCTATTGCATTAAAATGTGCATCTTTCATATATTTTACTTGTATTAAAATCTCAGCAGATTGGACCTGGGGATCTCACTCAGGCACAGCGTCTGCCTGGCAAGCTCAAAGTCCTGAGTTCAATTTCTAGTACCAAAAATAAAATTATTTTTTAATGTATTTATGATACCTCCTCAACATAAACACAGTTATTTGACACTTGTGTTAACAATAACTATCATCACACAACCCAGAAGATATCTTTCATCTTTAAAGTCTTAGCCAGGTGTGATGGCACAGGTCTGTAATCCCAGGACTCAGGAACTTGCAAAAGGATCACTACAAGTTCAAGGCCAGTCCTGGCTAATTCAAAGCCAGCCTGAACTGCATAGTGAAACCCTGTCTCAAAAAAACAAAATATAGGGGCTGGGGATTTAGCTCAGCGGCATAAACGCCTGCCTTGCAAGCGGGCAGTCGTGAGTTCGATCCCTGGTACCGATAAAAAGGAAAAAGACAAAAAAAAAAAAAAAAAAAAAAAAAAAAAAATATATATATATATATATATATATATATATATATATAATCTATACTCAGTCTAAAGTATATATACATATATAAAGTCACTGGAATGGTTGTGGATGTAGCTCAGTGGTAAAGTGCTTGCCTAACATGCAGGAAACCCTGGTTTCACCCCAATCATGAAGTGGAGGAAAAACAGTCACTGGAAGTTTTTTCCTCCAAAATTTTTTTTTGTTTTGGGGGTACTGGGATTGAATTCAGGGAACAGTAAGCTATATCCCAACCCCCACTTTTCCAGAGGGGTCTGGGGTTTTTTTGAGAAAGGGTCTCAGGCTGGCCTCAAACTCTCCTGTCTCCTGTCTCAGCCTCCTGGGTGCTGGAATTGCACACATGTGCCACCACACCTGGCCCAGCCCCTTTTCAGAATTTTATTTTGCTATGTTGCCCAGGTTGATCCCAGACTTGCAAACTGGAGACCAGCCTGGGCTACACAGTGAGTTCCAGGCCAGGCGGACTATACAGCAAGACCTCATCTCAAAACATTAAAAACAAACGTAAGCTGGGTGCACAGCACACACCGCTAATCCCAGCTACTCGGATGCAGAGGTTTGTGAATTTGAGACCAAAGTGAGTGCTCAGGTTTTTCTTTTAAAAAAAGGAATGCTTTCATTTCAAAATGTCAAATTTTACACGATATTAAAGAATATACCCTTTGGCCTAGGGAGACGGCTCAGCAGCACAGCACCTGATTGCCAGGCATGAGGTCGTGAGTTCGATTTTCGGTACCAAAAAACAGACCTTTTGTGACTACAAAGATGTTAACTTAAAAACATGCAGAGGACAGAACTTTTCAAAATTCTTTCAAGGGAGCACATGATGCCACCATTCTTGGGACCCTAGCTGAGACTCTGCTCTCCACTCAGGCTAGGCCAGGGGCCAGAGTCATCCCTCCCTGTCGCCACCACGCCTCCCTGGTGGCAGCTCTGCTCCGTCACCCTCACCTTCAGCTGCACCTTCACAAATGCACAGACTCCCACGTAGAACTTGCCGTTGTTGAGGTCAATGAAGTCTGGAAGTGTAGAGAAGTTTCAGGTTGAAGGCGGTGATCCCTGCCTTCCCGTCCCTACCCACACAGTCCACGCACTCACGCACTCAGCCAACCACCGAAGCAGGCCGTGGGGCAGCCACAACGCAGCCACATACTCACCCACGTTCTGCTGTGTGATGGAGTGAGCCCAGCCATTGTACCCAAACATCTCGTTGGCCAGATTAATGACCCGATGGCCCTCAATGTAACACACCTAGGAAAAGTTCTAAAGCTATGTTAAAATTCCTTGGCAGATTTAAATACCACTACAATTCACTCCTTTCATTCTTTCTATGTTCTGACGAAACTGTTCAATTCCAAGGAAATTCCCAATAAATATATTTCAAAGATCTTCTGGACACAACTAGCCAGAGTAATGGCCTGTCTGAGGGGAAGAAGTGGCCTCAGGAGAAAGCTATCTACTCCCATTTCCAAAACCAAGAATTTCTAAAAAATCTCTACTTAACATATTCTATGAAAAATCAACAACATACGGAAATCTAAGGCAGGGGCCAGAGCTGCAGCTCAGGGGTACAGGGCCTGCTCACAGCATGAAAGCGGGCCTAGATTCCAGCCTCAGCACCACGAAAAGAAAGAAGAGAAATGGGGAAGAAAGAGGAAGAGGAAAAGGAGAAGGAGAAGGTAGCTGGTAAAATTAGAAGCAAATGGCAAAGGGCACATTTTCAAAAAGTGGCGGGAGGATTCTAACAGGACCATTATGGGAGCCTCAAGATGAAGCCTGGGCCACTTCAGAGGACAAAGAAGTCCAGAGCCCGCCCCCAGGCACAAGGAAACAGCCAGTAGCTGAGAACAAGACCCTCCTGAGTCCTAAGGACTCACAGGTGGCTGGTGACAGCCAAGTTGGGACCCGCATACCTTCTGGCCTCCTCCGGCCATGCGGCTGCTGATGTACTCCGGGCCCAGCCTCTGCCGCAGGGCGCTCTGGATGGCCTGGTACTCTTCTGCAGTATACTGGCACTGTAATCCAGCAGGGAGAATCACACTAGCATTTCCACCAGGGCCTCCAGCAGCTCCCCTTTCTACTCTTAACAAGTGTGAAGTACATGACGTCCATGCGGATCAAAACACCGCACAGGAGCTGGCAGCTCCCTGCTCAGTCGGGAACCTGCCTAGCATGTGCAAGGCCCTGGGCTCCTCCCTAACGCCTAAAAAACACACCAAAAAAATAAACCGCATGGTCCACCTTAACTGGACTTTTATATAGTAGTTAAAAATGTTTTTAAGAAGTAGCAAGAATCCCAGAGCTTGTAAATCCAGATTAGCCCAACCCATGTTAGGAACAAGCACATAGAACTTAAGGCCCCCTTTCATCGGCCACCAGAAGAGTGACACCATCATGGGTATGTAGCCCCCGTAAAACTCCACTGGGTATCAGGGACAGAATCAGTGTGGAAAGGCAAACGATCTTAGTGATATTAGGGATATTTCACGTTCATGGACACTGAAAAGATCTTGTGAACCCCCAGGGGCCCTAGAACCACGTTTTGAGGGCCACTGAATTAACGGCTGTACCATCCTTACTTCAACAAACAGGACACCTCTCAAAGAACAAGACCCCAGGAATGTGGGGTCCCAGAGACAGAACTGGATGGCACCCTGATGGGAATGATAGGGAAACTGGAAAACCTGTCACTCATAGCCTGCTTTGTTTTGAATTCTGTATCATATAAACGATAAAGTTTTGTGCTATTAATAAACTTACACGGAAAGGTAATCCCCTAAAAATTTCAAATTTTACTCAGCGTTCATCAAAGACCACCCAAATGATGCAAACAAGGAAAAGTACAATAAATAGCTTCCACGTGAGAGGTACCTGTCCGCAGACCACTCACTGTAACCCCGTTCTTTGCAGAGATGCAGAACTCAGTTACCTGCCCGAAGCACAGCACAGAGTTACCTCCAGCAGGACGGTAGCCATCTCCGCCTCTAAGAATAGCTTCCTCAGTCCCAGACATGGTGTTCTGGTTGACCTCTGTATAACTAAAAGGTTAAAAAGACCTCAGAGACTGCTAAAGGCAAAAGACAAGCGCCTCTACTGAAAATCCAGAAGGCTCATGTGCAAGAGCCTCTAAGGTACTTTCTGTCCTTCAAAGTCAGGGGTAAGCTACCATCTGAAGTCACTGAAAACCCTACAGCATCTGCTCTTGCCTTCTGGTGATATGTGCCTCAGTGATGGTGCTTCTTAAAAGTGATTTTCACAGTGAGAATGGTTTATATTTATAATTGTGTGGAGGCATTGGCCAGAGGTATGTATGAAATGAATATTGAGAGGAAAGGGACATTAGGGTCAAATGCCCAAAAGTTCCCAGAATGCACTTAAATTTGCTAGCAATTAAAAAATAGCTGAGAGCTAAGTAAGTGTGGTAGCACATGGCTATAATCCCAGTACTTGGGAGGCTGAGGCATGAGGATTGCATTGGTTTCAAGGCCAGCCTAGAAGATATAGTGAGTTCAGAGCTGGCCTGAAATACAGAGAGACCCTGTCTCCAAAAATAATGATAACAATAAAAGATAGCCTACAGGGCCATAAGTCACAGCAGTATCAAAACTTTAGGAATGAATGCTCTGGCCCTCATACTCCGATTTACTGGACTGAGCCTAAGGTCAGCCATGTAACAGACCACCCTGAGCTTAGCCTGTCCTCCTCCTGTCCTCCCCATTTGCCTTCCCTGAATTTCTGCACTGACATCCTTCCTTTGTCCTTTACCCTTGCTTCCTTGTTCTAGCAGTAAAAGCCACAGAGGTTCCAGTTCAGGATGGTCCTTATGAGACTCTCACGTTTCAGGGTGTCATTTAAGGACGCCCCTTCCAGCCCTTCTTAGGAGTCTGAATTGGACACTGACTCTGAATAATCTTTCATCCTTTGTGCTGTGCCACAGTTGTGAACTGCAACACAATTTTAAAAAATTAAAGTGACACAAATGCACTCTAAAGAAAAGCAAACAAGTTACTACTACCTAATAGAGTAACTACGTTAGGTGCAGGTTGTGGCAAGCACCTTGATTGTGGTAACCATTTCATAACGAACATACAAGCCAGACATGGTGGCGCACACCTGTAATTCCAGCAATCAGGAGGCTGAAGCAGGAGGACTGCCGTGAGTTCGAGACCAGCCTGGGATACACAGTGAGTTCAAGGTCAGCCTGAACTGCATAGTAAGACTCTGTCTCAAAAAAAAAAAAAAAAAAAAAAAACCATAGTGAACATACATCAGATCAACCATACTGTACACCTTAAATATACATAATTTTTATCAATCATGTCAATAAACATCAGGGTATAAATGAGTAATGAGTTATATCTTTAAAACCTACCTATTGTAATGTGATGTGAGTAATGTGATGGACCACAGGGGCTCACACCTAAATGTAAGCTACGGGAACTGAACCATTTTCTAGGAGCTAACAAGGTAGCTGGAGGGAAAAGACTAATAGAAAGCAAGCAACTAAAGAGCAAAGAATGACAACACAGAAGACCGCAAACATTCAGGAAAAACAGAATGGCACAAAGCCTGTCTGGACCCTGAGTAAGCAGCAGCAGCGTCGCTCAAGAATCTACTAGAAATGCAAATTCCCAGGCCCAGCCCACACCTGCTGAATCAGAAACCCGGGAGTAGGGCCCAGTAACCTGCATTTCATGAACCCACCAAGTGATTCCACTACATGGTCACGTCTGAGAGCCAAACCACTTGACTATGCAAGTTCATGGAGTCCAAGAAAACAGAATTCTCCTCAGAAAAATCTCCCACAAGTAGCTGATCCCCTTTTGCAAAAGGAGGAAAGACAGAACAGCTTAGCTCAGTGACAAGAGTGTCTCGGTCAGGTCAGGCCAATTGCAGTGCAGTGGCCTTCTCTCTTACAGCTACAGGGGCCAGCACAGGCGGCCTCCGAGATCATCAGGGCAGGGCTGGGGGAGCTGAGGGAGTCATGCTGGGCCACCCTGCCTGAGCCCCACAGTGGTAGGATCACTTCTACTCATGTGCCCCGGAAAGGACCTGCCACACACCCAGCCCCAGTGAACTGGAGAGAAGGCTGGGCAGTGTAAGCAGGCCTCTCCACACCACAGCCACAAACCCCATTCCTCCCTCCCACACGAGCCCTGTGGGCCTGCATGATAACTTGGGTGGTGACCATTAGTGTGACAGCCATGCGACCTGTGTGCCAAAAAGCTTTTATCTCGTGAACCCTCTTAGAAAACGGATAAAAATGTTTTCTTAAAAAATCTATTTTTACCATAGAGAAAGATGTATTCTGCACCGTGGGATTAGCATGTGTTATTTGTACACCATTGCAGGATTAGCACATCATTTGTATCAAACTGCCCATTCCTTAAAAGATGAAGCTGTCAGGTGCTTTGGCTCGGTCTCCTGGGTCCTTGCTGGTGACTCTGCCTGGGCACCGCTCTTTGCAGAGCTGACACTGGAGCTCTGAGACTGCCATGACCATCGGTGGCTGCCATTAGCTCCCGGCCGTATAGGTCTCCAGACTGCGAGCTCCAGTGCTGTCCCATGATCGCTGACCACTGGGCGCCCCCTCCCACGCTCTCCTGGCACTGGCCAGGTGGGAGAAAGACCCTGCACTGTGGGTCTCCACCTCCGGCTTATGCTGAGAGCGTGCTCCCCCTTGTCCTGATGGGAGTGTGATGAATGCTCAACAAAACCCCACACTTGGAAGATGGCTCGGCTCTTGGGATCTTCATTTGTCAGATGACCAACTCCCTCTGGCCACTGCAGACCTCAGAGTGGCCTAACTCAGAATGCCTTTTGGTCCCAAGAATGGCCTCTCTGCCCACTCACAACAAAAAAAGATTCTTTAATGCATTCTTTAAATGCCAACCACTCAATAAGAAAAAAAGACAATCCATCTTAAAGTAAGCATAGGGTTTGATAAGATATTTCACAAAGGAAAACTCAGGAATATCAAGACACACAGGAAAAAATGCTTGGTATTAGTAATTAAGGACTAAAACTAAAATCATACTGACTGACCACTGTACATCTATCAGAATAACTAAAACTAAAGATGTCACCGAGACTGACAAGGATGGGAAGCAACCTCACACTCACACACGCTCGGCAGGAGACACGCTGCGGCAGCCACTCCTGGAAAAGGGGGTGACGCCGCCACACGCGCGGGCCAGAGGCTGAGGCGGCAGGGGACCAGTTCCAGGGCTTGAGCTCTGCCAGTTCTTCAGGCATCTTGGATACCAGTTCTTTGTCCGTGAACATCTGTGTTTATCTGCTCACCTTCTCAGCACTGTCCCTGATGAGAAGTTCCACATTCTGATATATTCAAATTCATTTTTTCCCCCCTTTCTAGTAGTGTTTTTGCTTTGAGTGCAGAGACACCTTTGGTGCCACCAGGCCCCTATGACATCACCATGTTCTTCTGTTCATGCATCTACCATAGAACCAAGAATTCTTCTGATATTTCCCTCGGATACACAAAATGTGACCGAGACGACTTTTGGGGATGCTGGATAAACAGCCTAAATGAGGCTGGTGAGGCTGAACAAGACATGGATGAATTCCAGACACTAAGAAGGTAAACAAGATTGCAAAAATGTCTTTATCCTTGCCCATTTCCTCATCACCTAAAAGCAAATCTAGTTATTGTGGAAAAAGGAGGAAGGGTGGAGTACAAGGAATGAGTATATTATGTGAGGAAATTTCCCTGTTACTCTCCTCGTCTTTATTATTTATTTTTAGTTTTTTAAGACAGGGTCTGGCTATGTACTCCAGGTTGGCCTTGAACTCGCTATGTACCCCTGGCTGGCCTCAAACTTGCAGCAATCCTTCTGCCTCAGCCTCTCAAGTGCTGAGACTGTAGGCATGGGCCACCATCAGGCTCTTCTCATCTTTATTAAAAACAAAACAGGGGATGGGGATTTAACTGATGGTGTAAGCACCTGACTGGTAAGGGCAACGTCACAAGTTCAAGCCCCGTATCAAAAAAAAAAAAAAAAAAACAGGGCATAATCACAAAAGGTAATATAAGCCACCTCCTTAAAAAGCTTGAAACTCTATTTTGTAAGCCATGAGAGAACAATGAAAAAAAATTTTTTTTCCAATCCTGGCAACCAAAACCAGGAGCACTCTACCACTGAGCTATAGCCATAGCCCTTTTTATTTTGAGACAGGGTTTTGCTAAGTTGCCCAGACTGGCCCTGAACTCGTGATCCTCCTGCCTCAGCCCCCTGAGTAGCTGGATTACAGGTGTGAGCCACTGTTCCCATGATGGGAAGTTTTAAACTGAGAATGTAAAGATTACAGTCAGGAAGTTCACTATTGACAGTGAATAACTGAGGAAGAGATCAGCTAGGAGTCTCTACTGCAGTAGCCCAGAGAAAAAACAATAAAGGCTCAACTGTACAACAGGAGTGCTGAGAGAGGACAGCTCTGGACAGGTCTTACGGGAGGCAGCACTGACAAGACTCCGAAATGGGTGGGATTCTACTATGAAGACCAGGAGCAGCCTGAGGGGTAGGACGAGGTATCAAGGTTCTTTCATTTTCATTTATGTACATACTGCTGTAATATTTCTTTAAAAATAAAATAAAATTAGCAACATCCATGCATGGTGGCACACACCTGTAATCCCAGGTACTCAGAAGAATGTGACAGGAGAATCACAAGTCATAGCCAGCCTAGGCAACATCTAGAGAACTTGTTTCAAAATAAAAAGTAGGGCTGGGGATTTAGCTCAGTGGCATAAGCGCCTGCCTGGCAAGTATGAGGTCATGAGTCCAATCCCCGGTACCAAAAAAAAAAAAACCTGTTCAAAATAAAAAGTACAGCTGGGCATGGTGGTGCACACCTGTAATCCCAGCACTCAAAGAGGCTGAGGCAGGAGGCTTCTTGCAAGTCTGAGACCAGCCTGGGCTACAAAGTGAGCCCAAGGCCAGCCTAAAATGCAGAGAGAGACCCTATCTCAAAAAAAGATTAAAAAAAAAAATAAAAAGTAAAGGGCCAGGGTATAGCTCAGTACCACAGTGCTTACCTAGTATGCATGAGGTCCTGAAAGCAATCCCCGCTACTAGGGGAAAAGAAAAAAAAATTAGCAACGGTAGAAAAAAATTGTTAAATTAAAAGCAAAACATAAATCTCAAAATAGCATTTGTTTAAATCCTTCTGTACCTCGCCACACTCTAAATCAGAAGCGGCGAACCCAAGGCACACATGCCTCAGTGAGCTGCCTGTATCGCTGAAAGCTCTAGAGGTTCACCATCACTGCTCTCAATGTCCCTCCAGCATCTGAGACACACTCCGAAGCGTGCATGACACTGTACTTTCTGCTGTACTATCAGCCTCCACCGTTCGAGAAGGAAGAGCCAGGCACTCCCATAAATCCCCAAGCACTTAGCACAGCCCTGTATCTGCTGAAGAGCATTTTGGTCTTCTCTGAACTCCTCCCTAGAACTGTCATTGTGGAATTAAATGAACACCTGCAGTGAAAAAAATTAAACACTGCATACACTGAAAAATATTCATACTAAGCCTGCCCTGAATAATTCTATTGATTATCATGTCAGTTCTCATTATTCACAGTCGTTACGGTCTAAGTGCCACTGTGAACACACTGAAATAGTGAATATTAAACCACTCCTCCAGGGAAACACAGGGTTGCTGGATAGAATGTTTTATGTGTGTTCCTATGAACACATAACCAACAGCACTCTAACTCATGCCCAAAGAATGCTCATCAAAAAGAATCATTTTAGCCAGGTATGGTGGTATACACCTGTAACCCCAGCATTTCGGAGGCTGAGGCAGGAGGCTCGTGGCCAGTTCAAGACCAGCCTGGGCTACAAAGACAGTTCAAGTCCAGCCTAAACTCTATAGTGAGACCCTGTCTCAAAAAGCCAAAGGGGGCGGGGGTGAAACCCTCATCTTTTCCCTGTAAAGCACATCAAAGCCTTCCTGCACTCCACAAGGAGACAGAATTTCAGCACTGTTCTAGAAGAACATTTTAAACAGTGAACCAGAAAAAGCACAAAACGATAATACTATAGTAAATACTGCAAGAGGCTCAGGAAGTTTGGCCACAAAGACGGCAAGCCACACCCATGTTTGACATCAGCTGAGAGCATGCACATTGAGAACTCAAATACAGCCTTGTACACTGAAACCCTAAAAGGGGCCAAGAGTACTGGTTTGGAGGTTATAAATAAATGTCAGTGAATATCTAAATTTACAAATACAGAACCTGAGTAAGGAGAATGGACTGTAGTATTTTTAGGTAAAACCTCTCTCCCACGGATAATTACAGGCACTCCTCTCTGACAACACCCAGTTGCTGTAACAGGGTAACAGGTTTCAGCACACTTAGGCTGCTGCCAGAAAACCGGCTGCTAAAACCACTGGGCTGCTAATGCATGCTGCCCTTCGTGGAAAAGAAGGTGCATCCAATATGGCAGTGTCTCCCTTCCTGAGATCTGCTCACCAACATCCCTGCTATGAATGGTATGATGGGTGAACTGAGAATAGAAGACTTTAACAGACAAACAGCCCTAAAAGATACAGACCTGTGGCCACTGAGATACCTGACTCAATCCCAGAGTTAAATGAAGGTTTCTAAGAACTCAGTTTTAAAACGGTTCTGCCTCAGACTGCAAATTGTGGGCGAATATATCTTTAAAAGTTCTACAGAGTCATCACTGTCCATCGACTAACAATCAAAACGTGGTATGTATCCACGTAATACAGACTATTATTTCGTCTTAAAAGAGAACGGAACCCTGATACATACTACAATACTATTCTACATAAACGAAACAGAGAAATATGATTCCACTTATATCACATATGGAGAGAAGGTAAATTCATAGATAATAAGTAGCAGCATGTGCTGGGTGCAACCGGTATGAGTGCTAGCTGTTAACAGGCATCAGGGTTTCTTTTTTAGGGTGGTGCAAATTGTGATGTTTGTAACAACCTTGTGAATATACTAAAACACTTTAAAAGTGTACACTTTAAGAAGGTGAGTTATCTCATTTTTCAAAGGCTTTTTACACGACTAAATTAAACATAAGAAATTCCTTGTAAACCAATAGATTCATCTCCACCCACCCCTTCCAACCGCATCCATTTACTGCCATTTCCTGTCAACAAACAGCACTGACTCACGCTGAGCCCGGGAGCCGCACTAGTGTGCACCCGCCGACGTCCTCGGCCAGGCAGGGGCCTGGTCCACGCGCTACGCGTGTCCCCGTCCCTTCCTTACCAAACTGTGGCCGAGCCCGGAGCCTGGTACCTGCGACACTGCATGAGTGATCCAGTACCGGCCACTGGACCCAGCCCTAGGCTGAGCCACACCTGACGAGCTCCACCCTTCACCCAGTCGCTCGAATCCTAATCCGACCGACGCCACGCTGCACACCCGCCCCCCAACACTCCCGCCGGTGCCACCCCAACAGGACCAGCCCCTCCCGCACTTACCCGCACCGAGCGGCGCGCGGTGCACGCAGGGAGCTCGGGGCAGGCGGTAGCCCAGCGGAAGGGCGCTTAGATAGACGCGGCCCAGGGGAGACAAGGAGGGAAACGCAAGGGACTCTGGGAAGAAGGTCAAGAAGCGAGGGCGCTCTGCAATGCTGTGAGGGCGGGTGTTCGAGAGGAGCCGTAAATCAAGACGGAAGAACGCAGCCGCAAAGGAAGTATCGCTCTGTCCTCCCTCTTTCTCGCCGCTCCCCAGCGACCTCTTCCTGGTGTGACCTCCTCCCCCGGGATGCAGCCTTTTGGAGCCGGCGCTTTCCCGCCGCCCCGCGCTGCCTTACTCGGCGCCCGCCTAGGATTCGGAAGTGGGCGGGAGGGCCAGCCGGTGAGTAGTTGTCCGGCACCCTGGGGTGTTGCAGGAAAAGAAAGCGGTGCTCTCAGGTCTTTCTGACGATCCTTTCCTTTTGCCATACCCAGTCCTGTCCTGATGTCGGCTTAAGTTAGCGAGGACCAGACAAATGACAGTGGCGACTTGGGGAGTCTTCCGTAAAATGTGCAGGATCTGCCACTGGGAACTGGGTGTCGATTACACGTCCTGTTAGCGGTGTGTGCGTGCTAATACTCCAAAGCAGACTGCAGTGCAGTGCGCAAAGAGCAGGTTGACATTGTTATGTTCCTACCGTCTTGTTATGAACTTTTGTACCGTTGTTTTTATTGATTTTTTTTCCTTACAATAAAATGTTTTTAAAAGCAGGTTTAAATTTTTAGTCATAATTGAGGTGGGTTTGTGAACAACAAATATAGGAATCCAAGCAGCCAAATTGATAAATTTGGAATTTAATTAACTGAGCTAAGGATCATTCATACAGACACACACACACACACACACACACACACACACACGCACGCACGCACACACACACCGGTTCAGGGTCCAAACAAGTGGCACCAAACTAAAGTTACAAGAGATTTTAAAAAAGAATCACAAAAGACATCCTGTTGGAAACAATTTAGCTCGAATCTTTCATTAGTTTTTGAGTGACACCTGTATCCTGCTTCTTTTGTTAAGCAGGTTAATTTTTCTCCTGTAGATACAGCTTATTCTGCTTTTCTCATAGGACTTATACCCTAAGTAATTTTCCTGAGTCAAATACAGGGCATTAGTTGACTAGGGGTCAAGATAGTGTCAGTTATGCCAAGCTACAACAATAATGAGCCCAAAATAAGTACAGATGGTCCCTATTTATGGTATTTTCTACTTAAAGTGGGGTTAAGTCCCTGTCATAAATGAAAGAGCAACTATACTAAGAACCTCAACAAAATCATAGCTCCCAGCGTGGTGGCACATGCCTGCAATCCCAGCTCTCAGGAAGCTGAGGCAGGAGGATCACCATGAGTTTGACGCCAGCCTGAGCTACAAAGTGGGCTCAAGGCTAGCCTAAACTGTATAGTTGAGACCCTGTCTCAAAAAGACAAAAAAAAAATTCTGCTGGGCCTGATGTCACATGCCTGTAATCCCAGGACCCAAGAGGCTGAGGCAAGAGGATCACTGAGAGTTCAAGGCCAGCCTGGACTACATAGCAAGACCCTGTCTCCAAAAAAAAAGTTCTCTCTTAATCTTCCATATTGTTACAATAACTGTCATTTAACCAGAAAGTTAATGGTCTGAGCAGTGATATTCCAGGGCCTGTCTTGTGAATGGCTGCTCTTCCCAGCAACACCACAGAATTTGGAGTCTGAATTCAGACCCAATGCCTATGTATTTTTATTGTTTGATAAAGATAGTGTTTCAAATCAACTGAAAAAGGCATGTTTATTTTTTTAAATGGTGCTGGGATTTGGGAGGAAAGGTTAGATCCTGTTTTGGAGACAAGGCCTCACTACCTTACCCAGAAACCCTGTAGCCTCAGCCTCTGAGTAATGTACCTGGGTCACACCCCAGCTTTAGTCTTTTATCAAAGTCCACACCCAAATGAATTACATTAGAATTCAAGCGTAAAGTGTTAAACACACAAGTACATATGAAGCAAGATATTTAAAAGAATACATGCATATCCAACCTCAAAATGGAGAAGGGCTTTTCTAAGTATAAATTTAGTATAGTATAAGCCAAGAGTGGTAGCCTACATCTCTAATTCCAGGACCTAGGAGGCTGAGGCAGGAAGATTGCTTGAATTTAGGCCAGCCTGGACTACATAGTGAGACCCAGGCTCAAAAACAAAAAAACCTCAAACAGCAAACTTGAGAATTAAGCCATAAAATAAAAATCAATAAATGTAACTACATAAAACCTTTTCAAACTTCTGTAAGATTGTATCGATGCCAGTGATCAGGAAGAGCCTTTTCCTCCCCCAGTCTTTACTCCAGAGAGTTCTGACCTTCCTGGACTCCTGAAAAACCAGATCACTTGTCTCTTTTTATTTATGTATTTTATCACAACTTGTTTTAGGAGACTGGGAGCCTGGTCAGCCTCCGACAGAAAAGATTTCTGCAGCCTCCGACAGAAAAGATTTCTAGAGTTCCCAGTGACAATATTCTTGACACTACTGAACTCTGCACATAAAGACTTAAGATGATCAGTTGTACATTAGGTGCACCATGCCAGAATTAAAACTTTAAAAATAAAAATTTTTAAAAATTTGCTTAGAATGAATCCCATCATAAAGTTTCTGTAAATTTGGAAAACTTACAGTCTTTTTTTTTTTTATACTCAGGATTAAACCCAGTTTCATACTTGCCAGGAAATAGCCCAAATGTCCATCAATCAACCAACAGATAAAGATGTGGTTTTTTTATACAATGGAGTACCACAGCCATAAAGGGTGAGCTTGAGACATTATAGGTACGGATGCACCTTGAGACCACACTATTAAGTAACATAAGTGAAGCACATGTGTAAATATCACATTGTATCTCTGGTGTGAGAAACTGAGTGTAAATAAGCACCAGAATGTATACCAGATATTTTAAAATAGTAAGAAAATGCTCAGGTGGGAAGAGGGATGGGGAGAGGTCAAGGAAGCAAAGGGAAAAAGAGGGCAAAATGGAAACCAAACTTTTTTTCCTCTCTTGGTACCTGGGATTGAACTCACAAACCTGCACTTGCCAGGCAGGTACTTACCCGGCCTGGAAACAAAACTTTTGTACAGGAGGAGGGGAAGAGGGGCCGAAGGGAGGACAACGGGACAGGAAAAAACCAACTGAGATAAGTCGTGTAAGGTACAGAGTCCCTAGGATAAAAGTGATCAATGTGTATATTTAAAATGGACCGGTAAACTTAATTTTTAAAAAAGAATATAAATATAAAGTAAAATAAAGCTAGATGATAGGAGATAGATCCCTTGAAGAAGGGATGAGGCTCTGGGGAGGAAGAGGAAGGAAAGCAAACATGAACTAAGATGTGATACATATACTAACCAGCTCCCCAGAAGGGATGTATTCATTACAGACTGCAAACATACAGCAAAAAGTGACACCCCAGAAATACAAATGATCGCTAGGCACGGTAGCACACACCTGTAATCCCAGCTCTTGGGAGGCTGAGGCAGGAGGATCAACGAGAGTTCAAGTGTAGCCTCAACTACACAGTGAGTTCAAGACCAGACTGAACTTTAAAAAAAAAAAAAAAAAAAAAAAAAAGCCACTCACGGTGGCACATGCCTGTAATTGCAGCACTTGGGGGGCTGAGGCAGGAGGATTGCCTCAAGTGCAAGGCTGGGCTGGGCTACATAGTTCAGGAGCAGCCTGAACTATACAGTGAGACCCTGTCTCAAAAAAAGAAAAGAAAAAAAAGTGATCACAAATTACAACTCTTAAAAATTATGACAAAATGTTAGCAATTCTCAGTCTTTTCAAATGCTTCAAAAAGTTGAAGTAGAGAAAATACTTTCAGCCCCATTTTATGAGAGCAACATTACCCTGATACTGAAGATAAAGATACTAAAAGAAATGTAAATTACAGACCACTACTCCAATGAATGCAGATGCAAAAATCCTCAAAATGTAAGCAAACCAAGTCCAAGAAAACATTAGAAGAATCATCCACCATGACCAAATAGGATTTATCTTTAGGAGTCAAGGATATTTCAACATATAATCAATACATGTGAGTTGAAAATTATATAATTATACTTTAATCCACTTGAATGGTTTCACACTGTCTTGATATGTTTGAAGCTATAGTATATGAAGTTATATTCAAATGTTTCAAGGAAAAAGATACTAAGGTAACCACTATTAAGTCAGGTTATTTGGTGGTGAAGCACTGAGTTGCTGAAACTGTCATGCTTTGACCTGTATTGTTATGTTGTTATGTCCTCTTTTATCTCAATCTCTCCCTTATTTATTAGAAAAACTATTTATTCTTTTATTTTTTATTATTTTTTTAATTAAGGGGAAAAATAAAAAAAATTAGCAGGATATATTGTAGTAACTTTTTTGATTTCCTATTAACTTGATTTGAAGTCCTGAATTACTCCCACTATCTTGTTTTGACTGATTAGACTCTGTTCCGTTCTGTTTGATAGTATCAAGTTTGAGGATATAGTCAACTACTTTGAAGGCAATAAGATTCACTATGATGCCCATTCTGATTTGACTATTATCTTCTTTTGAAGTCCTGTAATGTTTACAATGTTTAGGTTTTATTGGTCTTGTTCTGTACTGTTTTGTTCAACTTTATAACACCTAATGATATAGGCAATTCTTTTTAAGGAAGCAAGAGGCATTATGTTAACCATTGTTGATAACCTTGTACTGTTTTTACATCATGTGCTATGTCTATCCTTTGTTTTGACTGACTGCTTTGTTTTGTCATATTTGGTTTTATTCTCTTTCAAAAAAAAAAGTAATAAGAACTATGGGAGTAATAAAACCTAAAATGCATAAATTTTGTTGTAAAAAAGAGAGGAAAAAAAGTGCTTTAAAGGTTACAACTGCAAGTGTGTTTAGGTGTGTTACGATAGATGACCATATTATTGAGTTTTTGTTGTAGCATTGAACACAACTGTTTGCAGTCTCACTGTTTGAATGTCCACTTTGTATGCTTTGATCCTGTGACTTGAGCAACTATTTCTAAGATGACAATGTGTAATCTATTAACTGGTGATTTGTTTTTGTTTGTTTGTTTGTTTTGTTTTTTTGTAGTTCTGTATTACTTATACCCTTACACTGTTTCGTTTTGATTTTTTTTTCCTTTTAAATAAAATTTTTTTAAAAAATTATATAATTATCTCAATAGACAAAAGCATTTGACAAAATTTAATCATTTAGTGTTAATTTGGGGTCAACTTAGCGTTAACCATAATTTTTGATATTTATGCTCTTTGAACCATCATGTCACGTTTCAATATCTATAATACAGATGTGCGCAAAGATATATGTGTGTGTGTGTTCACCCTATATTTTCTTTTGGTCTTTTTGAGACAGGGTCTCACTACACAGTTCACGCTGGCCTTGAGCTTACTTTGTAGCCCAGGCTGGTCTCAAACTCGCAGAGATCCTTCTGCCTCAGCCTCCCAAGTGCTGGGATTACAGGCGTGAGCCACCATGCCCGGCTCCCCCTACATTTTTAATGGCATATAAAATAGAAACATTATTTACCAACATGGGAACAGATTAAAATGAATGATAGTAATCTATGAATCAAATACATTGTCTTCAATTTGTACTTCTATTAGTACGTTTGCAGTATATAATGATTACAGTGTCAAATACATTTTTAAAAAGACTCCTCTGTACCTACACAGAGGCTTAGAAAGTTTTCTAAGACATGGCTAGATGAAAAAAAAAAAAAAAACAGTATAGTTTGTTTGTTATAAATACATAGTGATGGACCGGGAATGTAGCTCAGTGGCACAGCGCCTGCCTGGCCAGCGCAAGGTCCTGAGTTCAATTCCTGTTACACAAGAGGAAAAAAAAAATACATAGTGATATGTGAATGCAGAGGAAAAGGCCCAGAAAGATCCATATCTTGTACTTTATTGAATAGTGTCCCCAAAATTCATGCCCCCTAGGTCTTCTGAATGTGAACTTATTGGGAAACAAGTCTTTGCAAGCATAATTAAATAAAATTGAGGTTTCAGTAGATTTGTGTGGGTCCTAAATTCAGTGCGTGGCTTCTTCATATGAAATCCATGTGGAGGGGAGGGCAGCAGCTGGAGAGACACAGCGATAAGCAAACATGGGACGAGAACTGGTGAAACCACCAGAAGCTAAGAGGGGCTACGGCACCGGCTCCTTCAGAGCCTCCAGGATCAACTCTGTGGAGACCCTGAGTTCGGACTTCTGGTCTCCTCAACTATAAGACAATATATTTTTATTGTCTTAAGAAACCCAGTTTGTAGTAATTTATTATAGCACATCAGCCCTATGAATTCAATGCACACTGATTAACAATGATTCATTCTTTTATTTTTTTAACAATGATTCATTCTAAGGAGGGAATTTGGTGAGAGTTATCCAAGGAAGATTTTGTGCTTGCATAGATAATCTTTTTTAGGCAATAAATTAAGATCAAAACTCAATCCACATTCTATGCTGGAAGCTTCAAGTCTGCCATTTATCAGGTGTGCACCGGAGACTCTTATCTAGCCAGAGCCCACTGGTAAAGGTTTTCATTGTGATAGACCTAGGCCTGTGCCTAGGTGTCATTGTTAAATATTTTGATAATTGTACAAGTTATTTTCTGTTGCTGTAACAACACACCTGAACTGAGTAGTTTTTAAAGTATAGAAGTTTATTTGATTTGCAATTCTGGCGGCTGGAGGCTCCAACCAGCATGGCACTGGCATTTTGGCAAGACCCCTTCCCACTGCATTGAACTGTGACTCAGAATTGGAAAGGACACCATCAGTGTGCAGTATGGGAAGAGCCATGGACCTCATCACTTCCCAGCAGGCTTTGCCTCTCAGTGCTTGTACCACAGCAACAATCACTCATGGCTGTGCATAAGTTAATGATACGTTTGAAAGTGATGCTTTGTCTCATTGCAAAATCTCTTAGACGAGTCTGCCAGATCCAGGAAACAGAAAAGGAAAATAATAGTTTGTCAGTTTCCAAAGGTTTGGAGTGTATCCATCAGGACTCAGTCTTCATATAAACCAGAAGATATGCGGTTTCCTGCCTGGAAAGAAGAGAAAAATGCATAAGCATAGCTAAAGGAAACAGTCACAGCGAAATGATACATTGTGAAGCCGAGATGGGGCAAGCATGTGTAAACTCTAGTTAACGTCTAAATTAGGAGGTGACAAATCGGACGTAAGTTAGATCAACCCCATTTCTGCAAATGAGTAGAACCGAGCCCCGTCATATTCACTGATTCACACACGTCTGTAGCTTCTCTGTGCTGCAAGGCAGTAATGCATGGGGGACCATGATCCACAAAATAAAATCTGTTTCCTCCGGCCCTCCACAGAGCCAGTGACAGAAACCTCACAAAGACTGGGCATCTAAGACAGAAAAAACAGAAAAAGCTTAGAAAAAAACGAGCAAAAGATGAAAAACAGAAAGTAAAAGGAGAATTTCAAACACAAATTGTACCTAATTTGTAGTTTTCCCATGTTCACACCTGCCTCTACAACTGAAAATCGTCTCTAGTATCATCTTTGATATACACTGTTACTCTTAACCTAGAAACTCAGTTAAAAAAAAAAACTTACTGGCTCTCTGCCTTGATTTTATCTAACTTTGTACTCTTCAGCTTCCCTTATAGTTACTGAGTTTAAAAAATATTGATAGTATTAAATTCAAGCCAATTTGTCACACAAAGAAACATTAAAGCAGGGGTCATTTCTCCCCAAAGATACGTGGTCTAGCAGAAGAGAAAGATAGGCAAGCAAACAGTATAAACTTACTATAAAGGAGGGTTACTCAAGATGCAACAAACCCCTACGCTACAAACCTACTCGGTCAATCAGTAAAGGAAGGGGCTGCAGAGCTGGCAGAGCCCATGAGTCCTGAACAGGAGGGAAATGTGCTTCGATGGTAAACCGGCAGAGGGCACTGCAGGCCAGAAACTGCGCATGCAGAGACTCGGAGGAGACGGTGAAGGTGGCATCTGCATAAGGTCACTTTATACTGCTGATTGTTGCTGTGGCCTCAATTGTGAGAAAACCGTGTTCCGGTGCAGTGTGTTGCAAGCTGAAGTGAAGAGTTAGTCCCAGAAAGCCACCCGCGTGTAAGCGGCATCTGACCCCCCGCGAGTGTGGCCCAGCGCCGAGAGCCAGCATGGGTCCACTCATCTGCGTCACTGACGCACGTCTCTTACCAGCGGCAGCCGTGATTTCCATAGGTGCACTGGATGTCCTTCCAGGACACCTGAAAGCGTGGAACAGAGGAAGTCAGCAACCGCCTGGCCCTGCTCTCACCTCTCAAGGTACCCTCATTCACTGCTCTGGGCAAAGAATCTGGGGCACCCCGCGACAGGATGCCATGTATAATGAAGCCTATTTCATATCCTTGCTCTTCGGTTTACATGTGGCTATGCTTGTCCCAGAGCGGTCACTACACATTTCTAAGTCTTCTTGCTTTACAGAACTCTTCCACAGAACATGAACCTGCAGGCCACTGAGCCTACAGCACCAGATCCAAGACAGCGGAGTGAGTAGACTCTCACAGCGCTGAAAACTCCATCAGGATGGCATGCAGGAAGGAGCCACCACCCTCTTAAGAAGTCCCCCCACAGAGAGAAAACAGAAACAGTGTTTGGGGCTCAGAATTTACTAGAGGCAGCTAAAGCAGGACAAGAGGCACTTTGGGATAATGTTTCTCACCCAACAAACATGGGAGTCATTGAAGCAGAACCATTTTCCATCCATTGGATTCCGGATGTAGGCGCAGTAGTGACCAAAGTCTGCCATCCCCATGTGGGCGATCACAGCAAAGAGTTCATACTGTGCTTCATCCTGCAAGAAGATGAGGCACACAGCGATTCACCCCTTACCTCTCCTTCGGCAGTCCTAGTTTGGAATAAAGAAAGGTTATCTCACCACACATTTATTGATCGACCATGCCAGGTGGTGGTCCTTCACTGGTACTAGAATAAAGGGAAGCTGCCCCAGGGAAGGCCTGATTGAGCTGATCTTGATAACTGGCAGATAAATGGTGGGAAGGGAGTATTTTTTTAATGCAGACTCAGGCATTGCAAAGACTCAGCAACAAACAAAAGTAGAGAGTCCAGAGGATGTGGAGCTCAGGAAGGGGGCTGAGGTCCCCAGGAGTGAGGCTGCACAGACCAAGTTAACAAGCCAGGCATGATGGTGCACCCCTAATCCCAAACACTCGGGAGGCTGAGGCAAGAGAATCTTGAGTTTGAGCCCAGTCTGGACAATAAAATGAGATCTCATATCACAGGCGGGGAGTGGGAGAGAGGAGAAGGCCGAGGAAGAGGAGGAGGAGGAGTTTGTTCCATGCATGGCTGGGAATCGTCAGAACATCTTAGGAAGAGAAGCAACATCAGATTGATTTTTGAGAATCATACTGAAACAATGTAATTTGAAAAATGAATAAAAAATTCAAATGTAACAGAAACCAAGCAGATAAGTCAGGACACTGCACATGGAGGAAGGGTGGTAGACACTGTCACTGGTAGTCATTAAAATGATAATGATTGCTATTAGCAAATGACATTTCACTTAACACTCATAGCATCCCTTTGAGCTGGGTGCTAGTCTAAGTCTTACTCTACAGAGGCAGAATCTGAACTCTGAGAGGTAAAGTAAATTTCCCAAGGCCAAAAGCTCTAAACAGAAGAAGCAGGATTCCAGCTGAGCCTGACTGCTCAGAACCCACACTGAAGATGGAGATGCAGGGATGGATTTGTACAAATTAGGTAGAAATAACTAAACATATCTGGTAACTAACTAGGTTGAGGACAGAAGTTGGAAGAATAATAAAAATGAATCTTAGATTTCTGCTTAGGTGTTAGGGTCACATTGAAACTATACAGCCAAATACAGAACAGAGGTGTTTGGAATGAAGATCATGAATTGAAGACTGACTTCTACATGAAAATAGTAAGGAGGTAAAAATACTGGCGTGGAGCTCAAGAAGATACAGACTTGGAAATCTTCAGTTTGAAGCAAATATTGAAATCCTGAGAATTAGTGAAATGGTATTTGAAAAGAAAGAAAAAGAATAGAGCTGAAAATTAAATATCCATGAAATGATGGGCAGAAAAGGGTCCAGCAGGGGAGAAAGAAACCCTTGGAGAGAAACCTAGGAGAGAGATCTTTAAGGAGAGTCCGTAACATGGCACATCACAGAGAAATCTCAGGACAAGACCCAGAAGTATCTAGTGCATATGGCAGGGAACCCTTCTTATTCTTCAAAGCCTTGGAAAAGCAAAATAAAAGGTAACTCTGCAAAAAGGCAGCGGCGCTGAGAGAAATTCTCAGTTGATCATGACAGGGTCTCATGGCTGACAGGGAGCCATCAGAGAACACGTAAAGAAGACGATAACCAAGAATTGCTTTTTTCACCCCAAAAAGTCAAACCCACAGAAGCAGAGCATGGAATGGTGATCACCAAGGACTGGAGCGACCTGTGTCACAACAGGACCCATTTACATTATCAGATCTTAAGTTTTTAAATACCATGCAGCATGAACAAACAAACAGACCAATGGAACAACCAACATTCTAAAAATAGATTCAGGCAGGGGATATAGCTCAGTGGCACAGCACAGCCTGGCAAGTTTGAGAGCCTGAGTTTGATTCCCAGTACCCATAAATAAATAAATAAATAAATGTAAAAACAGGTTCAGTCAGGCACACTTGTAATCCCAGCACTTGGGAGGCTGAGGCAGGAGGATCACTTCAAGTTCAAGGCCAGTTTGGACTGCAAAGTGAGTTCAACGCCAGCCTGACCTACATAGTGAGATCCTGTCTCAAAATAAATAAATAAAAATTAAAACAGATTCTATGAAATGTAGCATTTCATACTTATGGAGAAGAGATATTTATGACACGTTTTTCCTCAGTCTTTCAATAAGTGATTATGTCAAACAATTGATCTAAACCTTTTTTTTTTTTTTTTGGTACCAGGGGTTGAACTCACGACTTTGTGCTTAGCAGGCAGGTGCTTATGCTGCTGAGCTAAATCCCCAGCCTGATCTAAACTTTCATGTGATTAAATTTGGCCCAACCCATGGGTTGGACAATAAAAACAAATAAATAAATTTGGTCCAGTCAACTGGCTAATTTCTTATTATCCTCAGGGTAAGTTATGGTTGTTTTAATGAGAAAGTTTAGTTGATACTATACTTAGAACCCCAAATAGCCTATTTACTTATGTATTTTACATGCTATTTCAGAAGGCAAGTATTGAATTTAAGTTCCCTCCCTTCGTTCTGTGAGGCATTTATCCACACACCCCCTAGCTAAAACTAGGAAGGTTTTTGCACTTTAAAAGAAAAGAAAAGCCACTATAACCAACAAAGGCTAGAGGATGACAGTACAGTGACAACAAATTACCACCATTAGCCACGAGCAGATAGGTTTCCACTGTTAAAGCAGCTTAAAGAACAAGAGTGTCCTGAATATGTGTTCTGTGAGTCACACCAAGGTGTGGCTGGTTCCCAAACGTGCAGGGGACAGGAGGTCCTGGGTGAGAGGTGACACAGAGGACACCAGCCTCACCGATTAGGCCAGTGTTTGTCCAGCATCAGGACACTCAACTCTGCCTCATAGTCTGGAACCTACTACCACAGCATGGCCTTGGTGAGAACCTGGAGCTAAAGAACCTAGGGCTCTGCAAGTTGGCGGGCAGGAGGAGGCTGAATCTCCAGGGTGTGGTGTGGGTTAGGATTGATGAGGACAGAAGGGGACCTCTTACCTGTTCCTCTGCTTCAGTAATGGGCTGCTCACTAGGAAGAACCTGACCGAAATCCAAGCTCTCAGGGAAACACAGCGAATGGCAGACCTTTTCTGTCCTTGAGTTCTTGATGGAGAATCGCCTGAGGTGGATGGTCAGGGTTTGGGGCAACCGGGTCACCTTCAAGGCCTTAAAAACACAAAGTCACTGAGATCGAGTCCTCAGACTCGATCTTGAAAGGAACACAGGGCTGGGTGGCACGTTCTTGTCACCAGTGCAAGGAGATATGATCCAAAGTTAGAGGCTCGTCCTTTGCACCTCATCCTCTGAGACCACGCGACACCTGACTATCTCACCACTGCAAGCCCCCCACAAAGGCACAGGTGACTCCCAGGTTCTGCACAAGTGCCCAACACAAGGAAACTATGCAGTCTATAGTAGGGAGTTGGTCTAACCATGAGAGAAAAATCCTACCCATCACTCTTGGACCTTCTCCTCTCCTACGAGCCTCTGATCCTCTCGGTGATGTGATCTGAGAAGCTACATACAAAGCTCTGGAAACCAGAAGCCCCAGGATCCAGACTAGTGCCTGACCTAGATTCCCTCCCTCAACTATGACAAGGGGCCCTCAGGGCTTTGGAAGACTCTATGGCAAAATCCTCTAGGGGCAAACCCAGACCAGTGAAACATTTGCATTTCGGGGATGAGTACCTGTTTCCTGTGTGTCTTCCTCCCACAGTTCTGACAGAAGCATGTGCTTTTGTTGCATAGCTCCTTGGACTGGAAGAAATAACTCAGGGCATCCTCCTGTCCCACCAGAAGAACAAAAAATGGGTAAGGTTGGTGTTTCCCATCCTCACACATCCTGCTAGTGGGGACTCAAGCTTTGCATCTGATTTTTGTCATATGCCCCAAATGTTTGGCCTGGTGTGGCCCATTTGGCAGGATTTCCTAGAGAACCCACAGACTGAAAGAACAAAACGAAAGCTGGGGAGACACTTGTTAAGGGGACAGTGCAAGGAAAGTGGCAGTAGGAGGGTGTCGTGGCTTGTATCTAGACGTCCCCCAATCCCATCAACCCTCATGCCGTCATAGGGGGGCTTTTTCAGAGGAGGCTGGACCTAGAGTGTGTGACGCTGGAATTGATTCATGGCGCAGTGCTAGGATCAAGGGCCCTGGAATTACGAGTGTGAGTGCTGCCCGCCCTGAGCAGCCTGGATAAGATCAAAGGGACAGAAAGGGCTGTGGTCATGCCTCGTAACTTCTGTCCTGTTTCTCCTCTGAGATGCCACCCTGTCTTGGAGCCAGCTACTATGGACTGAAACCTCCAGAAACTGTGAGATGGATAATTCTTTCCTCCCTAACTTTGGGTGGTGGGTATTTTGTCTCAGCAATGAAAAAGTAACTAAGAGGGGAAAAGGAGAAATGGACCATAGCCATGCAAATGAAATTTATTTTTTTTAATGTCAAGAAACTTTCAAAACAAGCAGGGGCCATGGCAGGCAAGGTTGTACAAATTCACCAAGACGTTTCTCACCAGTGTTCTAAGGGGTTCTGAGTTCATATCAAAAAGAGAAAGAGGGAGGGTCAGCAAGCTGCTGTCTCTGCTGCTCTCCGTGGCACAGTCTAAGCACACCAAGATCTCCTTCACCCGGATGGTGTACAAGTCCTGCAGCCTCTCTACCTGTAGAGAGAGGAACAGACAGGGAAGACAGACATGAAGTTGCAGACCAGCTCAGGCCAGCTTCCAGAATTCTGTCTAGAAGCTCTAGAAGTAAAAACCACTACACATAAAGGTACAGAAGAGTAACAGGAATTATGCTATTCACTTGAGCCTCTGTAGATTAAGTCCTTTATACCTCTGTACACATTTCATAAACAATTAGCTGAGTGACTTCCATAAGCAGCATCCTAAATTTCTGAGTTTTTAATTCCAGGTCCTTACCAAATCTGCATCAGTGATTTGGTCCTTGATTAGGTTCCAGACTGTGAGATAGAGTTGAGCAGCATCGTGCTGGACAAACACTGGCCAGAGAGAAGCAACAGCAGTCAGTGAGGTCACCAGAGCTTCTCGTGCCTGACTTACCGTGACACTAACCTGCCATGCCTAGCCTCCCTCTGCTCCAGAAAAGGGTAAGTTTTTTCACCAAATGTGAGGTGCCCGATAAATGAAAAGTAAGTTTGGTACGGATTTTTTTATAGTGCCAAAATCACAAATTTTACCGCAGATGTAACTGTTAAACAAATGTACCAAAGAGCACAGCAAGTATCTGTATAAAGAAAAATTACAGAATATTCAAGCACAGAAGCCAAAAAGGGAAACAGAGATGCCTACTCCTGCTGTCTGTATCAGAGGACCTTCATGTCCAGTTACATCTACGTAGCTCTCCATGCGTCAACAATTTAAGCATAATGATGGACAATTCACCATAGGTCTCTGAGTCTTCAATCCGAAGGGCTCCACACCACATAAATCTATAATCAAGTATATAAAAACTGTTCTTCTCATCACTATTTCATGAAAGAGGAAATCTGAAACAAAAATACAGCATTTTGGGGCTGGGCTCAGCGGCATAAGCGCCTGCCTTTGCAAGCAGGCAGTCGTGAGTTCGATCCCTGGTACCAATAAAAAGGAAAAAGACAAAAAAAAAAATACAGCATTTTATGTGATAAAATTGAAAGTCTAGATAAGATCAATGATTTTTCTAAGCAACAATTTACCAAAAATTACCCACTAAAAACAGAACAGCAAAGGAGACAAATGTTCATATAAAAAACAAATACAAAAAAAAAATCTCTGAGGCAGAATGATTTCATAGGTAAATTTCGCTGAACTGATGGTGTGGATTTGTGAGAGCGCATCTTAAAACTGAAGCCACAGGCTGGGGATTTAGCTCAGCAGCATAAGCGCCTGCCTTTGCAAGCAGGCAGTCTTGAGTTCGATTCCCGGTACCGATAAAAAGGAAAAAGACAAAAAAAAAAAAACTGAAGCCACAGTCCCATTATGTGACAGTTTCCCACTCTGTCATTCTCCAGCCAGCTCTCCTGGCCCCTACAAGGGCCCAGCCTGACAGCACCAGGAACGCCCTCCTATGTTACCACTGTGACCAAGCATTTCTCTGGCCCTTGATGTACTTTCTACCCACTGCATTAAAACCTGAGCAGTTGCCCAGTTCTTGCATCTGACTCCGGTTTCCCCAAATGGGCACAAGAAGACAAGGAGGGAGGGCCCGTCTTGGTCTCATACGACGCAGGCTTAGAGGGAGCCAGAACCTGGCCGTGAATTCCGCGCCTGTCACAGGTAAATGTCAGGTTGCAACTGATGTGAATTTACCAGTATTGTTATAAGGAGGACTAAGAAGTTTCAGGACATGAAAGACACACTGAAGACTATTTTCCAAAGGGATAGATAAGTGTCAAAACGCAAAGACACTGCAAGAAAAGGTGGTCACTAAAAATGTGCTATATCTGGCATCTCCACCCCATTTTCCTTCCTTAATAATACCAGCTCTTCTCCCTGACATTTTTTAGCTGACTTTGTTTCACTTTTGCTTTTGGCCTCATTGCCTCTAACTGACAGCTCCGGGGAGGCAGACTCTGCCCACCTTGTTTCCTTTTGCCCTGCAACACCACAATGCCTGGCACTCAACAGAGGACCACCGTCTAGCAGCTGAGAAGATTAATCAATCTGCTCTCCAACACAGTGAACCTGAAGCTCAAAGACAGTCTAACAGGATTCCGCTGATGCCGCCTGGTACAGAGGGTTCCTGCCGCAGAGCTGCCGCTCAATGCAGGGGATCAGATCATGTTGCCATAGAGACAGTGTGTCCTCCCTGGCCCTCCCAGAACCAAGAGCCCCAGTCACCTAAGGAAGACAAGGACCCGCACCTATCCCACTGTGTCCCACGCCCGGCATCACACAAGGCGAAGACAGCTCCTGTCCCCGAGTGTCCTGTATGGTATTCTAATGGGGGACAGCATTGAAATAATTGTGAGTCAAACAAAGAGAAGAAAACTTACTGTAGGGAGCTAAAGGAAGGTGGGGATACAACTGAAGTAGAAGTGACAGTCTTCATAAAACTGTCTTTTTGAGACAGGGTCTTTCTATGTGGTGCAGGCTGGCCTTGGGCTCACTTTGTAGCTTAGGCTGGTCTCGAACTCGCAGTGATCCTCCTGCCTCAGCCTCCCAAGTGCTGGGATTAAAGGCATGAGCCACCATGCCCGGCTTGCAACACTCTTTATAATAGCTAAAAATGTAAACAATCTAAATGTCCATGTAAGGATGAATGAATTTTTAAAATGTGTACATATACAACAGGAAATTATCCAACAATGAAAAAGATGAAATACTGCCATATGCAGCAACATGGATGGAACTGGAGAACATTAGGTGACATAAATCAGGCATCGGAAGACAAGTACCACATGTAATCAATTATATGAAGAAACTACACAGTTGACTTCATAACATGAGAAAATAGAATAGTGGTCAATGGAGAACAGGAAAGGAAGAATGAAGGGGAACGGAGGGAGATGGTATTATAGGTATTCTACCTATCAATTAGGTAGAAAGAAAAAGGTCTAATGGGCTCAGCGCAGTAAGGAAACCACAGGTCATAACCATTACTGTATATATTTTATATAATAAATACAAATGAATTCAAAGTTTCCTAACACAAAGAAAGCACCTAACAAAGGAAAACACTGATTATTGTGATTTGACCATTACATGCTGGGTAAATATATCACATGGTCACCCTAAACCCTTTAAATATGTGCAGTTATGCTTCTTTTAAAAGAAAACTACTTTGCTGAGGATTTAGCTCAGCGGCATAAGCACCTGCCTTGCAAGCACCAAGCAGGCGGTCGTGAGTTCAATCCCCGGTACCGATAATAAATAAATAAATAAAAATGAAAAAAAGAAAACTACTTTAAAAACTAGTAATATTAAAAAAACTAGTAATATTCAAAATATTCACAAAAATGCCTATTAAAATAGGCTTTTTTCTTTCCTCTTCTTTTGCATTTTTTTTTTTTTGAGTCTATGTTGTTCAGACTGGCTTTGAACTCGCTATGTAGACCAGGCTGGCCCCAAACTCACTGTGATCCTCCTGCCTCAGCCTCTCCAATGCTGAGGTTACATGTATGAGCCACCACACCTGACTAAGCCTCTTTCTTTTAAAAGTAAAAATAAAAATAAAAACTACCTCAGACCCCACCCACTACGCCCACCCCAAGTAGTCTAGCGTCCACTTGTTTCCTTCCTGTTCGCCCATGAGCTTGCCCGCCCCCCCACCCCTTAGCTCAGCAGGCGGCAGCCAGGTCTCACGTGGCACGTTGTTCTTCTGCAGGCAGTAGGCCAGCTCCGTGGGCCGTACCGCCTTCTGCCGGCTGTCCTGCATCTTCTCCAGCAGCAGCAGCATCTGGAAGGGGACACTTCTCTGCTCTTCTGAGACCTTCGGCACTGTTATCCTGCCAAGCAAGAACAGCAGGGACATCCTGATCAGAGACACACTGGGTCACCTGGAAAACCTTAAAAACCTCCATGTCCTGGCCACTCAGGAAGAAAATCTGAATTCTGGGGATGAAACCAGGTGACTTAAATGGGGAACCACAGCTCAGAACCACTAAGTCAATGAAACAGCTGTGCAAAGTACTCTCTCAAGAGGGGGATTTGAAACAACTGCTGCCCTGTGCCCTACATGCCCAGCCACACTGCAACCCGGGCAGATGCCCCAGGCTCCGGATCTGCATGCGGGCGGGTGGATAAAGGTCTCACCGGGAGCACTGAACAGCAAAAAATGAGTTACGAATGGTAGTGCGGGGATGAGGAGTGTTTTAGCAATGATTCATTTAATTGTAGGAATCTCTTGATCACTCCTGCCAATGATGGGGGAAAGAAGGAAGCACAGGTCAAGAAGAGAGAGACAGTGTGTGTACACGCTTTCAATCCCAGTGTTTTTGCTCCTGACTTTCATCTAATCCCAAATCCTTTTTAACAAAACCAGTGGCCCTCTATTTCTCCTGTACTTTAAAGTCACTCGGGGAGGAGCCTTTTACAAAGTATCAAGGCCTGATTACCCACCCAGACCAACTGACACCAAACAACTGGAGGTTATTTTAAAACTTGCATGAATCTAAGGAGTAGTCCAGAATGTGCAGAAAAGGATCTTTTCTCTGGCAACTTGAGAAAGAAGACTTCTAAAGTCACAGTGAAAACCTGAATATTTAAAAACATGAAATAGTACACATGCTTCTCAGTCCCAATAGCAGGCTTACCTCTTCAGTATCTTGGTAAAGTCCGTGTTCATTATGAACACCTGGATCAAGGAGTTAAGGCAACAGGTCTGTCCAATGTTGTGTAAACCAACCAGGCCTATAACAGGAGAGAAATGTCCTGAGGGCTAGGCCAGGCATGGTGACACATACCTGTAATCCCTGCACTTGGGAGGCCGAGGCAGGAGGATTGCTGAGAGTTCAAGGCCAGCCTGGGATACATAGTGAGCTTAAAACTAGCCTAAACTGCATAGTGAAACCTTGGTTTAAAAAAAAAAATTCTGAGGGCAAGGGCTAAAGAACTTGACAAAAATCGGATGCTTTTCTAGAGTCTACTAAAGCCATGAAATCCTACAAAGGGAACTTGCAAACAAACTGGGGAGGAAATATCAAGCAAAAACCTGTGCAAAGGTAAACAAGATAAGTGTAACAATCCACTAGGAAAAAGAAGTGTCACAAAAGGTGTATTGTTCACTGACAAATGCACAGGACAAGCAGTTGCTGGAAGAGCAGAAGGAAAAAACAACTTGTGTAAATGTAGCTGGGGGAATCCCGGGTTCCCTCCCCTCAAACGCCTCTGCAGCTGAGTCAGAGCGGGTGTCTATGGGGCTCGGGGTGTGCTGATCTCTGCCAGATGCAAACAGAGAGTGGAGGAAACCGGAAGAGAGCTTTGGAGGAGATGCACTGACTCTCAATTCAAAATGGGCTGAAGGCCAAGAAAGAACTTACTTTTATATATATATATATATATATATATATATATATATTTTTTTTTTTTTTTTTTTTTTTTTTTGTCTTTTTCGTTTTTATCGGTACCAGGGATCGAACTCACGACTGCCTGCTTGCAAGGCAGGCGCTTCTGCCACTGAGCTAAATCCCCAGCCCCCAGAAAGAACTTTCAAGGACATGGGAAACTCAAAGACAGGATTTCCCTGGCCCACCAGCAGGCAGCCTCCCTTCTCCTAGCTGACTCCACAAAGGTGAGTCCCCAAAAGGAAGGACCCCTGCCAATCTCAGAGTTCCCAGGGAAAAGGCTTTGCTGTACGAGAGGGCAGTAAGAATATAAAGCAAGGGTAACAGCCTATTGCAGACATCTGTTCCCCAATCAGCAGCAGCACCTTGCTTCCGATCGGACTTGACAGACACCAGGCAACCCTGACTGCCACCATGCACCAAGCAGCTTCCAAGGATTAGCTCGTCTGCCTTGCCAGCACCCCTATGCTTAGCTCTGTTACTATCACTATTTCACAGGTGCAGAAATGGAGGCGCAGTGGTCAGGGTCCATTAACCGGAAAGCTGTGAGATGGGAAGGAGACCGACAGGCGCTACTGACCATGATGGTGGTCCCAGGTACTGAGTGGTCCCGGCTGCTCTCTCTTCCTCTTCATGTCGCTGTCCTCGCCCTTCTTCTCCAAGGATTCTCCTGAACACTGCTGGGACTCAGCCAAGGTTGACTGGCAGGTGTCTCCCAGGAACCCAAACGTCATGCCCATCTGGAATTGCTCCAAAGCTCCCAGGGCAAGGCTGCCTGGCCTGTCCAGGAGGAGCTCACGGGTCCGGATGCGATGGAACCCTTTGAAGACACATGGCAGGGCAGGTCGATAAGGATATGACAGGGACAAAGTGTATTTATGGTGGCGGCTCTGAGTTCAAAGAGCCAAGGCCTCCAGGTGGTGACGGTCTGGGGAGACTGGATCATAAAACGCTTTATGGCTGGAAATCACACCGAAATTGCACTGCTCTTCTTCAGAGTAGCCAAAGCCACCTTCCTCCCCCCAGATTCTCCCCTCTGGTAAATGGCGTGGCATCCACCAAGGGGCCCAGACCACAGAGCTGAGTGTCAGCTCTTCACTGCTCCTTCAGACGCCATGACTATCGATTCCTCTGCTTAAGGGCCATTCATAAGCAAGTTCCTGGCTACCCACACCCGTGACTTCAGTTTTATACCTACAGACATCCCAGCCCCAACAAATCACTCCTGCTCCCTGGGAGCCCGTTCTCTGCCCTCCAGGGGCCGGGGTGTTTCCCATCCTGCCACGCACCTGGTACACACAGCTTGTTTGAGTAATGGCTCCCTGTGCCTACTTCAAGGAGCATCTGTCTGCCATGGATGTGCCAGTTCTCCACTCATTCAGACACCTAGGACCCAGGCTGAGAGCAGCAAGGTTGGCTGACAGCATTCCAGCCTCTTACACAACCAGAGGTCCACACGCATAACAAAATCTTAGCTATAAAGGAGGATGCAGAAAAACCCAGTGCTCGAGTCCCCTGTTTCTCACTCCCTCCTGACGATGCAGACCTTTGCCACCCGTAAATCCTCCCGACATATTTTGCAAACCAAGGAAGGGGTGTCCCATGGACAAGACAGTGGGAAACTGAGTTTGCTAAAGAGGAAAGGGCACAAATTGAAATAGGGGGTGTCCTGAGACACAGCAGCTGATGCTCGGCAGATCCCATGTTGGGGAAAGAGGATGTGGAGAAAGTACATGCAAAAGACTAAGCAGATTTGAATAAGAAAAGCTGAACTAAAAACCAATGACTGTATAAATGTTTCAGAATTTTAACTTTATAAAAAATAAACTGGTTAACAAATAGTCCTGGAAGCTCAAATTAAGACCATAATGAGGTACCATTGTACACTACTCATCTGAGAACAACCAGGAATTCTAGTAGAATCTGTTCATTACACCTCATACACCTACTGAAGTGCCACACTGTAACCTATAACTGTGCATAACTTTTATATGTCAATTTAAATCATACTGTACGTATAAAAGAATTCCGATTAAATCAAGTGTTCGGGGAATGTGGATAGACAGGATTTTTATATTCCACTAGGTGATGGGTATAATATGGTCTAAGCACTTGGGCAAATAATTTGGTTCATTGTGTAAAATTAAATAAACACTTAACTTCACCTGTTAAACCCCAAGAGAAATTCTTTTCTTTTTTTTAAGTACTGGGGGTTAAACTCCGGGCCTCCCTCATGCCAGGTAAGTGCTCTGCCACTGAACTACTCTGCCAGCCCCCAAGACAAATTTTCACACATGTCCTTTGAGATATTTGACAATATTCATAGCATCACTGTTTTCATAATGAGAAAACTGCTACTCTTCATTCATTAATGAATATGAGCTATAGCAGGTATCACAGCATCTCAGAAACACAACATTGCCTCAGAATAAAAATACATAGTAACAGTTCAAATTCAAAGTCAAGAGGGTGTTACATGGGTTTGGATCAATAAATGTGTGTGATAAAACTTATTAAGTATATCAGGAAAATCACAAAGTCCAGGCAATAAGGCAGGGCAGGGCGATCACACAGTACCGCTGCCCGTCACTTTCTAGTGTAGTAGGAAGGAGTTTCTTAAATATTTATTTTATTGTAAGTAGTTAATGAGCTGGAGCTTCGGGGTTAAGGCTCACGATCCAGGAACATGGACAAGGTTTGGCACAGGCCTGAGGAGCTCTTTTCAGTGCGCAGAGCACACAGCCGCTCTACAGGGCAGGCAGCACCCACACAGCAGACGACCTAAGTCGGAATCACACATCCCTTCACCAAGCTGGTGGAGGAAAGCAGAAACCAAAACAGGCAGGGATTTTTGAACACCGCCCCCTAGCGAAAGAGGTGAGGAATACCCAGGTGGCAGTCAGCAGAAAGCTTGCCTAGTAAGGTACCAAAAGTTAAACAATAAATAATAAGATAGAATGTGAAGCCACAGTGATACGGGTAGCTCAGCTGGCCCCGTATGTGGCCAGGGTGTGTGCTGAAGTGGAACTGTATTCAAATTCATTTTACACATTGCCTGAAGACCTAAGTGTGTGGTTTCAGCATTGTTATTCAGTCAAGATCTGCTCGTTGGCATCGGTGCTGGCCTCAACCCTTAAGAGGACAAACAGCTCATGCCACATCCATGCATCTGGTGGGCACCACTCATGCAAGAGCGGACAGTCCCTTTAATTACCATCATAGCCATGCAGTGTAAAGAAAAGGGGTGTCATTGGGACAGTTAATAGCCGAATAGCCAGCTGCAAATATTCCACACATAACTTGGAGTTGCAAGTCTCATATATGTTACATTTTATGGTACAAAAGCATAAATTTTACTGCAAAAATAATATGGTGAGCCGGGTGTGATGGACACTCCTGTAATTGCAGCACTTGGGAGGCTGAGGCAGGAGGATCATTACGAGTTCAAGACCAGTGAGCCCAAGGCCAGCCTGAATTGCATAGTGAGACCCTGTCTCGAAAAAAAATACTGAAGTCAGTGGTTTGTAATAATTTTATTCTAATAATTCTAATAATAGATACTATTTTAAAATCTTAAAAGTTGAATATTAATACATCAGACAGTTTAAATTTGCTAAGTATTTTATGAAGAATGTTATATCCTTTTGGAATTAACAACTATTCAATCAAAAATAATTCAAGGAAAAAGTAAGATTCGTTTCTTAAAATTTAAAACATTTTAAAAATTTTACTAGTACATGTTTGCAGGACCTCTATCACTTCTATGTTGTATAAAAATTGGTACATCAGCATTCAAATATTAAACTAAGGCTTTAAGAACTATATTGAAGTTTTAACTACTTAGTTCCAAATAAGTCATGAATCTGTAAGGAAAAACCTCATTTTTAAAATTCTTTACATCTTAAGATGAATTAAAAGCACAATGTCAGCTTTTCCACCTGAAATTGTCATGAGGAGAAGAAACTCCAAATCTACATGGTACAAGCTTAACAATAAATCATCATTCAGTCCAGACAGAACAAATAATACTAAGACTGCCCAAAAAAAAAAAAAAAAAACAGATTTTAATTCTTTTTTTTTTTTTTTTTAGTACGGGGATCGAACTCACAACCTTACATTTACCAGGCCAGTGCTTGAGCTGCTGAGCTAAATCTCCAGCCTCAAAAAACAGATTTTAAAGAAATACAAATACTTAACCATCTGTTCTCACTGATCGAACTTCAAACATCAGAGTACAGAATGAACCAAGCATACTGCTCTGTTATACGCAGCCATACAGAGACTAAAAAACTGATACTCAAGTGACTGCTTTAATCTGTTTTCTAATGGTTGGTGCTTAAACTCCCAGTTTTTGAGAGTTGCCCATACTGCAAATACTAGGGATATTATTCCTGGGAATATAGGGGTGTTTTTGTTTGTTTGTTGGGTTTGTTTTTTTTTTTTTTTTTTTTTTTTTTGAGATGGGATTTCACTAGTAGTTCAGGTTGGTCTGTTTTTTTGGTCTCTTTTTTATCTTTTTGAGATAGGGTCTCACTATGCAGTTCAGGCTGGCCTTGAGCTCACTTTGCAGCTCAAGGTCTCAAATTTGCAACAATCTGCCTGCCTCAGTCTCCTGAGTGCTGTGATTACAGGTGTGTGCCACCACACCCAGCACAGGCTGGTTTTGAATTCTGTAGCCCAGGTTGGCCTCAGACAATCCTGCCATCCTCCTGTTTTTAGCTTACTGAGTGTAGCTTACTGAGTGCTAAGATTACAGATGTGTACCGCCATGCCCAGCTGTTCGTTTTGTTTTAAACATCTCCCAGATGTGAGCTTGGATGACAATGACACGCCTGCAGCCAGCACTCGCTGAAAATGAAGTTTCTGGTAACAGAAATATAGGCTTCCCGCTAGGGAAATTCCTGGGGGTCACGGAGACACCAGGGGCTTCCCAACCTGAGAGACGCTGCTTTTTGTTTGGATGGTGATCTGAAGGCAATGTTTCATCATGCTTGAAGATTAGGAACTATGGGCTCCTGAGTTTGATTTCCAATCTCCCCCCAAAATTTAAATTTAAAAAAAGATTAGGAACCACTAATCTAATATCTTGCTAACTAGGGAGGCAAATTAGCATTTCCTGGGCACATGTTAGAAACATTAGACACCACTGTGACTTGCTGGTGGACGCAACACTAGACAGGGTTCCTGGATCCCCACAACACACTAAAGAAGGTTCTTTGAAAAGGATGGCAAGATTGAAACCACAGAAGTTAAGGAAGACAGGCAGATCAAGAAAAGGAGGATTTGCAGGCCACCAGCTTAAAGCCCAGGTCAGGCCTGGCCTCAAGTTGCCTGCCCACCAAACCTCTCCATTCAAATTTTGACACAATGGGCTAGAGGTACAGCTCAGTGGCATTAATGCCTGCCTGGCAAGTGCAAGGTCCTGAGTTCAATTACCACTACAGGGAAAAACAAAAACAAATAAACAAAAACAAGAGTTTGAAACAAACTCCTATCATTTGTAGCTGGAAGAATACTGACAAATACTGATCCTAATGAAAGGACTCCACTGTCAGGAAATGATGAAAGATACACACAGAGATCTATAAGAGATTCTTTACCAAAATATGTTTTATGTCCAACTTCCTTTATTATGTTTTACAAATAAAGTAAATGGCATAATAATTTTTAAAAAGGCAGCAACTAAGAGGTTGTGGTGAAATCATTCCAGTATATATAAAATACATAAAAATGTTCTTAAAGATCTTTGTGTTCCTCCAGTTAAGGGTCTCTGGAGAAAAGACTGACAGTGAGGTGGTGGTGCTAGAATGCTCTAGCTGTGTTGTCCTCTACAGAAATCCAGCTATTCACAGATGGGAACACCTTGTGGACACTGCAGAAGCAGACCCTAGAACTGAGACCTGTTGCACATGAAGGGTGAGCAGAGCAGCAGCACTCTGACTGTGCCCCCTCCCCTTGCAGGGCCACACATGGCATTTCCTGATCTCATGGTTTGCACAGAGAGCTGCCAAGTGTGGCAGCTAGGATAGGGATCTTGGTGGCTGCTTTGGCTAATGGAGCCCCAGACCACAGACGACAGTTGACAGCTACACTCTGCAAAAAGAACACAAATAGTCAGCTGGACTTCCAGGCTCAAATCCCTGATGGGCTTCCACGGCTAGCTCAGTGCTCCCTTTCAACTTTCCCAGGCTGGAAGACAGTGGGCAGGTCAGTGATTATCTGCAGCGGGATCATTTGGCCCCAACCAGTTCCTGGGCTGAGTGTACACCGACTCGCTTAAGGCTCCCCTAGACGAGAGGCAAAGCTGTGTCCACCCAAAGCTGTGCAGCAGCACAGCAGATGGCCCCACCCAGTTCCAACCGCTGGGTACTGATCTAAGAGATCTTGATCAGCCTCAGAGCCCAGCATACAATCCTGGCCAGCTGCAGATCCTAAATTGTAGTACTGGCCAGCCAGGAAAAATGCCCTCACCTCTCCTATCAGAGATGACTACAGCCTCAGCATGGCTCTGCCCGACTGCAGAATCCAGCTGGTGGTCTCATGTGACTGGAGCACAACTGGTGGTTTCACGTGGCTCCAGAGCAGTCAACAAATAGCCCAGAGCAAGGAGAGAACAGGAGAGCCAGGTCTCCCTGCCCACAGCTGCCACCAACTGCCTTGGCAACTTCCAACCCAGACAAAATAGTGAAGAACACATTGGAATTTGGAAACGTGCAAGCAAGAACACAGGACATGAAACATCAGGGAAATACACCACCTCCAGCAGGGTGTGGAGGCACAGGCCTGTAATACCAGCACCTCGGAGGCTGAGGCAGTTGAATTGCTGAGTTTGAAATCAGCCTGGGCTACGTAGTTCAAAGCCAGTCTATAGTACATAGCAAGACCCTGTCTATAAAAATGAAGTGATATTTAAAAATGAAAAATTTTCCTGAAAAATACCACCACCACTAGGTCCCACCCTACAGGAAGTTCTTTTTAAATTAAAACAGATCATCACTGGTTAAGAAAATAAAAGCACAAGAAAAATTTCAAAAATAACAGTATAAGTAATACATAGCCGTATTCAGAGTATTCTCCCATAGTGGTGGTAGGCAGGGCAATTTTATCACTACTGTGAGACTAAAAATAACTATTTACAAATAAAATATAGCTACAAATTTTTATGGGCTATGCAATGTAAATCTTTTCTGCAATTAAGCTTGCTTTAAGCTTAAAAGTCTATTTTGGAGCTGGGGATTTAGCTCAGCGGCATAAGCACCTGCCTTGCAAGCGGGCGGTCGTGAGTTCAATCCCTGGTACCGATAAAAATGAAAAAGACAAAAAAAAATAGGGGGCTGGGGATTTAGGGGGCTGGGGATTTAGCTCAGCGGCATAAGCGCCTGCCTTGCAAGCAGGCAGTCGTGAGTTCGATCCCTGGTACCGATAAAAACGAAAAAGACAAAAAAAAAAAAAATAGTCTATTTTAACTTTACAATGTTTTATATAAACCTCATGATAGCCCAAAAGCAAAAAGCTATATGGTACTTGCCTTAAAAAATAAAGAGAAAGGATTCACTATCCAGAATATAACAAACTTAATTCAACAGCAAATAATAATAATAATCCAATTTAAAAATGGACAGATGACCAAAATTGCATTTCTCCAAAGAAGATGTACAAATGACCAGCAAGTATATGTAAAAATGTTCCATATCACTAATCATTAGGGTATACAAATCACAACCACAATAAGATAGCCTGAAGAATATTCAGTGAAATATGTTAGGCACAGAATGACAAATATTGTCTCTTGTATGTGGAAGCTTCAAAAGTTGATCTCATAGAAGAAAAGAGTAGACTAATGGTTACCTGAGCCTGGAAGGACCAAGCAGGGGGAAAAAAAAAACAATTAGTGGATACATGGTGCAGTTAGATAAAAAGGAATACCTTTGACTGTTCTGCAGACCTACAGTTTAAATAAATTGTGGGGCCAGGGATTTAGCTTAGTGGTGTAAGCACCTGCCTGGCAAGCCCGAGGTCCTGAGTTCGATCACCGGTACCCAAAAAATAATTAATTAATTAATTAATTGTACATTTCAAAAGAGTACAGAGGATTTTGAACTTTCCCAATACAATGAAATAATTGCTCAAGGTGGTAGATGTCCCAATTACCCTGATCTGATCATCATGCATTGTATCTAAGAATTGAAATATCACTCTGTGCTCCATAAATACATATAAATTATGCCAATTAAAATTTTTAAACATTTAGACAGATGGTTAAAAACAGTTGCTCCTCTCATGAGTTCAGCCTAGAGGAGCCAAGCTGAAGAAAAAGCCATGACACCAGAAGACTCCATTAGCTGGAAGTGGGTGTTTGAGGTCACCGTTGAGGGCACTCTCAAAAAAACTAGAAAAGGACCAGCCTGCATACTCCAGGGACAATGTCCTGCAACGGACATGTGAGGCGGACAGGCGGAAGCCAGAGAAAAGTGTGAAACATTCCAGGGCTGGTCACAAGGCAACAGGGAGGCAGGTGTCAAGGGCAACAAACGAAACTGAAACTTAAAGACCTGAGATGGGTGGGGAAGGGTGGGGGGTATGGCAGAGAGGGTGCTGCTGAACCAGCAGGGGCAAGGAACATCCACGAGAGAAAACGGGTTGAACATATTTCTAGGAAGTTCAATGTCCAAACCGAACCCCGTATTCGAAAAACTTGCCTCCAAACTACCTAACCAAATGTTCATCCTTAAAATGAGAGGAAGATCAGAAGGATGGCAACAGGGTCTTTAGACAAGTACCGAAAGCACTGGAAGGAGACTGATGCAAGAGAGCTGGGTTTCTCTAGCTCACTCAACTAGCTCCTCGCGCAATGACCACAGACTTAGGGTGCGGATGCCCCAAGATACCACTTTTCTCCTCCTCCTCCTCCTCCTCCTGCTGCTCCTCCCCACCCCACCCAAGCCTGTTCCCTCTCTCTCCTCCCCCGTTCTCTCTTTCTTTCCTTCTCTCTTTCTTTTGTTTGTTGTTTTGTTTTTACTTTTTTGATACAGCCCAGGCTGACTTCTGGACTCAAAATGATTCTCCTGCCTTAAGCTCCTGAGTAACTCCAGGAGGAAAGAATCCCCATCCTGCCCAGGACAGACCTCACTCTCAAAGGCTTGTTCATATGTTTGCTTTTCAGGAGTTATTGTAACATGCTGGACACACAGATTAGAGCACTCCATATAAGACCAAAAATAATAGAGAAGCTTGAAACTATTCTTCCCAAGAGAAACAGTCCGTGTGGGATGATTAGGACTTACCTGCTTCCTTCATTAAGCTCGACATTATGTAAAAGTGCCAAAACTGTGCAACATATTTATTAATAGTAAAAAAGAAAACCCGAAAAAAAGTGGGTTTTTTTTTACTTCTTTAAGTCAACATGGAGTGAACACCTTTGGTACCCCCCACCCCATGTCTCTGGACACATTATGTTATCTAGAGCCAACCCTCCACCTAACTGTGCACCATCTAACACCCACAAGACAACTTCTTATGAAATACTTTCAAGTGTTTTAAAATACTTGCCTTGTCTACAATGATTCGCAGGTGTAACTACTTTAGTGCTGTTAAGTACAAAGTTATTTTTTTTTGTCTTTTTCCTTTTTTTTTTTTTTTTTTGTCTTTTTCCTTTTTATCGGTACCGGGGATCAAACTCACGACTGCCTGCTTGCAAGGCACGCACTTATGCCGCTGAGCTAAATCCCCAGCCCCTAGGTACAAAGTTAAAGCCTTAATTCCCAAACACTTGGAACTCAGACTTTCTCAAGTTTTTATGTTTAAAGGTCTAAATTTAGCTTTCTTCCAGGAAAATAAAAGGGGGAGGGGAAAGAGAAGATTAAAGACTAAAATACAAAATATATATATATATATACAAATGTGCACGTTTGACAAAATTTTCAACTCATATTTCAATTTCTCAATACATATGCCCACTGATCGCAATTCCACTTCTAAGAATTTTCCACGAATATATTCATATATTTGCACGAATATGTACATAAACTAATATTCATTGTTAGGTCATCTCTACCAGCAAAAACTTGGGAAACAACCTACATATTCATGCTCTGTTTAAATCAAGGGCTTCCAATATTAAACATCAGGTTTTTCTTCAAAATGTCATTCACGTATCTATGACCCATCGTGAAGATATTCATAATCAGCTAAGTAGGAAAAGCAAGTTACAAACGATGTTAAAGATTTTCATGCAGAAAAATGATTGATAAAGTATACATAAAAATTATACAGTTGAAGCTTAAGAGAAAGCCTGCTTCTACTTTACTAACTAGTGTGCACTGCTTTAAATTTTTTATGAGCTTGCAACACTTCAGCCTTTTCTTTTATATAAAGTCAAGCCAAAAAGCCCAAATAAGTATATCTGGTTGGAGAAAAACTCTCACTAGCCCAACAAATGCATGCAATGAACACAGATCACCACGTCATTTGCAGAGTCCAAATAAATTCCTCAATTATCCAGGGGACACCTGAGCAGAGCTCCGCTGGCGGTCTGTCCTGGAAAGAAAATTTCCAGAATTAGCACCAAACTCGCCTCATGAGCCTCGCAGGCGCCAAGCTTCCACCGCTAAATGGGGTTCCAGACCAGCTCGTGCGGAGAGCGCAACCCGGGGCAGAAAGTGTGAGCCCGCACAGCCTGCCTGTTCCGCCTAGGTCCTCAGGCCCCGCCCGGCCCCGCCCCGGCCCCGCCCCGCCCCGCACTGGCCCCGCCCCTGGCCCGCCCCCTTCCCGCCCGGGCTGCGCGGAGCTTTCGTTTCCCTCGGAAAGGAAAGTGAAACCCAGCGCTGCGGCTCGGGGGGCGGGGCGGGCCGGGGCCTGGTACCCCGGATGCGGGCGCGGGGCTGCGCAGTCTGCGGCGCGCGTGTCTGTTTAGGAGGCCGCGCCGCGCTCTCCGCCTGTGCCCTTGCTCCGTGATCGCGGGAGCACACTGCTTTCTGTTGGGCATTTGAAGCGCTCTGCAAAGAAATCACAGTCGTTTGACCTTTCGAGTTACGCGGGTGGCGCTTTTCTTTCCTCCCCCACTGACTTTTCCTCCCTCTCCTCTCTTTCGTCTCGTCTGTCTTACCTTCCTCCTTCCTCTGTAATTTCTTAAGTCGTGTGTGTGAACACCCGTGGGACACAGTGAGTAAGCGGGCCACGTGGGAGCCGCTGCAGGAAAAGGAAAGTGAACCCAGGGCGCTCCTGTGTGTTTTATCCCGGTGAGATCTGCCGCTCAGGTCCAGCATTAAACGCGTCCCTGCCATTGGCCGGCCACCTGCATTTCTAACCCATAGGACAGCCTCTTAAGGCTCTGTCTTTAGTTCCAGATTTGTAGGAAAAAATATTAGATTTCGAACAGGTTAAATGACCAGCCCAACGTGACAAGATTGTAAGTGAGAAATACAAAATTCTAGAGAGGATCTCATTTTAACCCTCCTGCCACCAACCCTGACTTCAGTTTCATTCCTTCGTGTAAAACAATACATCATTGTTATTTTTTTTAAAAAAATTTTTTTTGGTCTTTTTTCGTTTTTATTGGTACCAGGGATCGAACTCACGACTGCCTGCTTGCAAGGCAGGCACTCATGCCGCTGAGCTAAATCCCCAGCCCCTACATCATTGTTATTAAGAGTCCCCCTCCGTGGGCATGAAGGTATAGGTAAGGTTAAAGAACCCCCAACCTGCACACACGGAACTCTTGCCGAGTCCATGTACATGCATTTCATGGAGGGGAATGGGAGTTTGCCAGGGTCCTCAGATGCCAGCTGCTGTAAGTTTGTGCAGGAAATCCAAATGCAGTCTCTTCCCAACTGCATATTACACAATTTCTGGCAGCCATGGGCTCAGCCCTGCATATAAGTGTGAGACTGAGACACCTCCAGAGTCAGTGACCAGGACTTTTCCAAGTGCCAGTAAGGTCTGCTGTCAAGGTGTGTATTCTGTTCAGAACATCGCAAAGTAGAGATACACCTGTGTGTCCACAGATTATGCTCACAGTGTGCAGGTAGTGACACAGGGGAATGAAACTCCCAACCTACTATGTCCGGTATGAGTTCGTGTTCTCTAAAATCAAAGAATGAATTTTAGGAACAACAGAGGTTAAGAGCAGAATATATTTATTGAGAGAAAGAAAGCTTCTGTCAGAGAGAAAGAAGGGGTCCCAAGAGGATTACCTGGGACTCTTGTCTTTTCCAGGGAATCATGAGGTTAAATGGGTTAAAAGTGGGGGGAAATGGGAATTTTCAAGGTGAGCATGAGGGGGGACAGAACTGTGATCAACAAGATTAATTGCTCAGGTAAAATTGATTAAATAGGAGCAAATGGGGAGAGTCACGTAGTAAGCAGGTGTGCTTCACAGCAGCGACTCTTCCTGTAGGGGTGGGAGACTGACTCCAGACTTCCTCAGGGTAACAGAGAAGTATTTGGACTGTGGATCCTTAGGATGTGGTTGTGTTTGCTTTGCCTTTTGTCTTGAGATCTGGCCCACAGCAGGAGGTGATGGTCTCTTCCAAGGCTGTGAGGTATCTAAAGTTCTGCTCTGGCCCTTTTGAGGGTCCAGCCCTGTCTGACTGCCTATAATATTTCTAACTAACTCAGCTCCCTGTAACAGTAGGCAGCATGAACATGGATGCCCGTGACTTAAGAGTCTACTTTCCTTCTGTGGAAATTGAGGGCAGTCGTGCACACACAGCATTTTGTCTCTGAAACTCTGGTTGAGGGTATACATGCTGTTCACATGGCCTGTGATGGTGAGCACAGGGAGACCCCTCAGTACAGCTGCTGACCAGTCAACCACATAACTAACTTCATCTAGTGCTTGTCCATGAAAAAAGAAGCTCAAAAGTTCTGGGATTCAAGGAACAAAGAGAGGATGTTGCCAAATTTGATACAGTTTGCTAAATATTTCTAGGAAACAAATTTTACCTTCTCCCAGTGATTATTAAAGGACAACTTGATTAATTCCATTTGAAGCTCTGTAGTTCAGTGGAATGAGGTAAGTGGCATTACAAAGATCAACCGTGGGAACAGGGACTGAGCTACGTAATAAAATGGTCCATGACAATTGTCTCGCCACCTCCTTCTCTGCCCCTTCCCCTTCCTTCTCTTGCCCTCCTGAACAAGTCAGTGCCAAACCACACAGGTGGGCACAATTTCCCAATGACTCAGTGACTCAGGGCTGAGTGCTGGACCCCAAGCAGGATGACAGAGGTGTCCACATGAAAGGGCTGCCTGGCACTGGTGTCAGAACTCACATGGAGCAGGCATAGCCGGCCTGGGAGTAGAGCCCAGGTGACCGTGTGAAGTGGTGATCGGTGGCATGGTGAGGGATGTCTGAGCATAGACCTCGGAGCATGTCCACCTTCAAGGATGCTGGTAGAGACGAGAGGCTGGTTATACGCAGGGTGTGATAAAATGAGTAAAATATGAAGGTTTAAACCTGACACCAGCTTTAACATTGTCAGAAAAAAGAGTGGCAAATGAACAATGGGTGAGCACTGAAGTATGAAATTGGAAGGAGAGAGGTCATGCGGACCTTGATCTTCATGACGATAATGAGGGCGTGCACTGTAGAGATACAGGCTTTCATGCCCTGCATGTGTCCCCTGACTCTATCCAGCAAGGAGGCTTTGGGATCAGTGACACCCACAAGCAGGTCCGGCCTCAGACCTTCATTTCCCATTGCGATTCTCCAATGAAAGGAACTAGAGTTGCTGGGAGAAGTGACCGTTTCCAGCGTGAGAGCAAAGGAAGCACAAAGTGAGTCTAGCCTGCCCGAAAGCAAGGAGATGCTCCAGCAGCAATGAGGGTGCCATCAGAGGGCGAGAAGCCTGTGTGAAGGAGCTCCCGCGGGCCGTGCAAAAATGCTCTGAGCATCAAAAATGAACGGGGTAACAACATTGCAACTCATTAAGGAAAAAGCTGAACAGCCTGGAGGTCTGGTGAGGAATAGTATATTTATATCATTTCAAAAGGCTTTCCAACAAAACAGAAAATATTACTAAATATTAGATATGTAATATTGCTGCAGCCTCTTTTATCCAGGAAGAGAAAGGAACCTCAGAGTTAAAAAGATAAGCAGGGAGCCTGGGGCAAGAAGGGTGAGGTTTGCAAAGGGAGCAGAGGTGGCCATCTGTGAGACTGAAGTTCACCCAGCAGACCACACAAGAACGGAATTAATCATTCCAGGAGAGCAGCACTTCTACATGAAGGCAGTAATATGGCTGAAAGACAGCAGGGCTGTTTGCCCTGGGCAGCACCAAAGCGTGTTTGACTGATCCTAGGATTAAAAAAGGAGAAGAAGTAAGTGAAACCAGTGAATCTCTGAAAGCCAAATGGCTGTACTTCGCCTGTACAGTGACCTGCTAATGCAGCAGGTTCATAGAACCCAAAAATTTGCCCACCGTGGTGAGAAACATTCATTGCCCGGGATAGAGGACATGAACAGAGCCCCTCCCTACTTAATGCCACGCGTGATACATTCAAGGCGACACTCAAGAGTTGTGCAAAGACAGCCCGTGCTGAGTTTAAGCCTCAGATGTTTCAGTGGCCCCATCTGGTTTCTTCTGTGTCACCTCCTCCTGTTCAAGGATGACGCATTCTGTCAGTCACCCTGGGTCTTGAGGTTCTGCGAGGAGCAGCTGCTCTATAAAAAAACCCAGCATGTGCACCCCGCACGGTCCCAGCAATGCCAAAGAACCCACTCAGATACAGACTGTTGTGACGGCTTTCCCCTCCAAGACCCAGACAGACCCGCTCACTGTTCCAGAAATACCCTTCATGGAGATTCAGCATCAGCAGAAGGCAGATTTATGGCCAGAAAGAAACCTGAACCCAAAGATCCTCTCCCCGAGGAAACTGAAGTGTCCGACTTCCTGTGTGTTTTGCTATGCAAACGCTGCTGTAGTTAAACTTATCCTAGGGAGTCAGTTTTTCCTTTTACTTAGAACTTCTTCCTCTTTACAGGCAAACAAAACAACTCACATACTTTTGAAGTGTATTTTACCTTTATGTAGCTTATTTGCAAGAGTATTTTTCTACGTATATAATATTACATTATACCTCAATAATGTAATTAATGTAAATACCAGTGGCAAAGGAGGAAAGAAATATCTACGCAGTAGCTGTGGGAAGCAGTAGGAACTGTCATCTATGATGGGACAATTGCCATTGTAAGCCATCTGATGGGGTGAAAGGAAAGGGACACAGCCTCTCTTCAGTGATATTTCCGTCATACATGCTCACCTGCACCTTTTCATGAGGAGGCAGTAGAGTGACTCCAAACCGAGAGACATTCTGCAAAACAGCCAGCCAGCAATCTTCAAAAGTGGCAGAGTTGAGCCAAGTGTGGTGGCACATTCCTGCAATCCCAGCACTTGGGAGGCTGAGGCAGGCAGATCATGGCAAGTTCAAGACCAACCGGGCTACAAAGTGAACCCAAGGCCAGCCTGAACCGCATAGAGAGACCCTGTCTCAAAAAGACAAAAAAATAAAATAAAATTTAAAAAGTGGCAGAGTCATGAAAATCGAACAAAAATTTCAAGAACTATTGCTCGCTGGCAGAGACCACAGAAATCACTATAGTGACAGGAGATCCCCACCTGGATCCTCTGCTGTGAAAGATAATATTGAGATAACTGGTGTGACCATTAGGACTCAGTACTTTCACACTGAAACAACAGGCAAAATGAGACGTCTCACGGCAAACTTCTCCTTAGACAGTTCAAGAAAGAAGTTCTCCAGCTATACTTGCAGTTTTCCTGCAGGCTTAATAATATTCCAAAGTTTAAAATGTAAAAAATAAATATCATAAGTTGATTTAGTTCAGCAGCACAAGCGCCTGCCTGGAAGTGCTAGGTCATGAGTTTGATCCCTGGTACCAAAAAAATAAAAATAAAAATGGTTTTAGAAAACACTGATTAAAAGATTTCTCAATACTAGGCAAGATTTTAACTTGAGAGTGCATAATGCTTATTTTAAAGGAAAATTTGAGCCCTGAGAAGCATTTTCTGCACCTTGTAACACGTTTTTGTCTATTTTAGATATTTTTTAGTGTCACTGAAATTCTCATCAGCTGCAGTTCTTACTCCTTTTTTTGAAATTTGAGGTAGGAGAAAAAAGGCCAAGCCCAACCCCTTCACTTGAGAATTCCCAAAAACTAGCCCACAGAGGAAAATGCTGGCTAAATAAATCTACTTTCTCATTAAGGTGGAAAGCTGCTTCCAGAAAAACTGTGTGCCCGAGGCAGAAAAAGTGAGAAGGGTGCGGCTTGTTGCATAGC